GGCTGAAGGGATCCCAAGAGCTTTGGAGTCTCAGGGGTTTCTTTATTCCAGAACATAGCCCATTCCAGAAGTTCCACAGGGGGTGGTGTCTAGACCTCTTCTGTGTTTCCGATGTTCTGGGCACCCCTTCAATCAGCACCCGGACATGGAGCTGCTGGTTGTTCTGTCTTTCTCGAGTGCCCGGTTTTGTGTGACAGAAAACCATCTGAGTGGGCGACCAATTCCTGTCCAACACGTGTCCCATGTACTTGTGCAAACGCTCTGCCTTCCGCGAAGAGCGTGCAGGGTCCGGGCGAAGAAACCTCTCGTCTGACTCCTTTTTAGGAAGGTAGATCTCACTTGGACCCAGTCATGTTGACTCACCGACTTCATTTTCGAGTCTTTGGACTGGGTCAACACCCAAGTTCAGACTTCCCAAGTTTCACCTGGCGTTTCAGGGCCGTTCCTCATGGGCGTATCGCTCCATTCGTAGCGACACAGTCGACGACTTCCGTTCGTAGCTTCTGGTTACAGGTAAGCGGTTTCCAGTGAAACGATTTCCAAGGCAACCTCAACAGTTTCCCTAGCTAGTGAAACTCCTCGAGGCCATCAAGGCGCTGAATAAGACCGCCAAGCAAGAGGAGGTTCATGCTGAGGCGGGATGAACCCGCCAGTGACACGGATCCTTTTGGCCGCGCAAACAAACAAAAGCAACACCTGCAGCACAAACTTGGGTCCACATGCAAGTCTGCAAGAAGATGAAGAGTTGTGTTCCTAGATGGCCACTATTTTAACTATATAGCTATCAATGATGTTTTACTTTTAGAATCACTGGATCTCAGTTCTTTCTTTCTCCTTGCTTCAAGTGAACGGTGGACCTTCACCGGTCACTCACGACTCCTCCGCTCCGCTGGTCCGGACGAAGCAACGCGCCAACCGCGGCGCCGGACGAAGGTGGCTCTGCTGGTCCGTGCGCAAGGCGAGCGGAAGGAAGGAAGGAAGGAAGGGGGGGTGTCAGAAGGAAGCTGGCCCAATTGCTGGTGCTCTTCATTGGCCCATTTTTTCGGCCGTTTGTTTGAACAGGTTTTGCGCGCCTCCCCCAGGCCCACCCAGAACGGCCGTACGGCTGGCCGTACGGCTGGCCGTACGAGCATACGGTGAGGCCCTTCGGTGGTGAAGTTCCACGGTTGCTTCTGCGATGTCGAGGAGAAGCCAGGGGCCCCCAGAAGAAGTGTCCTGTGGCAGGGGTGCTGCCGCAGGATCTTCCGAGTCATGCAGCTTTGATCACTTTTGAAGGAGGGTTTGGGAGTTCCTACAGGGTGGAAAGATGCTTCTTCCTTAACACATTTCAGCTTCTGTATGGTTGTATGTTCAGCTCACCCGGCGTGACTCATCTTGGATTCGGGATCCCACTGTATGCTGGCTGGAAGCACCATCCCTTGACCTAGGACCGGGGTTTTGCAATGGGATGCGTCGACAAACGATGGCTGTCCTGCAAATAGATCTTCGCAGGGACAAATGACATGCAGCTGACTTGCAGTCATAGATTCCAGAGCAGAAACAGCCTTGCTGTTGTTCACCGTCTATTCACCATGCAACCCATAGAAACCATCTAGGACCTTCCCAGTGACCCTTTGAGATCCCAGTGGCTGAGGTCACTTAGGCCTGTAAAAGGTCACTGACCAATCCTGAAAAGGTCAAGCACTGGATTGGACACTTTGTTTGGTTCTTCATGATGTGAACCACTGGAAGAGTTTTTTGACAGACTAATCACTAGTCACTAATCCATCCTCCAGAGTCTCCATTTGATTGGCGAGAAAGCAGCTTGCAAAAGGTCGCCCCGAGCTCGCCGCAACTGGCCCACCCAAGCGGAAAAGACCAGCAGCGCTGGCTGGTTTAGGAACCCTAGACTTCCGTTCGACCAAAATGGGAACGACCTGGTGTTTGTCGCGTAATTATTAGTTGATTCGGGATTCAGCAGCCCAAACGATCTTCATGGTGGGCCAGGAAGCCTAGGGGTTCTGAAGCACTTGGCACATACCAGGACCCTCCTGTCGGGGTGTCGAACTTGATAGCCCCGAAAAGAGGTGATTCGGGGTGTCCATTAACCACCCCTTGAAGGCCCTGGTAGGGTTCTCACGACCCGAACTCTTTGTCTTTTGCTTCGCCAACCCACCCGAGTCATCGGCGACGTCGCCTCCGCGCTCGGTCAGGGGCACGCCACGTTGGTCGTTGGTCTTTGCCGCTGGGGCAAGAAGGGTGGCGTTTCGTCCGCGAAGCTGACTTGGCTTCAGCCAAGCATGGCATGGGAATAGAAGAGCCTGGGGAGGACATCCAATACAAGCTGTGCTCCTCCAGCACTACCCAGTTCGGGTGGTTTATAGACCCCAGGGACTATGTGTTTTGCATCCAATCATAGCCCAAACTGGGTGGTGCTGGCTCTGATCACTTTCTCATTTTTCTTGGAGTCAACCTTCTTCCAGGTGGCATCTGTGAAGCCATCCATACTCCTGCTCCCCTGCTCCGGGTCCTGGATGCTTCTTTTGGAAGTGACCGGACCTTCCCAAGGTGCAGGTTCTGCTTCAGGCCTCCAACCACATTGGAAAAGGTTCAGGTGCTTGAGGTGGGTGCCTAAGGATTTCTGTTCCTCTGTTCGTTTCGGATGTGGTTTCTGGCCCTGGGGCCTACAGAGGTTTCAGAGTAGATGGTACAATCCCCCCAAAGGTGGTTGATATTGACCTTATACAACAGACATCGGTGCCAGATGTGCCAGTGCCATCTACTCTGAAACCACTTCTTTTGGGGTTCTTTCGGTCCCTCCTTCCATCTCTTCCACCGAGGACTACCACTCGGGTGACCTCTACGACCGCGTGGCCGAGCGAACGCGGATGTCCGAGAAGGAGTCCCTGCCCGGGACCTCAGATGGGTTGGTGGGTGGGTGTTCCTGGAAGTTTGGCTGGCTGAGGGAGGTGGTGGTGGCCAGAAAAAGCGCGCGAAGCTGCCCGGTGGAGCTTGTTTCAGGGACTGGGGAACAAATTCCCACCCCCCCGGCGAGAGGAGGCTGCTTTTTGGGGTTGCTACTAGCTCCTGGCATTACTACCAGTAACAAGAAGCTACGCACGTAACCAACGGCATCGCTACGAATTCGGAGCGATCGGACGCGAACCGAACGGGGGCGCTCCTGACATTGCGTTCTTCACCTGAATTCACGATCACCACCTGTTCACCTTTGTCGGAGTGGGTCCTTTGTCGGAGTGGGTCCTTAACCACATGGTGAAAGCTGCTACCATGTTGAGCTGAATGAAGAGGACACGACCCCACGACCAGTCTGAGACACCTTTGAGGACTGGTTTTTGCACACAAGATCTGGGGATTCGAACAAAGCTCCCTGTGTGAAACTCCGGAAGCTACGTTTCTTGCCACGAAGCCTGGATGAAGAAGACCATGGAGGCTGACTACCAGGACCGAATAGACACGTCTTGGAAGGTCCAGGTAGATGGTTGAGAAGTTTGACCATCTTAGTCATTGACAACCAGAGGGAGCTCAGTCCAACTGGTGGGAAGTGGACCATCTCAAGCCGCTCCACTCCGCGCGAGCTGACCACCAGAGCTCGCGCGGAGCGAGCTGACCGCGGAGCTCGAGGCCCTATTTGCGAGACCTCTTGGAGGCGTTGGCACATCTGCACGTCCGGAGACCTGGTCGTCCGCCAACATGTCGACCGAAGCCGAAGCAATAGCAAGAGCATGTTGGCCGATGCCAACTTCGACCTTGGGCGCGTGGACGTTTTCTGTGCCACATGTCCAACCCGACAGGTGTGGACCATAGGACGTTTCGGAATTGGGTCCGGGGGGATTTTTCCAGGAGCACTTCTTTCTGATCGGCCTGGTTTTGACCAGGAAAACCCTCCTCATTCTGAAGCGATTTCTGCGCCCGAACTTACCTCTCAGATCTCAAGAGGGGATCCGTTCGCCGGGCCGTCGCCGGGTGCCTGGGAACCGCGGTCTGACCCCAGCAGCCAGCCGAGGCCAAGCAGATCTTTCATCGCGACGTGAAGCCGGAGAACTTGTTGATGGCTGGGGAACTTGGTTTTTGCGCCAAGGGTGGCAGGTGCGCTCAAGCACCTGAACCTGGACCCTTAAGGGTTTTCCTGAACGCGCTTTCTTCGGGAAGGGTGAGAAGCTGTGGAACTCCAAAGCGACTTTGGGAGAACTCCTTTGATGCAGATCGATCCATGTTTGGTGAGAACCACGAAGCTGGTTGTTCACTCAAGGAGTCCAAGTGGAGGGAGGTTCTTGGACAGCTGCCCCCTCCGAATGCGCAGGGGTTTCCGACCTCTTTGCGCGGGGTTTGGACCTCTCAAGAGCATTTCCATTGGTTCGGAGCCGGAGTCATTAGGGTCGAAATATACCTGGACCTTCCAACTGACCTTCCAACTGCACAACTACTCATGCATTTTCATCTAGAGCAGCATGAACCAGCCAAGTTCGGCAGGACTTTTGCAGTCCCTGGAAGATCCAGCTATCTCTTGTCCAGATCCAGACTCTCGAATCTTAAAGGGACTGTGGGTGCCCACATCCGTGGAGCCTCTTGTTTGAACAGCACACCAAATGGTACAACATGACAGGATTCCCAGTGTCCCAGTGTCACGGCAGGATGGCGATTCCGGGGAGTTTTGTTGCCTTTGACGCATCAGGGGTTGGTCAACGGGCTGGATCGCTCCATCCTCTGGCGACCCATGGCCGGCCGAACCTGCTTCACCCTGGCTGGCCGAACCTGCCTTGTTCGGATGGAGGACTCCAACATCTTTTCCGCCCTCCCAAGTGTTCATGGACAAGTCCTGCCTTGTTTTTCACTGCACACACCTGGTAGCTGCTGGCCTTTTGAAACCGACCTTCCGGGAAAACCTCGGGTCCGTCTCCCGCCATGCTCGCATGCACCTCCGCATACCATCGCCCGAGGGCCTCAAGAGCGACCCCTAAGTAAAGCACCAGCGCGGTGGACCCGTCATTTTCCCTTTCGCCATGCGCCGGTTCGGCGTCCTGCTTCTGAGCGTCGGCCTGCGCCTTGAACGTTGACATGTGACATGTTCGGCTTCCGGTGGCCTCAGAGCACGGATTGGCCCTTTTGGGAGGATTTCTGGTGTGTTTTTCGGATGGCACCTGTTGGGTGGGTGATGCTCACTTTTCGGGTCCCGATCAGATCGGAGTTCCGTGGCAGCTTCCGCCGAGGGGGGGTGACACACTCGACGTGTCGTCTTGGAGGTCGGTAGGGTCGAGCGGGAGATCTTTTGCAGTGCCTGGACCTTCAAAGGGGTGTCCAATGGAGATCCCTACCAGGACCGACACCAAGAGGTGTCTATAAATAGCCTCTTAGAGGTTTAGGAGGTGGCCAAGAACCACCTGTTGGAAGGTCCTGGTAGGTAGTGTAGGGGCTTCCAGCCAGGTGACCCCTTTGAAGGTGCTGGTGCTTGCTGCTGGAGTTGGTTTTCTCAGAGAATCAAAACACTCCACCAAGTTCTGCGCCCTCCTAAGAAGCAGACATCTGCAGGAATTCGCAACCATTTGACAACACCGTCCTTTCAAACGTCGCTTTCTTTTCGGTGTGGGACATGGAGGCTGGACAGCAGACAGAAACACCTGCAGATTTTTCATTCTGACTGAGCGGAGAAGAAATCTGGATTCTGAATTTTCTTCCCTCCATCTGAAACCAGTTGGGGTGGGGTGGATGCTAGTCTAACTAGGCAGTGAATACATCAAACATGGGTCATCCACATTAGGTCGTCATTGGTCATCCATATTTATGCATGGGACATCCTGGTCAGGTGATTTCAGTTGGGTTTCGTCAACCCAACGAGCATGCAAGAATTTGCGAAGCAACGAAGTCAGCGCGGAGCAATTTGATGTTGTACAGATTGTCTGAAATTGATCCGTCTCCCTCAGCATTGTTGTCAAGAACACCAGACATGGATGGTAAAGCCTCGAAAAAGGTCAGACGGGGGGTTGAAATCTTCGAGTCATATATTACATATAATTCGGGTTGGTGACCATGTACACCCCCCTCCATATCGCGTGCCGGCAGCACGCCGCCGCGCGGGCGCCCGCGCGTCGATGCCGCGCGTCCGCGCCGAGGTGCCGCGCCGAGGACGCTGTGGGGTCGGCGGGCGTGGATGGCGCCTACTTCGTGGCCTGGTCGCTGGGGAACGCCGGAAACGGCGGGCGGAGTCCGGTTGGAGGTCGGCGGAACATGCGGGCGGAGGTCGGTGAAGACGGTGAAGACCAGCGTCCTGGACCTGGGGGGGGGAGATCCCCTAAGTAGTGTATCCAGCAGCGCTGCGTTGGACTTCCGTGCGTTGGATGGAGGACGGTTGGGGACCAGTCGGTCTCCACACCATGGATGGGACGAGGCAGACCAGCACGGCTGGTAGACTCCTGGTAGACTCAATTTTCAAGTCAATGAGGCCTGAAGAGGCTTTTACAAGCCCTCCAGGCCTGAAGAAGGGGGGGTTCTTCATCCAGATTTCCATCTCAGGTTCGCCTGATGGGAAGGAACACCAAAAGAAGAACCCACCTCTTCAGGTGCAAAAGAAAAGGAACACCTGGAGATCGAGAAACAAAAACAACCCACGTACCCCAATTCCAAATCCTTCCAAAACCTTCCAAACATCCATACTACGTCAGATGTCCTTTGGCTCTCGCTCTCCGCGCCCTCGCGCCCTCGCGCCACGCTGCGGCCTCCGCGCCTCCGCCCTCGCCTCCGCCCCTGCCCGAGGATTCGGTGAAGTCGCTCCGCGGCTCCGCGGCGGCGTCGGAGGACTCCAACGCCACCGCGGGACCTCGGCGGTTGGGCGCGCCTCCCACGGCCATGGCCAGGGAGCCCAAGAGGGTGGGTTTGGGGGTCAACCACCAAAGCACTGCACCAGTGGAATCCCCCAAAGTTGCAAGCCAGTTGCGTGTTTGAAGGAAGACTTGGCTGGATTTTAAACGAAGTCTTGTAATGGTCATCTTCACCCGATTTTCGTCTCAAACATGGTCTGCAAGGCAATTCTACCGGCGTGGACAGTCTCGTTCTGCAACCACCTGACTGTCCACCACGTCACACACGACGACAGATTTCCGACACCTTCACCAGAGGAACAGCCGCCATTCCCAGACTCGACCAAAACCGCACGCCACGGCATGAACTGAGGGGTACAAGGGCATTGACTGGTCGCCCATCTCTGTGTACGGCACAGGCCGGGAAGTTTCTCAACGACACGACAAACGCGAACTTGATGGGGAGAGAGGGGCTGGAAGACAACATAGCAGTACTGTATATTATGCATTGTCAGAGGAGCTTTGGCCGATAGGTGTTGTGCCTTTCGACAACTGCAGCAGCTCCACCAGCACTCGTGAGATGCAGTCTAAAATCACCCTTGCTCGTGCCACCGCCGAGCACTGCAGTGCACTCTTCAGTGCAGGGGCCACTGAGGTTTGTTTGTTTCGATGCAGTGAACCACTCAGCTAGCTGGTGGTTAGGAAGGTTAGGAGGGTTCGGAGGAAGCGATGTCTAAGGAGGTCCAGTTCTTCCATATTCTTGGCGAGTTTTGAGGGAGTCGTTCATAGTCGCGGCGCAGGGAGTTTCCAAGCGCCAGTCATCACTCCGTCTCCGACTCTCCTGAAAAACACACTATGTAAATGGAAGGTATCCAGGTATGGCCCCTGGTCATTGTTTATATACCCCATGGATCTTAACGGGATATGACCCATGACCAGTAACAGGTGGAGAGGCCGTTACGAAGCTCTAGACATACCAAGAGTTGCCGCGCGTCGCAGCGTCTCGCGAAGGCGCCAAACACATCTTTGCCATTGGCCACGTGGACGCACGGGCTGCGGAGCAGGAGGCTTCGTGGTGGTTCTCAGCCTTCCCAATGAGATGTGAAGAAGACATGCGGTTCCTATATGAGCAGTTGCATGAAGCACCTTGCCTTGATGCACCTGCATCAAGCACCTGAAAGCACCACCCCCAAGAACAGCATGCGTACATGGCGTCCAAACGACGAGTGTCCGAAGTCTGCCCCGGAGTCTCCCGAATCTGAGTCTGATGGGTCTCGTCTGCCGAGTCTCCTGGGATCCTTCGATCTCTTGAGGAGCGAACCGACCACCGGAACCGATCAGATCGATTCATTGGCGGTCAGGGCGAGACGCATGAGTAAGAGTCGGTGCGGGACCATGCCAGGGGGGCACCGTGCTTGAAAAAAACACTTGTGGCGACGGTGTCTTGCAGGTCCTGGCATCCGCTCAGGAAGTACTTTCAAATGATTTTACAAATGGGCAATGGGTTGTCCCTTTTCTTCATGTTGCTTCCAATTATAGCCTTTCCAGAGATGACATACTCACTCCCTGGCCTTGCAAGATCATTGTTTAACTGGTCCACCTGGTTTTGTAAATAACAGTGACTGTTCGATAGACACCATTATATAAATCAACGACGGTTGGAATCCTAGGGATACCACTTACCGCCAGGGCCGCAGAGCAAGACTTCGTCTCAAAACAAACGCGACGGAGCAGGCACGTTGGACATCATGCCGGGCATCCGTCGCCAACACCATCACCCATGATCCAAAGTCTCTATCATTATATAAAGCCTCACATCAAACGTCGAGATGGTAAAACACCCACAGGTGATTGCTCATCACACAAATCGAGACCCCAGAGGTGATAGGCATTCTGTTAAAGGTCTCTATCTTTATACCACTGGCGCCAGAGTTCAGGCTGTGGCCAGACTTGTCCAGTCCACGGGCCTGCTCTTTGCGTCCAGGAGTTTGTTGGTCTGTTTGTTTGTCAGGTTTGGTTGAGGTTTGTTTTGGTTGTCTATTTCTTTTCCTTCACCCCTTGAAAGGAGTCAACATCCACCGACCGATCCACAGATCAATCGTGGACGACCTCGACCGAAGAGGCCCGACCCGACTCGCGCCTCTTTTCGCCGTCTGCCGCGTTTCAGCGGCCGAGGCGACTGGGGTGGAATGGACGGATCGTTGAGCCCCTGCTGCGGCCGACCTCGCCACTTGGCACGGTCCGACCGACCGACCACCTGGGCGTTCTCACGAAGTCATGCCGGGGCAGGGCGTTCTGGGACGGGTTTGAGGGCGAAGAAGTCGCCCGGTGTGAAGAAAAGGCACCTTTTGTGTCGGTCAATATGCCATAACATGGAACACGGATTGCTTGAGCGGGAGAGTGTTCTTTTGGCTGTGTGAGCCTGAGCTGAATGAGGTACTGAAGTAGTCAATTGCCAAGAATTTTCTGGATTCGAAGCTCGCCGGTGTTGATGCAAAAAAAAGTCATGAATGAGGATGTTTGCATGCTCAGCTGGGTTGGTCTGAACTCACAAGGCAAATTCATAAGTGAAGAGAACCAAAGGAATACCATTCATGCAGGAGACTCGATACCGTAGTGACTAAACTAGACCCAGAAGGAACATCATTGGGCCGTTGTTGAGTGAGCGCCATGTTTCCGCCCCTTCGGTCGACCAACGAGCGGACGTTGAGCTACCTCCCCCCAAAAAGGACTCCCTGCACTAACCCGGACTCCTTGGACTCTGCAACAGCGTTGGGGCCCTTCCACATCTGTGGGTGTCGTGAAGCACCGATCGACTCGATCTCGGTCTTGGGTCTCTCCATTCATCACCGGATCCAGACGTGGATCCTGGTTGGGCTGGGCCAGCAGACGTGGATCAGTTGGGCGTTGTTCTCGGTCTGCCCGAGAACGGATTCCGCGTGTCTTCGCTCCGCATGCGTGCTTTCCGTTGTTTGATTTGAGGCGGTTGAGGTTTCCGCTCTACTCTGAGGCATCATCGCCTACTCTGGAGGCCATACCCCGGGGCCGCACGTCTTCCCGCGCAGCAGGTGGGCACCCAAGAACGAGACGGGATGTCTTTGTGGGGCTTTTTGATGGAAGCAGCGAAAAAAACCCGGATCCTTCCTCCAATGGAGCGCACCATTTCTGCCGAACTGGGCAGATAGAGCTTGGCACCGTTGGAAGATCCAGGTCGAACTCAGCGAGGAAAACCACCGGTCCGACGTCTGGATAATCGGATGATCAGTGGCTGCTCTGAGGTGGAACCGCGCGCATTCGGCGCTGCTCTGCACTCACAAGCAATTCGTGGAATGCTTCAACACCCGAGGTAGGACGAGGGGGACAAAGATGTGGGACGGGACCGAAGTTGGAGAGCTCGCTGAAAGCGGTTTTCCAGCCAGTCGTTTTGGTGGTTTCTAGATCCCTGGACGACTGATGTTGGCCTTTTCCGTCCAGTCCATCCTTTGGGCGGTGCTGGAAGGAGCTCTGTTTTGCTTGCCCAAAAGGCTCTGTGTTTCTGGCTGTGGGGAGTTTGTAAGTTCTATTCAGTGACCGAAGGGTTACAGAGGCTTGCATCAGGACTAACAACAGTAGTTGGGATGGGGATCCATCCCGAGAGTCAATCTACTATGTTTGCACCCACCCCACCCTAAAGGAAATGCAGCCAAGCAGTAGAGAGAGCAGCAAAACGTCATGCCCGTTTCGGGGGAGAGATCTTTCGTCAACCAAACACATGTGTTCGCCAGTGTTCGCCCTTGTCCATCCTTTTTTCCCAGCTGAGCGGCGTTGCCTGGTGAAAAAGGCCTTCAGTAGGAACCGACCAACTCCCCTGGCGCCCGGAGCGGAACCCGCGGAACCCGCGCCTCTGGCCGCGGTCCTCTCCGAGCCTCGCAGCTTGACATGTGCACGGGGGGCCGCCCGGCTTCGCGCGCGCCTTTTCAGGTTCCAGCTGCGCGGCTAGCTGTGGCTTCGTGCCAGAGGTCGTGCCCCAGCGCGCACGAAGCGGAGAACGAAGAGGGGAGCTGGTGGGCGGGTGAGGGTCAGCCCAAGCGGGTGAAGATGACGGCAGATCGTTGCGTGAGGTCAATGAAGACCACAAGCACCGGAATGTTTACAACTTTTCCATCTCGTTGTTTGGGGCAGGAAGGCTGTTTCGACCTCAAGCACCACTTCACAGCATCATATGTTTTCCAAGGTCACCATATATAGATTCATTAAACACAATTCTTACACATTGAAAGAACCTTGGTGCACGCAGATGTAAGAATTGACAATTGACGATGAATGTTCCTTTTGTCCAGGGGCGTCTAAGGGGAGGTGTCGATGAACCACGCCCCCTTATGTCGATTAACCTCATCAGCTATCTAAAATGAGACACCCCTTCTACGCCTTAAGCCGCCTGGGCCGCCAGGGCGGGGGGTTGAGGAGCTGTTCCCTTTTACGGAGCTGAGCCAAAAACGGAGGTTGAGCCGTTCACTTCTTCTTTGGAACACAACGACTCGCTGGAAATTCGGGGTTTGAGGCTCGAATCCATGAAACATAGCGGTTTTCACCTACCATGCGGCGCATGCTTTTTGCTGGGGAACAACGGACCCACCTACCTCCGCACCACCGACCTCCGACCTCCAAACCGTTCGCGACGGACCGAGGACATGCAACCCCAGTTCCTGGTGGCCAATGTGTTCAAGGCTCGAGCCGCTGTTCCTTGGTGTGAAGGCTCCAGAGATGGGAGGGCTTCAGACCGGGGGACCGGACAGAGCCTGTAGAGGATGGAGGACTCCGAGGACGTCTTGGGAGTTGCTGAGATTCCATGAAGGTGCCGGTGATGGCTTGTTTGCTTGTTTGGTAGGGGCATGTTTGAAAGCTTAGAAGTAGTGCAAGGCATCTTGGCATATGTTTGCTTACCTAATACTTGCGAGCCTGCATGCCTGCCTGTTGTCCCTCATGATCCCTATTTAGATCACTGACCTGGTTGGCCTCATGTCGGACGGATTCCGGACTCACAGGACCCAGTTCTTGATGTTGTCGACCTCTACATACCAGCGGTCCTCAGAACAACACGATGAAACGTCCAGGTTTTCACACACCAAAACCAAGGGTCCAGGTTTTGGATGCTTTGTGGGACCCCCTGGTAGACCAAACCCTCCATCTCCAACCCAACATGCTCACCTCCATGCCCCACGCTCCGCCACCATCGATCCTTCTCTGCTTCCCCTCGGTCCCCAGAACTTTTGGACCCCCCCAAGAGCCTGGAGCTCGAGCTCCCGCGTCGAGAGGGAACGCTCCGTTGGGACGCCCGGTCCACACCCGGTGCGAGGCTGGCCGGATCGGAGGGCTTCGTCTTCGTGTTTGGTGCGAGACGTCTCTGGCAAGCCGAGGCGAAGAATCCGGACTACATCCTCAACGTGGGCGACAACTTCTACTGGGGTGGCATCGAAGTGGACTGTGGCAGCACACCCATGAGCCAGATCAGCGGCACGGCGAGCACCTTGGTTGGAACCAGCGCGCCCACGGGAAGCGCACGGCCCGGGCACGGTCCGCAGGTGAAGGCGCCAACATGGCTGGGTGAAAGGGGGATCGTTTGGTGTCCACTTCAGGGAACAGTCTTCCTGCACCGCCCAAGACACACATGTTCCATCATGTTGACCTCCACCCCTTCCTTTGCTCCCCTTAGTGCACAGTCTTTCCACCGCGCGCCCCGTACGAAGCGAAGGAATCCTCCCGCGACCGGGTGCGACCGCGACTTGGGGCCGACGTGGGTGGTCGGTGCCCGCAGTGCGACCCGGTGCGACCCGGTGCGGCCGGGCCAAGGACATCAGTTCGACAACATCTTTGAAGGCATCTACCAGGGCCCAGGCGCGTCGCGTGCGGGACAAGCGGTGTTGCCTGCCGGTGTTGCCGGTGGTGGATCCGATTGGGAGATGCGGAGAAGGCGGTGGATCGATGCACGTCTTTTGGTTCTCAGAGCCGCGTGTGGTGCACACATGGCCATGTGCAGTTTGAAGCCTACGTGTCTCGGACGCAACCCCGACCGAAGCACGTTGCACAGTAGGACCCACGTGCGGTGCTTGTGGGTGTACTCGGTGGCGACGCGACGCCCCTGCAGCACAGGAGAATTCTTCTTGATGTTCTACCTGACAAAGAAAACTGATATACACCATCTAAGTTCTGGAAATGTTTACCTTCAACGCAAAAAGCTTTTTCTCGCAGGAAGTCCGGCCCTTCGAGAGCGGCCGCGGGATCCGGCGCGCCCCGCCGCCAGCAAGGCGGCGATCCTGCTGTCCAGCGCCGCGGAATGCAACGCCGGCCAGCACTGCAGCGTTTACCTGCAGCTAGCCCAATAACACAGAGACGGTGCTGAGGACAGACCCGTTTCCGATGAGGTCGCCATATATGCCCATTGCCGGTGCACAATACCTTCATTGATAACAGCCGGCACGCTTACCTCAGCGGGCTCGCTGCCAGCGTCGGGTGGGAGGTCCCTCCTGACTTCCCGCTGCCTGCGCCGCCGGCCCGGGACACACAGCCACAAATCGAAAGTGCGCGATTGCCGAGCATTCGAATCGATCGGGTCACATATACGAGCAGAGCACCAATTTGCCACGCGCAAGCACACCTGCAAAGCGCCCGCCTGCCCCTTCAAAGCTACTTGCTGCGAAGGTGGCAGGCGCTGCCAGCGAATCCGCGACGCCGCAGCGGGCGCCGAGATCCCTGAGTTGCAAGAGGACTTCATCGGTCCTCTGCAACCGTGGATCCTGCATGGCGCCGAAGTGCTGGCAGCAGCGTCAGGCCGGGCGGTAACAAGAAATCCAAACTCGATCAAAGCATCCAAAACTGATGATAACCCTTGCTACAGGACCAATAAAATTCAGGAGCTAGGGGCAACTTTCCCCATAAGAACTTGAACCTATGAACTTTTTTGAGTTTGAGGGCCCGGCAACAATCTTAACTTCAAGGCTTAAGAGCTTGGTTTGACAAATTCATGATGTGCCAGAGATGGCACATCAGATAATTGTTTATGAGGTGGCCCTGGTAACTTAATTAAACCATACTACAGTCGCTTATGATAGAGGATATTAGTTGGTATGCTTGCCTTAGACGTAAGACCATAGGAATCCCCGAGGTCCTTATGGTAGAAATTTCCTGGCCACAATCATGGCTACTATGGCCTCGCACGGCCTGTCACCGGTTTGCTGTTGGTGAGGTTGGATCCCTGGTGGCTTTAGGTTGCGGCGGGGGTAGGTGGGTTGTGGTTCTTGAAATTTCGGGCGCTGGGTTTTTGGTGTCCACCTGGATTAAATCCAAAAGGCAATGCTCTAAACTAGCGAACTTTATTTTGGCGGCCCCACGCTCATGTTGTCAAAGAGGTAGGCCCAGAGTACTTTATTCCCCAAACAATGTGGACACACTAGGAGTTCTTACGGTAAGTGTAAAGGGCCGGTGTCTAATCGATCCTTGCTTCTTGCGAGGAGGCTCCTCATAGGGGCTTTTGACACCAATTTAAATCCAGTTCACTGAAGAAGTTGCTATTACGGCCTCCCGAAATCCCCGAAGTGCATTTCGATTGCGCAGGCTCTCTGGTCGGGCGCGGTGGGTTCTTGTCGTGACTGCGCTCTCGTTGTGGTACCGTGCGCGTTTTCGGACATGGTGGTCACTTTTCGTGGCAGGCGCAAGGGAAAACTTGTGTTTTGGTGGTGCAAAGTCGACTTTTCGTGACAGATGCAAGGGATCAGGTTTTACTTCGACATGCAGATTTCATGGCAGGTGCAGCACTTTGGATATGGTGGTGATCTTCGAGGCGCTCTGATTTCGTGACAGGTGCAGTGAGTCGTGACTTTTTGACATGTGGCTCGTTTGTAGATTTCGTGGCAGGTGCAGTACTTTGTGGACCTTGAAGTGCAGATTTTGCGGCAGGCGCAGCACTTTGTGAACCTCGAAGTGCAGATTTCTTGGCAGGTGGTGCAGCACTTTGTGAACCTTCACTCTCACTCTCGCACTCTCACTCACACTCACACTCACACACACCTCTCACTCTCACCCTCACGCTCACACACACTCTCTCTCTCTCACTCTCACTCTCACTCTCACTCACTCTCACTCTCACTCTCACTCTCACTCTCACTCTCACTCACTCACTCACTCTCTCTCTCTCTCTCACTCTCTTCTCATTCTTGCCCGCGCTGCAGGACGAGATCGATGATGCCGGTCGGCTGCTGCGCGCAGAAAGGGGCGAAGTCGCGTGAATGTAATGGCCATTGACCGCCATCAGTCCATTTGGTTTTCCATTGATCCCATCCCTATCTAATTTTTTCAGGGGTGTGATGTGAGGTCTTGAACAACTAAGGCAGAATAATCTTCTTTGGAATGTTTTTGATCATTCCAGGGCATGGGTCTACATGATCCCAGTTCAAAAGCTTGGAAGTTTAAGGTTTCTTATTCCAGCGGTAGCTGATTGGTATTACATGCCGTGCAGGACGCACTCACACAGTGTTTGAATCAGTTTGAAAGCGTGTTGAAATATGTTGAACATGTGTAGATCAATGGAAGTGATTTGAAGCCTGTTGGGAACACGATTCAAGTACGATGGTTTTTAGTACCATCATGTCCTCTTGGGGATGTATTGCAATGATTTCAAGGGCCCCTGGCATCTTAATAAGTGGCAGAAAAACTCCCAGCCCCACCAAGATCCACCTAAATCCAAAGAAGGTGAACGAAGAAAGCAGCTTACATCTGCGCCGATGAGGGTTGCCAACCAGGCTTAGTCTTTGCATCAAGGAGACCTCCTTTTTGGTTCCTGGAATTAAATTCCTTTTCGAATGATGCCGGTGAAGCCATGGAGGTGATGATGGGCAACGCTCCGCATGCGCAGTCGAGCTCCTCTAGAGGAGGCAACCTTCCTGGCTTTAAGATGTTGGGAGGTGCAGGCCACGGAGGTGGAGGCAATGGAGGCGGAGGCGGCAAACAAGCTTCTCAGGAGCAGGAGTCTCAGCAGACGCCACCTGGCCGTTTGCCCACCCATTCGCCTCCTTCAGCCACGGCAAAGGCGGCTGAGCATCCTTCAGGTCCATCAGCGCCAGCGAAGGCTGAAGCTCCTGCAGGGAGGGCTGCGAAGATAGATGACTGCATGGACGTGCCTGCAGCGGAAAAGGCTGCTGAAGCTGACGCTGAAGAGTTTCTGAAGGCACGACAGAAGCGGGAGTCCACGAAGGCCAAAGAGCCCAAGCCCAAGGTCCTGAAAAGGCCAGCAGCCATCTCAGATGGCAATGTGAAGGAGTGGAGGTCCAAGCACCACAAGCAGGTGATTCCAAGGTCTGGTGTGGTAGGTGGTATTATCAGGCAACGTCGATATTATATCACCCAAGCCGCATCAAGCATTTGTTGAGCAAAAAAGCTTTGGTGGCTGCAGGGGCGTCTTCCTCTGCAAGAAGATGAGGAGGTGAGAAGAAGGGCCTACCGAACGGGAAACGCAATTAGGCGAAACAGCTTGTGCCACTTCAAATGCTAGGTGGAGCCACCGGCAGATCACAGAGGCCACCGCTAACTCTTGGTGAGAATTAGGACATAAATTGGATGCGGCCTGTGAGGCAGAGACGAGGCCACGTAAGACAGAAGGCTTCTTGAAGGAGGCGCGACTCAACTTACGCACAACGCGAGCAACGCCAAGAACCCCAACATTCGACGCCCATCCATTTGCAGGTGGCAGCAACAAAAAGAAAGTCAGACTGGCATAAACTAAAACGCGATTATTATTACCATCCACGTGTTCATTTGCCGGGTGGTGTCGACCGAAGAGGGCGCAAAAATGTCAGGCTTCCTTTTGAGCTTAGAAGTTGAGAAAACAGTCGACCTGGCAGGTGAAGCTGGAGCGGAGCAAAGCAGATCGCGCCGCAAAAACGGTTGTTTGCAATTTTGAACTATATATATCTATAAGGGACATTTTTGTTTTGCATTCCAAGAATGTCCATGTACCAATTAATTAATATCAGCCACTGATGAAGTATCTACAAATTCCACAAAAAGTCGGATTGACGCACGAGCGATTCGCGTGCAAGCGCAAAAAATTTAGCGGCAAGGCGTTTCTTGCCAAAAAAATATAGATAAAACGAATCAAGAAAAACTGTCGATATGTATGGGCGTGATCGCTTTCCTCAAGTATAAAAAGCGTTCTTGTGCGCGCGTTGAAATTAGGTGCCAGATTCGCTATCGCCCGTGCGCTGGCCTTGAGCGAGGTGCCCACAGGGTGTTGCAGCTATCAATGGCATTTTGCGATCGTGAGTGAATAGCCAACAGCGTTTCTTTATTGGTATTCTTTTTTGGGGGTTTTATGTGTTGTAGATGTTGTAGAAATGCTTCTGGCGGACCGGTCCACACTATGTCTCCCCCTTCTACACAAAAGCACTTCAAACCGTGAACACCCTCTGTGCGAAGACGCGAGCGAGCGCCCGAAGGGGGCGGCGAGCGCCCGAAGGGGTCGGCGAGCGTCGAGCGCGTGAGTTACACCATCGTAGACCTAAAACGGCTGACCGACGGAAATCTGCGTCTTCATAAAAATTACAATGGCACCACCGAAAGGTGGAAACAGGTGGAAACGGAAATAGGAGGCAACAAGGGCCAGGTTTCGGAAGGCGCAGGTGTCTCCACCATTTGGAGTTAATTCAAGAGTTTTCCAAAATTATTGTGAAACATATTTTTTTTCACGGTTTTGTTGCGTGTTGACTGTATAAATCAAGTTTTTAACACTAGAGCATGCATTTTCACGGGCGACCGTTCGCGACCGACTCTGTGAAATGGCTGCGAACATCACTATGGCGATTGCCTGCGTGAGCAAACATGTATGGAAAATGTTTTTTGATGCGCTCGGCTCGTAGACGCCCGACCCTGGAAAAAAGATATGAAATAGAAAATTTGACCTGGCTTTGTCGTCACAACGCATTCAATCACTGGTGGGCCAGAAACCCTCCATTGACTACGGAAATCAACTACCGGTTTCTTACGCGGTCTGGACGAATGGACGAAGGCTTTCAGCATCGCCGGATCAATGGACGCGTCGCGGAATGGCAGTCGAAGCAGATCGCAGTGAGCAATTTGGGGAACATTCAGTGGCCAATAGAATTTTGGGAGTCCAATACTGCTTGTAAAATGGTTGACGTGGCTTTGTAGTGTAACACCCTTAGTAAAATACCGGTTCGGTAAAGACTCAAGGAATGATGGTCCTCACAAATTCCCAAAACAATGTCCTTGGACCCTCTTCCACCACTGCTGGAGGTCTTTGGCATCCAAAGGGATGGGTCTTCCGTCGATCCTTCCTGTCACTTCGTGTGAGGCTTGAGCAACAAGCCGTGGCTCAGTGTTCTCGGGAACCACGACTGGGGAGGCACGACTTGTTCGGCAACGTGGATGCGGGGACATGGATGCGGCGACCCGCTGGCGACTGTTCGAACGGATTCAACGCCTCCGGGCGTCATTGGTTTTGCTTGAGGGTTCCCCATGAAATTCTTTCAAGTTTTGGTGAAATGAGCCTCTTTGGGCAGAGGGTATTGTAGTAGTAAGTAGTAGTAGTAGTAGTAGTAGTAGTAGTAGTAGTAGTAGTAGTAGTAGTAGTAGTAGTAGTAGTAGTAGTAGCAGGAGTAGTAGTAGTAGTAGTAGTAGTAGTCGTAGTCGTAGTCGTAGTGGTAGTGGTAGTGGTAGTGGTAGTGGTAGTGGTAGTAGTAGCAGTAGCAGTAGCAGTAGCAGTAGCAGTAGGAGTAGTAGTAGTAGTAGTAGTCGTAGTAGTAGTAGTAGTAGTAGTAGTAGTAGTAGTAGTAGGAGTAGTAGTAGTAGCAGAAGTGGTTCTTGTATCAGTATTATTAGTGCAGTATTAGTATATAGTAATGCACATCAATGAAAAAGGACTGATATGATCAAATAGGCGTGATGTGATCCGTCAACGGCCATGCAAGCGAGGATGAAGATGCAGCATCAGCAGTTCGCGTTGATGGTCTGAGTGTACTGCCGATGTTGAGGTGGCACCAGAGATGATTATGATGGTTTGCTCATGTTTGCTCTTGGTGGCACCCCAAATGACGTTCTGATTCCAAAGATGAGATGCTGATGGCCAGCATGGTGAATTGTTGAGAATAAAGCACGAGGCAGCAGCAAACAATATCTGTATATATATATATAGATACGTATATATTGTATTTATAGTATTATATACACATGACTGCGGTCATTCTCCCCAAACCTCCCTCATGCGAACTTGTGAATAGGAAAATCATCTTGACCCAAGGATACACTCTCTTAAAACTGTTCTTGCAAATGGTAAGTGTCCTTATCCCTATGGACTCTATTTTTTGCCGAGTTTGCCGGAAAGTGATGTGACCCGGCCAACATATTCCGAACATAAAGGAGGAAGGGACCGGGTGATTTCCGCTGAAAGATATTTCAAGACTCCAAGAGTGACTGCTGCCCTGGAAGACAGTTTTTTGGATTTTTCCATCAGACCACCTGGGCCTGTTCACGTTTCACGTTTTGTGGGCGACCTGAGAGTCATGTCTTCCTCGCTGCGATCCTTCAGCACTGCCGGGGCCGAAAACACCTTCGCATCGGTGAAAGACACCGTCTCCGTTGAAAACGCAGCAGGCCGCCAGTTCTACAACGGCTGGGCGCCTTCGGCCTTCGGTGTAACGGTGTTAAGGGAATCTCAAAACGGGTGGGTCGGGTTTTCCGAAGTGGCAAGACGAAAGCAGGGGACGAGGGAAGGTTTGCCCTCACCAGAGAGTCCAAACTGGCCACCACTCAGTCGCACCAGTCGCACCAGTCAGTAGAGTCATTGGTCCCACTGTCGTCACAATCATCATTATCATCATCATCATCATCATCATCATCATCGGTATTTTGTGTCCTCTCTTGCAGTCTTCTCAGGCCACCTTCTCGTCTAGTTGAGTTTGCTCTTTGAAAAAGGTCTGGTCGATTCCGGCGACCAAACGACGACCGGAAGCCGATGCGGCGACCTGAGGACCAGCAGATCGCTTACACCTGGGCCTCCAACCGTTGGAGGATGCCGGCCCCGTGCGACGGACGGAGGGACGGAGCGACGGACGGTGGAAGATCCACCGAGGTGTCTCTCTCCAACATGACCACCGATCCAGTCAGTCAGAGGTAGGGGGACCAGAAGATGATCTCCTCTTAGGCGTTTTGGGCATTGGACCTCCAAATCTTATATGATCAAGTTGTCAAATCACCCCGTTGGCAGTCCTCCCATAGAGACCGACCCAGGCCTTTTTCCATCAACCTCTCTATCCGAGATCGACAGAGTGGCGAAACGGTTTTACCCATCGAATCCACCACGATCTGGGCCCCCAAAAAGAAGGCCTGCCATCCCCCCGCCAAAAAAATGCCGAACAGGTACTGGAGCCAGCACGTGTCGTACCCGGACCTGGGCTTTACCGTTGACATCCTCATGCACGACAGCAATGCCATGGATGCCAAGGCCCATCATGAAAGTGGCGTGCATGGGTTGGGTCATGGGCCTCCGGCCAGGCGCTGACGACGCGCCCGGAGGCCATGTGGCCCAGTGATGTGTGGGCAAACTCCGCAAGACACCAGATTTCACCGTCGCTTGCCTGACGTGTGCAATGATCACTGCACAAAGTACTGGTAGAATTTTGTTCATCGATGTTTATCGATATCCATCTTTCCCACACGCAATGTGAAAGACACTTCAGGACAGTTCAGGACTCTGCATACGGTTTTTTTCCCCAACACTTTTTTCTTCCCCAACACTGAAAAGGAACGACAAGAGATATACACTCTGACTCACTAAGATGGAAGTGCGACGACCACCAGGTCGACCCAACTCTTTTGGTCCACGACCACCAGGGTTCCATTGCTCTCCAGGGCCCCCCCGCGCCATGCATCCTTGCATCTCCGTGCTCTACCCGTCCAGAACCCGGAAGAAGATCCTGAGCACAACATGTGCAGTCGGGGTCCTTAGAACACACAGGGACCAATCAGCTTGGAGCGCTTCAGGTCGGAGCTGTTTTGGGGGGTCCTGAGCTCGGGATGCTCGGGATGGGGAACACACTCCCCGCCGCTTAGCTCGGGATGGGCCTGAAGAAGCACATGTTCTTGGCATGGGGTTCTTGGAGTTCTCGCTGGAACCGTCCGACTTGGTGATGCTACTTGTCATAGATACATGTTACATGGTGAAGTTTGAAGGTGAAACAGAGTTTTGTTGGGATGCTTCGATAGTCAAATCCAGAAGAATCTACCTGGGTGGGCCTCCTTAAGGCTTAAGGGGTGTCCAATCCATAGCTCCGAAAAGAGGTGATTCGCGATGTCCATCCACCGGTCGCCTCTCCACCGCGGTGTCCCGGTCACAAGGCCGAAAGCACAACCGCCCCGATGCCAACTGCGCCAGCGCCGGTGGCCCGTCCTCAGTGGACAGCTGCAAGGCGCCCGGAGCGGAGACAGCGAGGTAGCAGACCGCGCGCGGAGGGATTGGGGAGTGGATCGAGACGGGGATGGAGGTGGTGTCCAGTCGACCGAGTCCGGTGACACGAAGGACTTTCCGGTTCGCTTGTTTGGTGCCTAAATCTACTCTGCCTGTTGTCACATCTCAATTTTACTGGAGTTGGTCATACAAACACACTACCCAAGGAGGTGAGTGAAAGACCCTTGGACCTGGGTCGGACGTACGTCGGGATCGTCTTTCACTGGTCTTGGTATTTCGGGGTATTTCGGCATAGGGAGGCCGACACCTAGGCGTTCCGACCCCCTGCGGAAGGTTCGGTTTGGTTCAGAACATAGACCAGCCATGGCCAGCCTAGCCATTCATGACACATACACGCCCAAATTGGAGTCTTTCACTCGTATTTGAGGGTGTTCTGTCACCTTCCGTCCACCTTCCGTGACACGTTCTTTTGGATTGGACCGACCAAGTGAGAACGCAAGTGTTCGAAGCCCATGGGGTCTGGCGATGCTTTGATTTGGGTGTGTTTTTTAATAAGGAGACCCACAGGCCCAATGGTTTTTGGTCTGTTTCCCAAACCGAACCCAGGGGGTTTACCTCGCCCGGGAGGTCTCCCTATGTAAAAATACACACCCAGTTTGGTTTATAGCAGAGATTAAAATGACCATCCTGCCCAGTAGGTTCCCTTTTCAGGAAGCTTTTTGTCCACGAGTCACATGCAGACATTGTGTTGCAAAGGAAGTGTCTGGCCGGTTTCTCTTCGGGCACCTTTCGCCAGTGGGGAGGGCGACAACCAACCAGGGTTTTGACAATTTGTATATTATTAGTATTATTGTTATGATATATATATAATATAAACATTTTTTGTGTTTTGTTGACTTCGGTGAGGTCATGCAGTTCGAACTTAGTTGGTCCAGATGCATGTTTGAGGTCTAGGAGCTTTGGTCTCCCTTCAATGTCACGCATAGACTAGATTCTGTTTTCGAGCTGAGCGAGTGAGGTGAAGTAAATAGGTACCAGTGGGCACCAGCATTGCTAGAATGCAACCAGACCAAAAGGTCCCAGAACAACCCGTTTTCCCATTGGATTCTTGAGGTTCCAAGCTGTCGAGTCAATCATTCTTATGTATCTCGAGCAGGTTCAAAGCCACTTATTCCAGGTCTCCAAGCCACGAGAGATTCGCCAGTAGCGTTCCGGTATGGGCCCAGCGGAAGTAGAGGAATTCCATTGTTTTGGGAGTGCCTCGGCCCAGGGCTGGTTCTGGGGCCTCTATGCCGAGCAAAAGCCTTGGGTAGAGACTTGGTCGGCTTCAGCCGAAGCCGTTGACGCAAAACATGTGGTCAAATCCGTAGACGCAACCTTTGACTGGTCCCGTCTGTCCCAAAAATGAGGAGACCCCTCCCCTGTTCTAAAAATTAAGGAGACCTGTCTTCTCCCCGTCAGACAGTCTGGGACACCTCTGGGGTGGAATTGCTCCGTCTGCCAGGCTTTCAGGGTCGGGACCGTCCGCACCCAGGGTCGGTTGGGGAGCACTGAGAGGGAGTCCCGGGACTGAAGAGGGTTAGGAAAAAAGGGAGCAGTGCTGGGATTTGGGGAGGCATATTGGATCTGTTGGGTCCGTCCTAGGCCACCTGTAACAGGAACGGTCAACAAGGAATCTGAGATGGATGTCGGCCTACAGGCCCCCATCATCATCCCATTGCCCGGGCCACTGGGCCCTGGTGCTGGGATTATTCCTCACATGCCTTGCGATGGGTTTGCACCCCATTGTGATCGCTAGCCATGACTCCAGATGTGATCGCCACCTGCTCTCTTCCATTGGGAAGGCACCGACCCAAAAGCCCGCCGAAGGGGCGGCACGAGGAAACCCCCCGCACCCGGAGGGTTCCTCTCAGCTCAGCTCAGCTGGTTCCGCCCAGATGTTCGTTCGGATCTCGTGAAGCGTCCCGCGATTCGTGCGTCCCGCGACGATCTCGGCGTCCGCCGTGCCCGAAACGGCGACCGCCGACGTCGGAGGTTCGCCACGAAGGCTTCGCAGAAACGGCGGACGTGCCTTTTTTTTTTTGCTCCGAGGAGGGCAAGTTGGCCCACTCCAAAGCGGACTGGCAGATCATGGTGCCTTTGGCACAAAGCACGACTTGGGGTGCTTCTGGGTGCTAATGATTTGGTTGATGAAATGGAGAGGGAGGGATTAAAGTTAAATATGCCCATTCCGGGAATCTTCATTGTTTCAACTCAACTCGCTTCTCTTGGACGTTGGAAGTGGACCACTTCGGCCTCTCTTCCAGAGCCATGTTGCTGTTGCTCGAGGAATGGAGCTGGGCTCGACGGTTGGCCTTCGTGGCGTTGGTAGCTCGCAGCCTGTATATTGGAGTAGGTACCAATTAATATCGACTCAGTATTTGACCTCGCCAGTGACCCAAAAGTCCGTTGGATGGCTCGCCCGACTTCATTTGGAGAACTTAGTTTCAGACCTTTGTCCAAGACAATGCTGGTGATACATGCGACCTTGTCTTGAGTCAGTCGGCTTCCAAAAAGACCCCAAGGGGCTCCCGGGTGTCCTTGTTGACAGCTCACCGACGACGAAGATCACCGGTGACACGACGCTCACCGGGACGCACGGTTTTGTTTCGCCAAGGTGACCCATTTCCCCTGCGGCCACGACTCTGGGTGGGGCATGGGGCTGGAGCTGTTGGGCCATGTTGGGTGTCTTGTGAGTGGTTTTTCCGTGGGGTGGCCGAGTGGACATCAAAGGCTTTGGACACCCTGAAGCGAGACGTGGCTTCTTCAGAGTGGGCGCCCGTGCTGCTTTGGTTGGGATCAAAAGCACGGCTGAAACCGGGGCTTTTGTTTCAAACAGTTTACAACTTGTCCACTTTTTAGCCTTCAAAGCCCACTAAAAGCCTGGTTTAGTACGTGCAACAATTCTTAGTATAGAACAATGGTTGTCCGGGATTTAAGCGTTCCATGCTGCTTCAACTCCTATAGGGTTGACCATCAAAGGCCGATCTGAACACATCAGGGTTCAGATCGGGTTCGCCAGCTCATCTCCCCTTCTCTCCAATACATTGGGCTCCAACGAACGGGGGCTGAAGGGGCATGTTTCGATGTCATGTTGCCCCCGAACCCTCCAAACCGACCCAACGCCCCGCAGGGACGTCCTTCGCCGTCCTTCGCCCGACGGCTCGTACCGCCGTGCTGGGACGGCCGTGGCCGTGCTTGGCAGATGTCGCAGGTGGTACCGCTCCCTCCACACACGCCTGGGCTTGGATTTGCTGGTCACCGGACACCGCCACGATCAGGACGGGCGGTGTAGTATAGTCAGTGCGGTGGCCGACGGAAGGCGATTGGAGATTGGCTTCGGAGAAGGGCGAGACTCGAGAAGTGTTTGGTTCAGAAACACCTCATCAGCTGTGAACATCACCGGAGCTGCAGGCCGCGCAGCCTTGGCGAATTCGCTGGTCCACCGAATGTCCCACGTATTCTCCCACGTTTTGGCGGGAGGAGTTGGGCTCCAACTGGGGTGCTCTCGGTGGTATGATGTGTGGCTTGGCTTCAAGGTGAGAAACGACCTGATGGCTGAAACGACCTGATGTGGTGAAACCCGGCGTTCCGACCCTTGGTTCGGCGGGGTCTCTCCATTAAAAGACACACCCATGCATGTATACCAGCACCGACTTCACATGCTGAGCCCACCTTGCATTCAGGTAGAATGTACTCTTATACTGGATCAATAAAACCCCCCGGGCGCCAGATGTAAACCAATAAAACCATTCTGGAGATGGAGGGGTCAAAATATTGGTTTACATCTGGCGCCCGGGGGGTTTTATTGATCCAATATAGGAGTACATTCTACCTGAACGCAAGGTGGGCTCAGCATGTTTATCTCGGCACTGCGGCGAGTTCTGTGCTGGTGTGAGAACTTTTGAGAGATGGAACCATCACAATGAGTCACGAAGCGAACCACACGATTCCAGTGTGGAAGGCCCGACACTGAGCTTTCTGTTTGGTGCACCGCTTTTTTGGGGGGACCACTCCATGTACTGAATTGGTTCCTCCGCCGCCGCGGCGGATGTTCCGCTTGCCAGTGGAATCCTCGATTGTTGTGGACCGAAGCGACCCGAGGGGCTCGTGGGTTTTCGAAGCGACCCGATTCCGTTCCGGGCTCGGCGTGGACGACCCGAGCTTGGGAGTGCTGGCTGAAACAGCCCCAAGACTCCATCGAGTCGTGATCTTTTCACACCCCTTACCACCTGCGTATGTTCCGAACACACCTTGTATGGCCGTTTGTCTTGGGTCATCAATGGCATACACGGCACGTGAAGCCTTCACAGCTTTGGGGGTGGTCTGCGTTGGAGAGCTGTTTTCATGGGGTTCAAGATGCTCGAGGTACACTTCAACGGAACCTCTTATATATAAGACTTCAACAGCTCAGAGCTGCAGGTCTTCGTGTTAAAATTGAATCCAATGGGTGTACGAACCCTAGAGGATCTGTTGGAGGGTGGGTGTAGGGGCATCACGGCGTTTCCTTCAAACTCTTTTCCCGACTTTGCCACGGAGGAGTCGGCCTGCAACCTGGTTCCAAGATCCACCGGGCCAGAAAAAAAGACCCACGACCCTAACTCCGACGACCTGACGACCTATACGGAATCTTTAAGGGGTGTATGATGAATGGCCCCTTAGAGTCTTATGAGGTGAGGAACGGGCTGCCCTCGAACCACCGGAACCGGTCCACCGCGTCAACGGCCTCGCCCCGGTCTAGGCCTCGTGACCGGCGGCGGCGGCGGCATCACCTCGGAGGCGTCCCCCTGGGACCGCGCCCACTGGTACGGCGAGGGGCAGTGCCTCGGTCGACCCGGTTTGGGAGGTGGTTGGCGTCGCGGAACGTCGGCAGCTGGGCTCAGGTTTTTTTTCGCTTTTTTTGGCATTTGGAGGTCAGGGCTTTTTGCCGGTTTGGCAGTCTTGGGGTCTGAAAAAGAGGGGGCATGTGGGAGGCAGAAAAATGTTGGGAATCCATCTGAAGACCGATAGATTCTCTCCCTGCCCTTGCTTCAGATGAATGTAGACTCTTGATTAATAAACCACCCTTATGAAGAAGTTTTTCAATTGAAGGTTATTAATCAGCAGTCTACATTAGATCTCCATCAAATTGTTCCATCGGCAGCTGCTTCTGAGGTACGGCTTCTATGACTTGAGCATCTCCAAGGAGCGATGTGTTAACACCGATGTGAGTCAGGGGGCCTGGTAGGTCTCCTCCGGTCTGGTTTCAACAGAGGTCGGAGAAGTAGCAGTTGGACACTGAGTAGAAGTACTAGGTGTGATAGTCTTAGTAGCAGGGGTCCAGCACCACACAGTTCGGGTGGTTTGTAGACACCAAGGGCTCAAGCGTCAGGGGAATTTCCCTATTCTAAGACACATCCACAAGAAAAAGCAACAAACGAGCCACATATATATATATATACAAGAACCTGAGTGACCCGTATTTTGGACCACAAACCACCCAACATCTGATCTTTTCCTATCAAAACAGAGGTCAAATTGGCTCTAGGTATATATGTCACAATATGCCCATGAAGATGTGGGACAGGTAGTCACGAGAACACACGAACGATCAAGGCACGGGATAGCCAATGTTTTTTTGGACAGGTCTTTTTGACAGCTTCCTTTCGGTATAGATATGTATAGTATCTTACAACATATGACATATTCCTTTTTGCTTAAGGGGAACGAAGAAATGAACCAATCATCATTGTTAATAGTGGCTGCTGATTCTAAACCAGTAGCAGCTTTTGCACGTTTGCAGAGAGGGTCCTTTTTTCGGAGTGAGGGCTGCAGGAAGACTGGAGGACCAGCGAAGTGAAAGTGGAAGAGGTTCTCTGTCGAAAACGCTTCCAGGTGGAGCGCCGCCGTTCTAACATGGGCAACCAATACTGGGACCCACAGTCGGGGTGGTTAATGGACACCCCTTCTTCACCTCTTTTCGGGGCTATCAAGTTCGACACCCCGGTATGGGTGTCCTGGTATGGTTCTTCTCCTAAGGATCTGGACCCTCCCAAAACCAATCGCTTTGAGAAAACCCCGTCCACCCCCCCTGTGAAAGCCAGAGGCTTCGATCCGCCATCACGGGCGGCGGCACATCCGGTCACGGCGGCTCGCGGGGCGGTCAAACAAAACACCTCACAGCTCCATGTCCATTTCGGTCACCTGGAAAACCAATGATCAGGATTTCTTGACATACCCATGGACAATTGACCCATGAAACAACTCCTTATGGTTTTAAACCACCATGGCATACGCGGTCATTCTTTTCTTCTCTTTTCTTCTGCCGCTTTGGCCAGGTTTCCAACAGATCCGGTCGTTCGGTTTTGCTTCGTTCGGTTCGTTCACCTCTCAAAGGGTCGAGGCCACCGAGGAAGGCCAAGGCGCGAGTGCTTGGTTCCTTGTGCCGGAAGGATCCTCGGTGTGTGGTTTAGGCATTAGGGTCTGTCTCCCTTTCCAGGCCCTGGCTGGGTTTATTCTGGTCTCGTTTCCGAAGCAAAGCCAGAACCTTCCAGGGGGTCTTCCTATTTGAGCTACAGACCCATCTCTCAAACGATCGTTGCTCGTCCAAGCCACGTCGCACCGTGACCCTTGGGTCAGGAGAAGATCTTCATCGAGTCCATCAACTATGATGGCAAGGTTCTCAAGAGCGCCACCGTACGCCCCAGCCGCTGAGCGCTCTTCGCGCTCTTCCTGCGCTCTCCCTGCGCAGCATCTGAGGCTGGTCACCGGAAGGTTTCTGTGCCGTGCTGGGTGGGATTTTCTGGGTGGGATTCTGGAAGGCCATGATTTGATGGAAAAGACCAGGAAAGGTGACAGGATCAGCGAACCTGTTCTTTCTCAACTGAACCTTTCTGGACCAGCGAGGCTGTTCGTCCTTTTTGCCAGATTTTGACCCCCTTTGTCCCACTCAACTACACGTCTCATCTCACCCTGACAGACACCGTCTTCATCAGATCAAATCCAGAAGGAGGACCATGGTTACTCACCACACGAACGAAATGCGTAGCAAGGGGTGCCCACAAAAAGCCACGCTGTCACCGTTGATTCGGCTTCGGGTGGGGTGTGGTCTTGAAGGGAGATTGTGAGGGAGGTGAGCTTCGGGTGAAGTGGTCTTCTTGAACCTAAGGGTCCAAAGAGGGGCATGAAGCGAAACGTATGAGAGCCACCATCCACAGCCTAAGGGCAGATCTTGTGGAACATCTCCAAATATCGTCCATCCCACAGGAAGATCAAGATCAATCAACTGCAAAGAGCTGTCCTTGAAGCCTTTTGGAATTGACAGTGGTGTCTTTCAAGATTGTTTGACTCTTGAACCACTAGGTTTGACAGTGGTGTCCCACGTCGTTCCTTTTTCCAGAAGCAGCTCTCCAAGCAGAAGCCAGGCCTTCAACAACCAAGAGGCCGTTTAACGCACTCCGCTCAACCAGAATGATTCCTTCGAATAGGGGGCCGTCTCAAAACAAAGCTCAACCGATAGGGTGCGCTTACCCAAGCGGCTAAGAAGACCACCCGATGACGTGCCCTGACCTCCAACGGTCACCCGATGTGGCCGCGGTTTCCACCCAAACCGACGCGGTCGCCACCGGGTGTGTTAGCGGGGTGTGGCTTCCAGTCTGCCAGGCCACGACGAAGACAGCGGGCAGGCTGCCGGATGGCCGGTTGGACCCACAGAAGTGGTGCCACCAAATCCGTGGAAATTCGGCTTGTCATCTTAGATGGGGTGGTGCATACCTAAGGTGGTTTAGTTGCCAGGTACGTGATGTGTTCCAAACCTTTGTGGAGGTTTGTGCAGGAAGACCTGGAGATGTTTGCAAAGGGCCAACAGAGGAGTTCTTTATACACGTGCCTGCATTTGTGTGGCACACGCCCAACTGATCGATTCACTTGCCTTGATTGCAGCTCTTTTGCAGCTCTTTTGCTGTGGAACTTGCTTCGATCCACCGGCTGTCCGGGGCGCCGATTCCCTGCTGCAGCACGTGAATTCGAGGGTCCCATTGGGACGCCCGGCCCGTGAGCTCATATGAAAGAGCCACAAGAGTAGCAGAGCACCTTTGGGCAGCTTCTTGGATGGCTTGACCAGATACAGTTTGCACTAGAAATGGACCAATGGCAACTAAGGCCCTAAGAGAGGAGACCATGGAAAAGGCAGGTTTGCTTCAGGTTCTGTGTTAATCTTCCATGGTGTCAGGTTATTTCCACTTGGAGCAGCAATAGTTGTACTCTTCCACCTGGTCCAACAATTGGCTTCCTGCTAGTTTGACAGCGTTATGTCAGAAGTCATGGCTCCGAAGAATACGTGCGAAGCTGGATGGAGTCCATGAAAGCGCTCACGTCAGATGACCGAAACCATGCATCCTAGTCCGTGCTGTCAATCTATACCTGCCAGAAGGTGAAGAAAGCCTTTAAAAACACACCTGCTGCTCCAATCAGTGGTCGCGGCGGTTTTGAAGGCAGACTTTGCAGAAGGAAAAGTCTGATCTCCATGTTTTCGCGGGCGGCCAACACGCCAAATTCGACCCGTGAAAAGTTTATTGGCGCTGAGAAGCGGCCCAGAGAAGCGGGCAGGTTTGTGGGTCATAAACTTAGGGTGTCCCAATACCAGTAACAGTTGGTAAAAGACGAATCATCATATATCACTCATTTTGAGACGTCGGCCTTTCCATGCCTCTACTAACCATCATGATCCACTGGGCGGTAATGGGATATACGGTATACGGATATTATGTATATACCGATATACCCAAGTCATACTGCCACCAGTCCAGGGTTCTTGGGTCGGGTCGAAACATCTTGAGCCAGATGCATTGCGAAGATGCAGATTTTTGAACGGGTTTGGCAAGTGCTCACAACAAACTACACCGTCGAAATCGCGAAGCGAAGGCCACGATTCTGTAAAAAAGGTGGACTCTGGAGAAGTCAGGGGTTTGTATCAAGGGGTGCATGAGGCCTTTGAGAAGGATATGGGATCCTCGTCCTTGGACCGAGGTTGGTTTTCTCCCCTCCAATGTCCTTCCTTTTGTTCTCCGGGTCCATGGAAAAGCACCGAAAAAGCACGTTGGAACGACGTGGATCCAGCATGGGAATGGGACATGAACATATTTGGAGTGAGGATGCAGACTGTTACTGTAATGAAAGCACCGCCGGATTAAGGTGGAACAACCTCTTCATTTACAGGCCCCAACATAATATATTCATCCAGAACCTACATTAGTCTGTGGTCAGTGAGTTGGACATGGTACTTGTAGCCTCATGTTTGTGTTCAAAGCTTCGCTCGGGTTGCTCTTGGGCCATCCTGGAGATGTTCCATGCATGCCACGCATAGAGTCGATGAGTGTGGTGTTCCGAACACCGAGAGTCGACGCGCGTCTCGGTGACACCGAAAACTGCCGTGCTGAGCGCTTCGTGTCTTGGGCGGTCATGGAGCCCCACAACCTTCCGGGCTTGCTGGATGGATCCCCGCTGGATGGTGTCGCAGTAGGAGTCGTGTTTCACGACGCCGGATTTGGGAGAAGTCCGCAGAACCATCAGTTGCTTCGGACACGGATTTTTTGTTGGATTGGAATTCGATCATTGTTTTTCATGGTCTCAAAGACGTTTTATTCAGGACTTTAACACTACATCACCAGGTCGTTCCCATTCTTTTTATGATTCTTTGAAGGCTAGGCCGGCACATGGATGGTGGTGTAGGTGAGACGGTACAAAGCGGTGTCTGGGGTTGAACACCACCTACAAGGCTTATATGGTCGGTGTATGGTACTCACGGACATGAAGGGGTTGTGTTGAGAGTGTTTACTGTAGCTTTTCATTTCTGTTCGCACAAATTGCACATACTGACATAGGTGGAACGAGCAGATGGGCACGTGAACCCGATTCTGGGTCATTTCTTGCTTCACAACCCATCTTGAACCATGTTTTTCCCCTGCAGGCAGTTTCTGTTTTCCATCCCTGCGTCCCTGCGTCGTCCCTTCGATCACCGCTCTCGACCGATGCTGAGGCCAAGCAGGGGAAAGGCGTTGCACCTCGGCGGGCAGGAGCGAGCGCAGGAGCAGATGGATTGCAGAGATGAACCGAATGGGCTCTTTTCCAAGCCACCTGGGTACCCAGCACCCGGTGCTCATTCATTTTTTGGTGCTGGTGGAGGATCACTTGTTCCACCAGTCGGGTCCTTATTTCAGGGTCGGTTCTTTGGGAAGTGGTGCCCCATTTGCAGTTTGCCGTGTCTGAACTCACGTCGAGTTGGAGAACGGTCTGAGAACCAAAGGCCCGGTTGGACCCTGCTTGGACCTCCCCCCAAAAAAGCACGTTCTTTTTGGGCCGTGGGTCAAGGGCCACCCAGAGGTTGACCGAGTCCACTCTGGTAGGTGGACCGAGTGCTCGTCTGGTCGTCCATTCTAACCCGGTTGGGGGGTCCTCAGTGCCAGCCGCAGTCAGAAGCTTCGACGCTTTGGAACTGCCGAACACCCAGGAATAGAAGGTCGGCATGCCAGAATGCCAGAATGCCTACTGAGCCAGGTAGGGAGGTAGGGCCCGAACCTTTGAACCTTTGAACCTTGACCGACTGGAGGCGCCGTTGGGGACGGATTGAGGTCTTGACTGACTTGGGCATTTCGTGCCTGGTCACCGACGAGGACCGGTTTCCGGGCGCGCACGACGGAGCAACGTGTTCTTGTCCATTCGAAGAAAGACCACCCGACCATGCCCCCTTATGCCCGTACATCGCGCTGGAAGAGTTCGAAGCCAGGCAACGGTCGACCTTGGACGCTTCGGATTTGGACGTCGAGACTTCGATGGTGGGCGGTTTGAAAGCTTGTTCTCTCCAGCTGTTTTGGTGAAGCACCCGGAAGGCTCCAACAACCAGGAACAAACTTGCTAGGTAAAGGATCTCAAGCTGGCGCCATATTGGAACAACCATTTGTTTTCTCGTTGTTTCGGGTGATACATATGGTCTCTTCCTGTATAAAATTTGGAATCATGTCTGGGTTCTTTGTGCTGTATAGGGGTTTGGCACCACTGGTTAAAGCTGGCAGATCATGCAAACACATGGCTGAGTCAATCTATCAGGTTTAACACACCTCGTAGTTCACACACCCAGATGATCCATGGTGGCCTCTATGGTGACCTACACATGAAAACCAGCACCAGTCATCTGCCGGCCACCAGACATCTGCGCCACCCATCACCGATCACGACCTGTTCCCACGTGCGACGACCACTGCACCTGCGTACTCTCTGACCTCGACCTGGCACGAGGCGGAGATGAAGCGCACCCTGGGCACGGTGGGCTATGCCTCGCCCGAGATGTTGAAAGGCGCCCGGAACGGCGGAACCGGGCGCGGCCGCTGAGGACGGACAGGTGGGCGCTTGGTCCGCACGGTGGGCTATGCCTCACCAGGCCACCGATTCATGTCGGCAAGGTGGTGACATCGAAACCAGGCAGCTTTTGGTGAAAATGACCCCGCAAAACGCCAGGGATCATGATCCAGGTTTCGAAGACCACCTGCTCTTTGGCCAAGGGTGTGGATCGACATCTTCAAGATGATCGCAAAGATCCAAGATTTCTGATTCACCTGCCCAGAATTTCTGTCGCCCTCACGATCCCAGTTTTGGGGCTTTATCCCAGCAAAATGGCTCGTTCTCACCTTCACCCGATCCAAACTTCCGAACCAGTCGCCGGCGCTGCGGCGCGCCTGGCGCGCCTTCGTGCACGAGGCGAAGCTAGCTCTTGGGAGGGTGACGCCTTTGGGGCCGGAGTGGTGCTCTACTTCATGCTCTCCAAGTCGGGGGCACCCAAGTCGACCTCCCTCGAGATCGCCCCCCACGGCACCGTTTGGGCGATGCGGCGATGGGGTGTCCGGAGGCTTTGCGAAAGCAACCTGCGGAGATCTTGGGTGTTAGTTATGTAGTGCATGTTTGGGCACCAAAAACGCAAGATGACTTGACAATAACCGTACTCCAAGTTTCTTTTTGCTTGGCCAACCATACCAGCACAGCCATGGATGGAGGGCCCTGAGGGCACTCAGGTGGATGAGTTGTAGAAGAGCCATCTTTTTGGCGGTCTGGAATCCGGCAAGGATGTGCTTTGCAGGTCTTCCCCTGCCCAGGGCATCCGGGCAAACCACTGAATTTCGCTGGTCACCAGTTGTTCCAGTTCGACTAAAACCTGTGGCCCTTGTGGCTGCCTGGGATGGACGGGGCGGACCTTGCTTGCCGCTTGGGCATTGCCACGCGAGCCAGGCTTGTTCGGTGCCTCGTGTCGGATGCAGAGAAGTCGGGTGTAGACTTCCCCCAAGCACCAACAAAGGCTGGGAAGCCTCAACAACGCACCAACCGCCTCGACATCCGGTGGGTGGCCCAACGACTTCGGGCAGTCGCCATGGGTCTTGCGACTGCTTGCGACTGGGGTGGTTGGTGCTGGAACGACCCTCCGTCCACCGTCCGCGCCACGAGAAGACACCGGGACTCGAGAGAGAGACCAGACTGGCATGGAATGAATCAGGCATCCGAAGACCAAAACCCATCCCCAAAGTCATCCGATCACGTGATTGTGTTGGGTTTGGTTCATGCCAGAATTACTACCTGGACCTGGAAGAGGGGTGTACTGTGTACTGGCTGGAGATCCCGGGGCGTTTTGGACTGGGGCGAAACCAGCCAAGTGACCCTTTTGAATTCAAGGTACTGGAGGTTGTCAGGACCTTTGACGGCGTCAGACTGGACCTGTAGGGACTTCATTCGCCTCCAAAACAACTGTTTTCGACCCCAGAGCCCTCCATGTTTGATCGATGGTACGATTGGATCATCAGCGTGTCTGGACGAAGGTCGTCGAAGCAAAGGGTCGTCGACCCATGATGGGCCTCTGAAGATCACATCGGTCTTTGTGACCCTTTGGAGCTCCAAGTTGGAGGTCGCCCACAGGACACGGCCAGACACTCTGAGGCACCTGGGGCACCCAAAGGCCACCCACCGACTTGCAGCTGGGGCACCGTCTGCGGTTGGGGCTGCAGCGGCCAGCGTGTTTCGGCACACATCGCCCGTTCAGGTCGACGCCCTTCCTTGCTCCGACCAGGAAGAGGATGGTGCCATGGCTGCAAGGGCGGGAGACCCTGCAGTTGTGCAGGTTTCAGGTGAAGGAAGGTAGCTGGGGAGGTGAAGAGGAGGAGACACGAAGCGTTCACCAGCGAGGGCAGCGGGCTGCGTACAGAAATCAAAAGTCGGGTTCAATTAATCTGAAACCTTCGAGGTCACCTGGCTGGTTTCGCCCCTACAATCCCTGCACTACCATCCAGGATCTCCCCTGTTGAGGACACCCCGACATGAAGGTCCAGGAAAGCTTTTTCAGCGCGAACACATGCATCAGTTTCAGTCCACCTGAAGGGACTTCCGGTTTTCCACTCCGGCCCCCTACTAAACGGACAAGCAGGCCATGGTTGTCCCGGTCCCCTTGTCCTAGCCAACCTGAAAAGGCTTTTTAAAAAGGGATTGATTTACCTACTGAACATGACCCGGTATTCTTCTGTCACACCTGGTCATTGTTTAGTAGGTCTTCGGTCTTCGTTTGATCTGTATTCTGTCACGCCAAGGTGGAACTGACGGAAGAGTGCCACGTGAAGACGCCGCGCGTCTTCTTTTGTCCGGTCGCGCGGGGAAGCGAGTTGGGTCCGTGGTTGTAGATGGTATAGGCACTGGAGGCAGCATCGGCAAGACCCGAAAGCGCAGGCGAAAGATCTGATCTGAAGACGTCCAGCTCCGATGTGGGGCCTTACCAGCTGACCGAATCGACATCAGGCAATCAGGGGCACGGGAATCGACATGTCGAAATTCCAGTATGATCTGGCAGCATGTTGACCCACCGCGAAGCGAACACCTGAGGTGAACGCAGCTGGAACGGTCCCGCAGCGAAAACCGTTCCCCGGGGAAAGGGGTCCTTTGACCTGGTTGATGGTCTGAGGTTCGTCACCAGGTCTCACCATTCACGATCACCATGATTGGACCCGAAGTTCGGGTTTGAAGGGGTTTGAAGGGGTTTGAAGGCTCTTGGAGCCTTCACCGGCCGAGGGTGCTTGATTCTTCAGGTCTCAGATGGTTTTTTTTTGGGTATATAGGGCTTAAAGGGTGGTTCGGGATTCTGGTAGATCAAAACTGGGCCAGTTTTTGTGGTGGGTGGGTCGATTGGAGATGGGGTACCCGTATTACCCGAGTACCTGACTCTTTGCTCAGGTCATATTCCTGCTTCGAGAACTTGAGCGATGACTGTGGGGAACTGAGATGATGACGCACTGGGCCTTTCTTCAGTGATTGAACATTGGAGCTTGCAACTGTGCAACATTTCTGGAAGATCCAGGATTTTTCGATCGGAATCGCTTTCTTCCGGCGGGATCGGACTTCGCCCAGCCTTGACGAGGGCAGATCCGGCGACTCCCAGAGCTCCTGCCTTGAACAGTGATTCCGTGATCCACGAGAGGTAATTCCATTCAAGCACCACCCAGAACACGGCTGTTCAGCAACCCCCATCCAACCCACCCCCCGTTTACGAAGCTCGGTCCTTTCCCTCCAATCACCCACGTCTTCGAAGTCGGTGCTGGTATGGCTGGAGTGAGGTCCGGACCGATCGACTTGTAGGGGCTCCGTCACAAGGGACCACCGTCCCAGTCAACGGCAGTCCTCCGTGCCCGGTGTTGGGAGGGTCCCGTTCCGGAGGGCTCAAGCTGAACGAGCGCAGACGACTTGATCGGCCGAAAAGGAAAGACCCACGAATGGGATACACCCAAACCTGGCCCAATGGGCCCAATGGGCACGGGAGAATGTATATATCAATTATATATCTCAGCAGGATTTCTGGTCAGAAGTGGGGACCAAAGTTTCGATTTGGCGGGTGCATGACCAACTCAGAAAAGAACGGAAAAGCTGATGCTTGTGACCATAGAGTCTGGAGTTCTCTGGACTGTGGACCTGCATGGTGCATCATCTTGCCCGCATGGCCACAGCTAGTTTTCAAGGTCCAGCCAGTAGACTCGTCCCAGATTCTGGTGAATTCAGGCCTCATTGCGGGTTCCTTGCCCCACTTCCATGTGCCACTTGCGCCACTGGTGGCCCCTCCACTTCTCGGACGTCCGGACCTGCCGGACCTGCCGGGCCGAGGCCGAACTCTGATGCTTCAGCTCCTGAAGAAGGACGTCCAGGACCCGTTTTGGCCACACCCCAGCGGTCGGCCGCGGGCGCCGCGACCGGCCGGCGACCGGCGCGGCGCGACCGGCGTCGTGGGCAGGAGCGGCTGACGGTGGAGAAGGCGTTGCAGGGACGGCTCATCCGGAAGACCTACGCCGGGGGCCGCCGGGGAGGAACGTGGGAGGGAGAGCAGATTTCCAACGGCAGACCCGAGCGCGGAGCGGAGGGCGCGCAGTGCAGCAGTGCAGAGGTTCAGCTTCATGGATCATAGACGTTCTGCAAGGAATCTACAAACCTGAATGTGCGACGCCTGTGTGTACTTTCTCCTCTCCTCTCGTCTTTTCGGGATGCGCCGACGGTCGGCGTCCGAATTACCGATCCAAGTCGCCTGGTCAAAGGCCAAAGAAAAAGCAGAGTCCTAAGCGGTCCAAACCTGTTCCAAGCCCATTGGATGGACCCTGTTTTGATGGATTTGGTTCGATGACCCCTTGTAGGTCACCCTCTGCGATTCGAGCCAAGCCTTGGCTCACCAAGAAGCCTGCCTTTGAGGGTCACGAAAGGCTTCCTCAACAAAAGGGGTCCTCAAAGCTCGGAGTGGTGTTCTTGTATTCCAGCCAAATGAGATCAGGACCTCTAACCTGTAGGTCTTTTTGATTCAGCTGTTTCTTCCTGAAACGCCGTAAAACACCCCCCCCTCTCACGCCCGATTTCCCTCTGCCGCCCTTCCCGCCCTTCCGCCGTTTCACACACCTCCTCCTCTCCATCGCCGTCCGTCTCGATCTCGTCGTCCGAGGTCACTGCCACCGAGCCGACCTTGGCACGGCCGGAGGCTTCACCAAAAGCCGCCCAGGACCGGTCCGGACGGAGAGCCGCCGGGATCACCGAGCAAAAAGGGACCAAAAGGGACCATTGAAGGTTGAACAATCCGAAAAAAAAAAGTGTTTGATGTTGGACAAGCAGCCACTAGCAGCAGCCACTTGCAGCTCGAGTGGCCGCAAGTGACCGCAAGTGACCGCATGCGTTGCATTTACTGAGTTTGTGTATTTGCTTGTGTTCATGGAAAGTATGATGTATTTTTGTCAGGTCGCGGCTGGGAAAAAGACCGCCCATACAAAAAGGACCTTGGACAGGTTGTTCACCACTGGAACCTCCAGGTGAATCCCTGCGATGCCTGCGTGTTACTGCAACAACTGGTGAATGAAGCGCTGTAGAAGATAAGGCCATATGAGTGTGGAATACCGCGCCCAAGATTCACCAGCTGAACTCAAGTTGTTACCTTTCTTTGACCGTTGCCATCTGACAGGCGGATAGACAGTTCTTGGTTTCAGTAACACGATTAACAAGAAGCTACTAGGTTGGAGGCGCTATTAGGTTTACGTTCGGCACGCCAGCCATAGATACATGGAGCAAAATAATTGCTTAAAGCAAACAAAAGCACAAGTAAAGCAAACAAAATGGCAACAAAATGTAGCTCTGCGTGTTTGTCGCTTTTTTCATTTTTTCTGCTTTATTTTCACATTTGTTCGCATTTTTTCACATTTTTGTTATTAATCTATTTCTTTTCCTAGGAGCGTACAGCGAATATTGCTGACGGGTAAAAGTTCTCATAAGTGCAGAAGTGGTACAGTACCGGGAAAAAAGCAACATAAAGGCAAGACACATGCAAAAACAAAGCAAATTGCGCTGCTTTTGCATTTTCATTTGCTTTTGTTTTGCATTTTCTTTTCTTCTTCACAAACACGTTATTTGATGGTTGGTCATGTATGGCTGCCATCGCTGAACAGAATATTAGGTTGGAGGCCATCGCTGGGCTTGTTCTTTCGCTTCGAGTGGTTCCGACCGAGGCAGAGTCCAAGAGCGGAAAGGAGGCGAGTCCCGCGGAACTCCCGGGACTCGCCCACGGGGTTTGGCGGACCGAATCGAATGTTTTGACTTCCGGGAGTCTTTACACCCTATGAGAAACAGGGTCCCTTTTCTTCTTAATGCTCGGTTTGGAACATTCGTCGAAGACGGACAGTTCGGTCGAAGAATGTTGACCGCAGTAGTTGCGGCACGTAGTTCCATCAGTTTCCGCTCCCTGGGGGGCGAAATTCAGCGAAGGACCCGGAGCAGTTCCGCTCCGGGGCTTCCAAGACCCTGAACCTTCCAATGCAGATGAGCTAAATGGTCCACGCCCCGATGTCTGAAGATGTCTGAAGAAGTGGGATCCTCCAACTACCAGCACCCGACTCAACAAACAGGTCTCCGACCTGGAGGCAACCTTGTAGACATAAAGAAGTCGCAAATAGGTGGTGACCTGTTGCGCGTCGGGTCCTGTTGTGCAGCGTTCGTTTGGGTGACGCGAGGCGACTCGCACCGTTCGCACCCGTTCCTTTTTGGACCGCCTAATCCGCCTGCTACCGGTCGATTCGGTGGGAAACGGTGGGCGGAGGCAGGTTACAGACCCACCGAATCAACTACCTGTTTGGGCTCCAGTCGTTCCTTCTGAGAAGGTGGGACTGGGGTGGGTGCCATGTTCGGGTCCAGTCATACCGAACCTGAGGAGGTACGACTGGAGCCCTAGGGCTACTCTTCGTCGACCCACCCGAGCCACACCACGGAACCTTCTACCGCAGCGACATGCACCGAAAACAGCATGGGTCGAATCCCCTGGTCCCATGGTCCGCATGAGGAGCAAAACCATGGGACCATGGGAGAACGTGGATGACATACACGACATGACGAATACATCATATGGTTACGATGACATACACTCTCGAAAAGAAGACGACTTTCCTTTACGAAGACGTTCCCGGTGCCATCCACGTCACCGTCAGTTGGACGGTCACGGTGTGGTTTGCGTGTCTGTGGCGACGAAGACCGACCGATGTCCAGGGGCCTGGAGTCCAGGGGGGAACGAAGAACGTGCTCCGTAGCGGTGTCGCACGTGTTGACACCTCTTGGTGTCGGTCCTGGTCCTGGTCCGCGGTTGTAGACACCTCTTTGGCCGCAAACCGTGACGCAACCGGCCAGTCCCAGCGTCCGGCACAGCCATACCACCACTTGATCAGCCTCACTGCAACTCGGATTTCTTTCAGAAGCCAAGCCAGCGAAAAGAGGAGAGGAGCACGGTCAGGACCGGGTGGAGCATAGGCAAAAAGAGGCCTTTGGAGCCAGGTGTCTTTTTTTTGTGTGTGTTCAGGCGTTTGGGTTCGCAGTGTTTCAGCCGCTTTTGGGGCCGATGTTGGTTCCGGGTGTCTTCGCCAGGGCTGGCTAACTCGCCAGGTGTTTCACCCGGTTTTGGATATGCCTGGACCGAGCCACCCTTGGCGTCTGTTCCCGCCGTATGGGCCCAAAAGAGATGAAAGGAGAGTTGGAGCACAGCCTAAAGGGCCTCACCCCATCTAGGGCCGTACCAGGACCTTCCAAGAGGTGTCTATAAATAGCCTCTTAGAGGTTTAGGAGGTGTCCAAAAACCACCTGTTGGAAGGTCCTGGTACTGTCGAAAGAATCTCACCAGGAATTCGAAGGTGACCAATTCCGTCCATCAATGAGGAGGGCAACCGGAGCTGCTGCACTTTGTGGCGTGTGTAGCCCCAATTTCTCGTTACCGAGGCGATACCTCCTACTCGCTATTCCTCTCTCACCGAGGCCGGCGAGCTTCCGGCACTGACTCGCCTGCATAAGTGAGGCCGCCTGCACGGCGTGGAACCCTACGCCCGAGGAACTCCAAAAGCTCGGTGAGCGCAGCCAGGCGGCCGGTCTCGACCGGCGCCGTGGAGAGACCGGCGCCGTTTGGGAGTGTGTCAGTCTTCTTTTTTCGTCGAAGACATGGATAGTATCTATCTATCTATCTTTCTATCTATCTATCTATCTTTCTATCTATCTATCTATCTATCTTTCTTTCTATCTATCTATGATGGAGCTTTGAAGCACATCACGGGGAGCGGAGCTGTTTGGTCGGTTGCAACGGACACAACGGACACCACGGTGGCGGATGTTGAGCCCACCAGTTGGACGGTCCTTCCCGTTGGACGGGTCTCGGGTCTGGTCATTGCACCGGACCTCCGAACCTCGTGGTGTCAGCGAAGTACAGGGAGTTCCCCCAATCCGCGAGCAGTACCACCGACACCAAGAGGTGTCTGTAAATAGCCTGACCAGGTGACCAGGAGGTGTTCCAAAAACCACCGGACTTGGAAGGTCCTGGTAGAGATCCCAGAAATCTGGGTGTGAAGACCAGGTGGCTGTGTAGCTCATTTTTTTTCCCAGCTCGGCCTTCCGACTCCGAAGGCTCGGCGCAATACAAACCGTCTACCCAGCCAGGGGTGATGGGGTGGGTCCCCCTATTAAATTACACACCCAGGACCTGGTTTTGCTTGAGGTGATCTTTTCTTTCTCCGGGTTCCTTAAGCAAATCAATAAATGCACACCCAGGAGTTTCATCATGTTTCATCGGTCGCCCGGCGGGGGCGACACCTCCCGTGAAAGGAATCCTCAGAGAGGCTTTGATTCGGAATCCACCCAGATCGCAGTGGGCACAGCCAGGCGGAAACTCTCAGATACCTGAACCATCCTGGACAGTCCGGGTGTCCTGGCTGGGGGTAGTCCAGCCAGGACACCCGGACTGTCCCGGATGTTCCAGGTAGGTATTTTTCAAGCGAGCTGAAGCCAACAACTTTTCTTCCGTTCTTTCCTTTTCAGAAGGCTATATGATGATTCGGTGGCCGAGAACTATATAATTAGTTAAGTGACTGTATGAGCCAATAGCCATCCTTTCCATCAGACCACCAAGCAGCTGCCATGCGGCATCACTCACTCCCCCCAATTTCATAGATCGAGTGCTCATGACCTACCCAAGCATCCACTGACTGATTCTGACTGACACATCCGGCAATGCCTTGAGCTTTTACTTTTACCATCTCAAAGCACCACGTACGCGGCGTGGCGAGTAGCGGGAATGAGTGTCCGCATGGACATATGGAGCCTTTCTCTCCGTGCAGGTCGCCAAGAAAGATGGATTGAGTCCACAACTGATTGACGTGCAGGTCTTGACATGTTCAAAGGTCCAGGTCTTTCCCACAGTTTCCCCTTTCCAAGAGGTGTCTGTAAATAGCCTCTTAGAGGTTTAGGAGGTGTCCAAAAACCACCTGTTGGAAGGTCCTGATTTATAATATACAAAACCTGGCCTTCCAAGACCACTTACAAAAAGGCTGGCCTGGTTTTGTAGTCTAAAGTCCTTAGTAAAGCAGTGGTTGTTTCGTAAAGACCATTAAAGCAATGGCGGGCCAGGAACTAAAGGGAATTAGAGGAATTAGAGTCACTTACCTGAACAGGTCTTTTTCGACCCCGACTCCAATGAACACGTTCTGGAAGTGAATGATCCTTTTCCCGAGAGGGTGTTCATTTGCAAACAGTCGGCTTTAGCCACTTCCATGTTGGTGAGCTGGAGGGGCCACACCTGCTGAAAGGTCCAAACAACCAACCTACCCCGAACATAAAGATAGGAGACTTTTAAGGTTTCAGATTGAAACCCTTTGAAGCCTCGTGCAGCGGATGTTCTTGGCAACTTGGGGTGGATGTTCCGATGTGTCCGTTGCACAGAGGTGGCAGATCCTGGTGAAGCTTTCAAACAGGATCACGTGCTTCTAGGTCTCGGTCGTTGCTCCGTTGAGCCGGTGACTGGGTGACTGGGAGAGGGAGAGTGGCCTCCGGCGCTCTGCTGAGCGGATTTCGATCTCCTCACGAAAGTGAGCCTCATCCTCTGGTGAGCTGAGGATTTGAGGTGACATCAGGGGGGTGGACTCCGAAAGTCTTCAGGTTCTTCTCAGAGTGGCTTGATCCCAGTGGTTTTTCTCAGAGGGAAAATGAGAATGCTGGGCACATGACAAGGTGGTGAAAAGGAGGGGAGAACAGAACATCAGGGCTTCTGTTGAGGCAATGACCTGCACTCGGATGTGGCTCCCAAACAGGGAGACCTTCATTAAAGAAAGTCCACTTCGGAATCACTTCGCTGAGCTTTTTGGTTCCAACTGGTCCTCGTTCAAATCAAATCTGCATTGAGTCGCAAAAATGCCCCTGGTGCACCTCATAACACTTTGTTGAGGATTCGCTTTTTCGGCACCGACCACCTGGGTTGCGCCAAATTAGTTCCGACCGCCGTCGTGAAACGACCGGGCGGGTTGGTTCCAGCCCTGGGTCGCGGCTCCGGTATGGAGCGATGGCCCATGGGGCAGTGGGGCAGAGCACGGAAGAGGAACGCTTTCTTTCAGAGAAGGTTTGCGTTCCTCTTCTACCAGGTTTGCACAGGTTGGTCTATAGTAGTGCTCTCAGTTGGGAAACAGAGCGAAGGGAAACACCAAGATCGCATTGGAGGCTGTACAGTTTACATCTGAAGTCAATGGTTGTACTTGGTTGGAAGGGTATGCTTCCTTTTTGTATGATCAATGATCAATGATTCATGAGGCTGAGAGTACCTTCTCGTCACATTCCAGCCCTCAAAAGCAGTTCCATGTCGTGGTATCCATGGAGGAAGGTTTTCGGGGTGCCCCTGTCACAGCCACGGCCCCTGGGTGGGACGAGCCACACCACCCCCGGCCCCAACTCCATCTGACTCCTGGTCAGCAGCCCTTACTTTGACTGCAGCAGATGTTGGAGACTCTTCAAGTCTCACATGCCGCGCATTTAATGCATCCACAACTCTCTTACCATTGATGTTGACGTTGCAGTGAAACCACACGTCTCAATAGCTTTAGCAACTTCAGCTTCACTTGATGACCCAATGAACAGAAAGCAGCCGTTTGAGAAGCGACTTTCTGAAAAGCATCCCAACAGAGGCCCTAACGGTTGCCCTAAGAAACTGACAAGTATGGGATGTGGGCACGTTTCGCGTATATATATATATATATACATATATATATATATGGGGGGCCTGCCACTGGGGTCTTATGAAGTCCAGTTTGAGATGCAGGACCAAGACGCTTGATAAATCCCATAACAGCCTACTACAGGGGCTGCTGCTCACGGTACTTTCAGATCAATATTCATTTTCACTTGCCCTGCCCTGCAAAAGAATATCTGGGCTGCAGACATCCGCAGCTCAATGAAAGAGTTGCGGCAGACTCTTCCAACACTTGCCGAAAGGATAATTTTGATGCCCGTTTTCGGTAGTCCCCAACTGGGTTTCATGGGCGATGCTGAAGAACAGTTCCCCCCAAAAGTGACATTCCTTCAAGAAGGGGTTGCCCAGATGGAATCTCACTCACCTAATCTTACCGACCAGCAGTCAAAAAGGGGTGCTATCCATGGAGGTTAGGGGTGCCCATCTACTCCACTCACTTAGGGACTCAAAACCACCCCGACATGTGACTCCTGGGATAGATGTTTTCTTTTTTTAACCAGCAAACGTTGGACCGCGTCGACCACCTGACGCGGTCTCTTACCTGTCAGTGAGTTGGGTACTTTGTTCCATATTTGTCGTCACCTGAATGATCTCTGGCTCCCTCACCAGGGAGGCCTTCATTTGGCCAAGAGTCTAAAAAATCTTGCGAAATCACCAGGCTGTGCGCTCGCATAGCTGCTTGGCTCGTCTCTGTGCATTGGAGTGCTTCTATTCTTTTTTCTGGTTTTGGTGAATTCTCCCCAGAATTCATGGTTTACTATCGAAACAGGCAGAAACAGGCAGAAACATCGCATGTCGCAGCGAGATCAATGCCGATGAACCGACATAGGCAGGGCGGTACTTTGAAGATTAAATTGGTGAAATATGATCAAGAGTCTACGTTATAGATACCTTCGGATCAGTCTTCGTATCCATTCTCTCATTCTCTGAACCCGTGTCTCACCAGTCAGCTGATTGAGCTGAGCACTGGGAGGAGGGTGAACATTTGGGACGACGCTGGTGAGCCAGCCCGGACGCTTCCGCCGAAGTACACCTCTAGCATCTGACACAGCGGAAGACGACTCCCACCGAAGTTTCCAGGATTCATGGAACGTTCCCACCATCAAAAAAGACCGCCTGCAGCAGGACATCGAATTCCTTCGTCCGGCGGACGCCGGCTCGGGAGACCCGACCCAGACCCTGCAGATGGTGTGCTTGAGTTTGCTTAAGGTGATTTGGTCTGAATGTTACTCATGGCCAAATCCCCTTCTGATGAATATAGTGTCTTTTTCCAGACTTCAGCAAATCCAAGCAGATGCAGACACTTTAGATGGCGGGTCATGCCACCCAGACCCCAGATGGTAGCTTGACTATGTCTGGTCGTCTATTCTGGTCCCCTGTTGCCATGACCCACAGCCATACAATCTTTTTAAACAAGTCGTTTTTATGATCCCCTTTGAAGGCAAGGAGCGAGCCAAGCTGGGTTTTTCATCGCTGGAACTAGCCAAATGATATCATACAGCCACTGATGGCCCATAGCAATCACGAGTTTCCCGCCGCTTCGATGCTTCCGCAGCGGAACTCTGCTGTGTAGTCGAGCGCAAGCTCTCCTGCCGATCGCAGGGATGTGTTGGTTGGAATGCTTTGCATGAAAAGAACATCTTCTGGCACGGTGCCGAACTCCACTGGCGACGCACGAGCGGCTCCGACATGGAGCGGCTCCGAGTCCAAGATACACTGTGACGATTCCTGGCCCAGCATTGATTTCATGGTTTCTTGCAGAAAAATCATGGCTTTACTAAGTATTTTAGACCACTAGCAACAGCCAGCTCTTTTGCATTTGTCCAATGGTCTTCTCAGAAGGCCACGATATACCTCGTGCTTCCCTCCGTGCGGCTGCCACTGCCGTGCCTTCGCGAAGATGCGCCGCGTGGATGACCTCGCGGCAGAGATATCTTGATCATCCACGCGATGACCTCCCGCGGCCGATGGTCCAGTGGTCCAGGACGTGAGTTCTTTCCAACCTGGAGGTTTCCCCCACAGAACCCGGGTTGTATCACGTCGTGGAGCTTTTTCGGTGATCCAATCGCAATGGAAGTGATTCAGTGATCAACATGGACAGGATCCAAATTCCGATCCATTTCGACATTGCAGAGAGGTCCCACTCTGTGAGTTGGGCTTCTTGGGGCTTCTTGGGGCTTCTTACAGTAGTACTTTTCATGTCCAAAACTGAACTGGACATTGTCCTGCAACCTCTGATGACCTGAACCGACTACTCTACTTCCCCCTGGAAAGGGGACCACTCCTGGAACTCCAAATCCACAACTCACTCCGGCCTGCCGCGGGAGGATTCGGTGGTTTTGGTGTCTTGCCTCGTCGGTCTGGAAGAAGGGTCGATTTTCCACTGGGCGATGTGAACGGCCTCGCGGCGGAGCAGATGACCAGCGAAAGGAGGATGAATGATACAAATAAAGGCGAAGACTCCGATACAATGCCACATGTGCAAGACACGAGTATGTTTGCTTGTGTCTCGAAGCACATAGACCCAAAAGATTGACGATCAAAGCAAAACTCCTCTCACGTTGGGGCAAACGAATGGGAGTCCTCTCATTGGCTTCGACAGGCCCTCTTCGTTCGAACCATCCTTTTCCCTTTGGAAGACTCTCCGGCTGGTGGCCGGTGCAGACCACGGAACCGGTGGATTTTCTTCCTGAAAACGGGCAAAACACCTCCACAGCGCGATGTTTCAGGGTGTCACATGGCTGGTTTCACCGTTCACACGAAGGATCCGGGTCCTGCTCTTCGTTTTGGGAAGGAATAAGGAATGAGAGGCGCCTTTTCTGCAACGGGACACCTGTATGGAAGGCGGTCCTAAAGGGTACGAGACCGGAGCTGCCCAGCCTTCGGCCCCGGGGCTTCGACGAGTGTTTGGTGCTTGGTGCGGAGGCTCGAGCTGGTGCGGACGCTCGGACGTCGAGTCGAAGCAGTTGCTCCAGATGGCGAAGTCGCAGCTGTCGACAGGAACAATCCAAGTGAGTTGCCCTTTTGAAAGGAAGGAACAATCCAAGTGCGCAAAGGAAGTAACTAACTCATCCCCCATTGATTGATTCGAAATGAGTATCTGTTTCCACTATGACATGGGATAAATAAGGCACTTCACTTTATAGAAAAGTCCCGTTCCGATAATGGACATAAGAGGAGGCAACATCATTTCATAGAGTGGAGGGGGGGATTGGTCGGAATGACTATGGCAGAGAGAGGCAATGCATTTTATAAAAGAGACACGCGGTGGCAGATGAATGGTTCTTATTCAGGAGCAAATCCATTTTATAGAGAACATATTGTTTTACACAGATGTCTTAGATTGAGCTGCGTTCTGGAAGCCGAGAGTTTCCCAAATTGAAAGAGCTCGACGTCAGAGGTATGTTGTTTTTGCTTCATCTTAGGCTTCCTTTGAAAAGTGAAGCGTAGATTCTGACCAAACCTGCTGGTGAGACAGGCATTTTATAGAAGTCAGCTGCTTCAAATGATATGACATCAACTCAAGGTCAACCCATGACATCCCAGGCTTCTCCTCTATCTTCGTCGTAGATGGCCTGAAGGCTACCCACTTGATAGAAAGGTGGGCTACCCACATTTTATAGATTTTAGATGCTGGTCATAGTATAGCCGGCATTCTCTGGCAGGATATTCCCCCAGTCAAGGGGGATACTAACTCTAACTAAGCTTCAAAAGAAAGAACCAGCAGTCACAAAGGGGTGCCTATTGGAGGATAGGGGTGCCCATCTACTCCACTCACTTAGGGACTAAAAAAACCACCCCGACATGTGACTCCTGGAATGTTCCTCTTTTCAAATCACAAGTTGACCTTCGCCTTCCACAAGTCCCTTCGGTGCCTTCCTGGTCCACTCCCGCAACCACTCCCGCCAATCGTCACAGCTAACTTGAAGAAGCGTAGTCCCGATGTTTCGCTGGTCGGCACCCGGTGTTGACCTCTAAAGTGCTCCTTTTTCGCAGGTGTTGGTGGCAAACCAGAAATCACAACAGCATACAACTTGCATGGGATAACTTGCTGATTGCAGAGGTTTGATGATTTATTGATTGTTCATCATCCAGGAGTAACAAAGGGATGGTGTTTAGTCCCCTTCGCGAGTAGACGTCCTGGACACCCCCCATATCACCTCCATTAAAGGCATCTCTTTGGATATGTTATTCTTGTCATCATGGGCATTTTCGAGCCTCACCACTTGTGTTCACTTGTGAGAAGACAGTTCCATTCACCATCGAAACTCCACCGGTCTCCATCTCCTTCGCTGTTCGTTGCGACCGTGGTCACACGCGAACGCGAACGGAGCATTGCCACGCGAACAATTCGCTGCCTTCAGTGGACGTCCGAAGTGTCCGGCCTTTGATGCGCTCCACGGCGCTCGCCGTGCGGCCCGGAAAAAGGGGGAGCTCTGTCCCTTCGAACTGGACTTCTGGCTTTAAAGCGATGCTTTGGATGGGACATGAATGGAGGCGGTGAAGACATGCATCCCATTTGAGCCATGAAGGGTTAGGGTTCGACAAATGAACGAGATGCCCGCTTTGCAGGATGGCCTTTGACACATCTTCCCACCCCTCGCCGCTCTCCAAGTTCACCGCACTCCCGTCGACGCACCTCGCTCGCCGCCGACCCCAGGCGACCTCGATGCCGCCTCCGCGTTCCGCCGCGTCCGGCGGAACGCGCGCGCGGCACGGCGCTTGGGCCACGTGGGAGGTGCCCTTGCAGGAGCTCCGCTCCGCTCCGTCGCCTCTTTTTTCCCGGCGTGGAAATCGAGTGGCCCTTCGCGAGGGGGGCCATGGAACTGGGAGGCTGCGACAAGAGGCGACCACGGGGGTGTGGTGCTTCCTTCTTTTTGGGGGGGGGTGGATGGGGTGGGAGGAAACTCATATATGGAGGTTAAGGATTATATTTCGGTTTCTTGGCTTTCTTGGTCTATTTCTTGGTTTTCTTAGTGTGTTTATGGAGGTTTCTTGGCTTATAGGTTTCTTGGTCTATGTGCTTTTCTTGCTTCCCAGCTTCCGACTCTTCCATTCTGCACTGGGCAGAGTTCCGACTCTTGGCTTGAGGAGCGAGACGACAACGAGGCGAACGAGAGGTGCGCCGCCGCAGCGACCAAGAGGTGGCCGGGTGAGCGGGTGGGCGGGTGGGGGCGGGTGGTGCCTGGTTTCCAGGCAAGGCTGTTGGATGTTAAGGCACCGTTTTCCCTTGAAAATTGGTCACCTGGCTCTGGAAGAGCCCCAAATATTTACCTGGCTCTTCCAGGTTCAACACTATTTAATTCAAGAATGTCTAGTCAGGACACGCCTCTAGTCAGGTGCAGATAGTCTTTTTCTCTTCCAGAGTGGGTCAACACCCCCTTGATCCTTGGTAGCTTGGCCTAGTCTATTCTGTTCATGTTCAGTGGGTCAAGCTGGAGGTCCATGATCGTCCGGTTCATGAGAGTAGTGAAGATGAAAGGATTCTTGTTGTTTGGTGGATGATTGTGATTGGCCTTGGTTCTGGCGACACTCAAGATACAAAGAGTTTTCCCTGCTCAACAGGTCTAGATTCTAGATCAGGCCACAAGGAGACGAATTTTGCGCCTCTTCTGTTTTGAAACATCCCTTTTGGGGCTTCAGAGAGCTTTCAGTGAATCCCCTCATCCAAGTGTATTAGTTTCAAACAAGCGTGACCTGTATCTCCTCTTTCTTCTAGTGCACCAGCGTTTGCTTCTTCTTTGGCCCTGACTCCAGCAGACCATCTCCGCCGAGCCTGCGGAGCGGAGCCAGCGCATCCCCCACCTACTCGCGTTCCGTTCTGAGCGAGTCAGTGGTTCTGACTCGGTGAAGTGGTAGGTGACTCACACGATCTGAAAGATCAATGGAGTTCTGAAGATCTTGGGGTATGAGCTTGGGGGATCATGGGACATTCTTGGGCCTTCCAAACGGGCATCGGAGGGGGTATGGCTATACATCCGGATCTTGAAGGGTTTGGCGAACGGACGCCACCTCCATGCGACGCGACTCCAGGTGTGCGCCGCTTCCCGACTCGGAGCAGGTGCAGCGTGCTGGGATGAGGGTGGCTGAGGTGACGATCTAGGATCTCCATGTCATGTAAGAATCCCCACCTTGCAACAGCGGCAGAAATGCTAGGTACCCCGAGGCAACTGCTGGTTCTTGAACGCAATTCCTCAAACCTAGGAGAGTCCCAAGTCCATATACTCTATATAGGAAGGGCAGAAAGTCTTTTGCCTCAACCATGCTCTCAAAGAATATACGAATGCAGGGCGTGCCCTTCGGCAATTGCTGCTGCGTCTTGAGCCGTTGACGATTTCTGACCAGCTAAGATTGCTTAGGTTTCTGCTTAGCTTTTGGGCATTCTGACAGTCATTCCGTCCCAAAACGTTCGGAGGGATCTTTTTTGGAACGAAGGCCAGCACATCGAGGCCTCTGGGCCTTCGTGGGTTGGGCGGTCACCAGGGGCCAAAGCAATCTGGGATGTTTTCCTACCTTCGTGTATAGGTCCACACCAGTAAGGTATACCAGGTATGTATTCGTTTGGATATTGGAAGACAACTTACGAACAACCTATCAGTTTCTTCAATTCAGCCGAATTCAACCTATCTGTCTTCTTGGTCCTTCGCTGTCCAAGACCTCCTAGGCCGCCCTCGAGGCCTGCGGGAGCTCTATGCCCAGCAGGCGTGGAACACCCACGCGCCGCAGTCCGAACACCGAACAGCACCAGGACCTTCCGTTCGCCCGGTAGGTTTACTTTTCGCGCCGACGGGTGGGTCCTGGTAGCAGAGGGCCCTGCCTTGTGAGCCCCGCGCAGCTCAGCGCCCAACGGAGGGGAAGGGCCGCAGACCAGCGAGCTGTGGCGGTCGGGGTGTCGAGGAGTCGTCAAATCCGGCGTGAAGTTGGGGTGTTCGAAAGCATCGAAGGAGGTGGAAGGGTTTTTTTTCCCCAGATAGCTGGAAGCTATAGGGGTTCTTACTTCTCAATGGATGCTATCTGGGGTCTATGCCGGTATTTTTTGATGCGTTTGAGCAACTTGGGCATGACACTGTGAGACCCAGCAGTTCCAAAGGATGAGGAAGGATGAGGAAGCACCGAGACGGTGTCGTCAAGAGTCAAAATCCGAGACGCCCTCAGGAGTTTCATGGAGTGAGTAGGGTGCTTTTCTTGGAGGAGGGAGAAGGGTGCCCATGATCATGATCCACTCACTGTATTGGATTAACCCAGACGCTCCTGGACCCCCATACGCAGAGGTCGCACCCTCATATGGAGGGGACCCTCAAATCCCTATGGTCTTGAGGGACCAAGGGCTGTTTGGAGCGTCTGGGAAAGCTCATTCCTTTGGAATCACAAATCATTCCTTTGGAACTGCTGGACCGACCACCAGTTTGTTTCCAAATCTTTCCATAGACATAGACCACAAAGTCCCGGACGACCAAGTCCCAATTTTGGGCGCACTCTTTCTTGCCACAGATTGGTCCCTTTTGGGGCGGTCATGGGGGGTGGTCGACATGTCGCAACGTCGACCCAGCCAGTCGCGATCAGGAACCGCCGGACCTGCCCTAGGAACCGCCGGGGTGTTCCGTGTTTCGCGCGGACCCCCTGCTGTCATGCGCAGGCCGCCCCGGTTGCAGACGCTACGCCGCAAGGCGTGGCGCGGGGAGAAAGAGACAACGCAAAAGGGGATGCCCATCCCAGGTGCATCCACCAGCATGTTGAAACAACATGAGTTCCTTGGGCCTTTTTAGCGGATGCTCCAAAATGGAAAAAAAGACCGTGAGGACTTTCTTTCACCAGATTAGGAACCTGTTCTTGAAGCCCATGTTTCATGTACGTTGTTTGCGAGGTCAACGGGGGCCTTCAGGCTGTTTTCTGGAGGCAAACCATCCTGGGTGTGCGAGGTCGGAACTGAGGAACGAGACGTCCCGAACGGATTCCTGCTGGAGTTCTGACGACCTGGGGAAGTCTGGAGGAAGGGGGGGAAAGGCAAGAAGTTCTTCTTCTTCTCCATACCCACCTAGACCATCCGATCACCTGATTGACCTCTATTTTGCCCAGCAAGCACTCCCGCCAAAATACCTGTGTTTTTCTTCTCTCCCTCTTTCAGCACGAGGCCATGTCTTGGTCTCAAGTCAGAGGTAGAACCCCAACAGATCCCTTGTCTAAGTGGAACCTTTGGGGATGTCTTTCTGAAGAACAGTTCTTTCGGCGGCATCGGAAGTGATGTTGGGGAACATGCCGCGATGGTTGCCGGGTTCATGAGGCTTCAAGCAACGAAGCAAACTGTTTGTGTGGGTTAATATGTAAACTCAGAAACCGCAAATAGCCATGGCTATCCTGTCAAAGCATCGTCTTGATAAATTCTGTTGACAGGAAGCATCGCCTGTGAGGTCGAACCGTCTTCGTGAAAAACGGTGAAAACGAGCTGCCGAACCAAAGCAGAACATGAAGCATGGGCCGAACCGAAACATTCACGATCGTTGAGGGGTCTCAACCCCTCAAAGACTTGAGGGAACAAGTGGAAAAGTGGTTCGTGGTTCCCAATGCTTGAAGCACGTGAGTGTCACCACCTCGCACCCAGTCCCGCCCAAAAACCGGACCTGGTTTCTTTTTTGAGTTGCAAAGTCCGACAGTTTCCAAACGGACCAAGCAAAGGTGAAGCCATGTAAAGCCTATTGAATTCATGTAACAGGCCAGAACGCCACACGGCAAAACACCCGTGAGGTTCTCGGGCTGCTCAACAAGCTTTCTGAGACGAACGAGGTGCTGCCGTCGAAGACCATCAGCGAGAATTTGTTCGCCTTCAGTGAATCTAACTTATTTATAACAACTATAAAATTACAACTATGTCAAACCATTATGGTTGTCTGGTAGAGCCCTTTATTTTAAAGGTGGTTGGAAGATTCATTCTCCCCACTGCAGACAAAGTTGGAACATTGACTCATTGACCCGTGAAAGAACCATTTCCTTTACAACAGACTCCATGTGAAGCTTGCCGGACCGCGAATGGGTGGGCCCACGGTGGGGCGAGAGTCGGGAATAACACCTAAGGCCTAAGCTGGAACGCCCTCCCGCAAAAAACCCCAACGGCTCACACAGGGCGTACCGTCGAATGCGATGGTTTTTTACCGAACATAGGGCATCTCAAACATGTAGTTGGTACGGGTCACGTCGATGGGCCACCATTTTTGCACGTTCTCTTGCGCGGAGGATCGTCGAATGCGGTGTTCGGAGGGTTTTGTTGGGAACTCTTTCCCTAGGCTTCCAACCACCATTAACTTAATAGGCTGAATCCCGAATCAACTACAGTAGCTAAGGATTTTACACTACAAACACCAGGTCAACCATTTTTCAATGGTCTTGGAAGTCTAGGGTTTCGCTCTTGTCCTTTCTTTTTGGGGTTTCGCAGCTCGTCTTGTCCTTGATCTTCATTCTTTTTTGGCGCCATACAACGCCACTCTTGAGCCACACGGTGTCACACGAAAGCGGAGGGTCGCACACGAATGGCGTCCGGCGGTCGGGTCCTCCAAGCGTTTGGAGTAGATGACAACGGCCCAAAAGCACTTCATGACTTCGTGCACACTGGCACCGTCAACATCCATCAACATCTGTCAACACTGGTTGAACAGTTCCACCCTTTCAGGACCATTGGTTGGGTGCTATCCGACCATCCGACCATGCGAATTCACGCTCCGCGTGAAACCGATGGACCGCGAACGGACCATGCCAACCAGCTCCGAAAAATCCGACACCGCACGGTGCATCTCACCATGGGGTTTCCACCCTAAGCATCGGGGCCCAAGCAAGACCACGCTTTCGGACTTTCGGACCAGGGTCGTCCGGGGTCACTGGTCGTCCGGGGTCCGCGCCTCGGTCAGGCGCGGGTCGCTGTGGAACTGGCGACGATGGAGCCGCGGGACTCGGAGGTGGAGCAGTTCCACCCGTGGATCGTCGATCGGGGGGGAGGCTCGGGAGAGGTGAGAGGCTCGGTCCGGTGGAGTCGGCGTTTGGGGCGTTGTCCGAGCCAGGCGGCTTGGTCGGTGGGGGAATGAGGCATTGAAGAGCAGGTGGTAGGACCATGTATGACCAATGCAATTCGGAAAAGGCCTTACCTCTAAGTCGGAACTCTCTTACTTGAGCGTTTGAAACCTTTGAGACGCTTCAAGGGTCCTGCACGGGTGACGTGAGGACCTGCCCTGCCCTGCCAAGCTGTCTGACAACGGTTTTGCTTGGGTTCAGACGCTGTCGGTCAGAACTTAGAACCCCCCCCGCGCTGTCAGTTGAGATGGTTATGCCAAAAGGTTTAGAACTTAGAACCCGATCAACGACACCATGGCACCCACATGATCCCACATGGCGGTCTCGCCCCACGGTCACACGGTCTCCACCCAAAATGGGTCCACACCGGATCCGATCCGATCCAGGGCGCGCGCGGTGGCCGCGTGGCCGACCGCAGTGGTGGGTTTTCTCGGGTTCCTCCAGTGGTCACCGGGTGGGGGGTCCAGGAGCTGGCGATGCTGTCGGACTTGCTCTTCGAGCAAATCCTGCAGGACGTGGGTGCACCGGGCACCGGGGTCTCAACCGGTCTCCGCCGGAAGTCGTCTCACCGGAGTCTCACCGGTCTCATGTAGGGGCCCCGGGTGTTGGATGGTGTTGGATGGTTTTTTTACCGGTCTCATGTTGATGTCTCCCAACGTTGTTGGTGTTGGAGATGGGTGTGAAGATCGAGTGAGTAGATCTTTTTGGGCCAACGAGATGCTGAATGGAATAGCTTGGAATGCTACTGAATAGCTTGGTGAGGGCAAGGGACTCCATGCCCCATGCCCTCTGCCCTTCGGTGAGAAATCGAGTTGAGGCTTCTTCGACGAATAGAGAATATCTTAGACTCTTAGACTCCGGGGAGGTATATACCTAGGCCTATAGGATTACGTATGGTCAAAGCAAAACTTATAACTCCAAACAAGGGATGTATGCCGTAATTATACTTCTTTTGAAGCCCTCTTGTTGTAAGAAACCTCCCTACCGATCACCCAAATACCTGACAACCAAAAGGATGGCCAGGTACTGTCGGTGTTAACAAGTGCTTCAGTTTCTCAGCGCGATGCCTGCGAGGTGATGGTGGACAAGGGCGACCGGCCCAACACTTTTCCACCAAGAAGAATCACAACTTAGTACGGCCTCCAACCTAATAGCAAACAGGAACATCAGATGAGCCTCCACAAAATCAGCCGAGCTAGCTCTTCTGAGAGATGCCCGATGATGACGCTGAGGTGGAGTTTGGGGCAGTGGAGGGTTGGAGTGAGATGTTGAGAAGAAATCGGCAATCTTCTGGATGTTATTGATTTACCTCTGTCTATAATATATCTATATATGCATATGTACACACTGTATCTATAGTATATACCCTCCCTCCAACAAACATGGAAGTGGAACGTGGCCCATTTAAGACTGTTTTCCCTCTACAAACAGGCTGTATTCCACGTAACCATGATTGTTGGAGGGGGGGGTAGATCAATCACATCCAGAAGATGAGTCCACCCTTCACTCGGATCTTCGAGCCGATCCGAAGAACTCCCTCGTCTTCAGACGCCAGGACCCGGGTCGACTGAAGCTCTACGTCCGCTTGTTGCCAGCGCTTCAGCGGTGGCCGAGGCGGGAAATGTGGGGTGCGTCTCGCGGCATCAATACATACGCGACATGTATACCCTACAAATCCCAGTTCGGTCTCTGTTTTGACCCATTAACCTTGTTGGAGTCACCTCATGTTTGACCAGAATCAAATCATGTTTGACTCCCACGGTAGTTGGTTACAGCCAACATGTACGTAGTCTAAGACGCCCAACCACAAATCGGTGACACACACAAAAGGTGGAAAACGATCACACCCTCGCTCGCAGGATGCTGGTGTTTGTTTGGATCTGCGTGTGTTTCAATGGTGTGAAGGTGCCATTTGACCATCCAATGACATCAGGACCATGAGGGTGTTTCTTCCACTCGAACCGATGCGAAGAAACGGTTCTCCAGGTCGACTTCTACATGGCACCGAAGTAAAGAACCAGCAGTCACGTTCGACGGGGTGCTATCCATGGGGGTTTTCTGGGTGCCCAGAACATCCACAGCCCCTGGATGGGACTAAAGAATCTACCCCAGAAAACTAACATAGACCCTGAAAACGACTGGTTTTTTAGAGGAAAACAGTCTTTCAGGGTGGGACGTGCCAGGACCATTCTCAGGGTCCATGTGAGTTGGTTTTCTCAACTGTTCATCCTCGGTCTCCTCGGTCTCCTCGGGTTGGTTCTGCCCGAGCACAGATCGAACTATTGGTGACCTGCCGTGTAGAAACATGCTGGGTCAGACCATACCCTGGCTGACCTGTTCGTCGAAACAGTTCGGTTCACCTTGGTGTTGTAGTCGAAGATGTCTAAAATCCCGAGGAAAACAGCTCTCATTCAATCAATGCTCGGCCATGAATCGGGTCAGGAAGCATCTGAAACCTGTTCGCATCAGCTGAGTCCTTCCCCCAAAACAGCTGAGGTGATTGGAGGCTACCATTTCACTGGATACTGTATATCTCTATAAGGAACCAGGCTTTCGGTCTATCTACAGTCGTCTTTGGAACCGATGACCTACGAAGCGATGCTTTGCCATCCAGGTGAGTGACCTCTATTTTGGGCCACCCAGGGTTTTGGGCGCTTCTTTGGAGGGTCCAACCTGCTTGGAACCAAGCAGACGACACCAACGAACGGGGGATGCTGAACAACACGCGCTCCCAACCCCCACGTCTGCGGGCGCAGGTTCGCCGGCTCCAAGAGGCGCTTTTGGCGCTCGCGCGGCGCGCCGGACACCGGACGGAGCTGGTGACCGGGAGTGTACAAGGGCGACCAGTGGGTCACCTGAAAGCCCATGATACATAAAGGTGTTCACTCATCACAACCATGTGGTTTGCTACCACCCGACTTCACAGGTGCTTCCTGATGACAACAGGTGCCCAGAGACCACCTGTTAGGGTCTCCAAACAGCCTGTTGGAGGGTCCTGGTAGGGAAAACCAGGTTTTTGATTGATCAAGCCCCAGGTATAAAGGTAAAAGCAATGGTTGCTTGGGATTCAGACCAATTAATACAATGGCGGGCCAAAAGTCCAAGAATGAGTTTTTTCCTTATATTTGTGAACCACGTGAACCACTGTTGATGGACATCGCGGATGCCTCACATGAGCGACCGCCAAGAGTCTTCGCAAAGACTCAGGACATTCCTCCAATCCCATCAGCTCATTGATGCTTGCCAATGGTGGATCCCTGTACCTGGACCATCCTGTACGTGGACCATCCTGTACCTGGACCATCCTGTACCTGGATCATCCTGTCTGGTATTTGGCTGGGTAGTCTAGGACACCCCACGTCGCTTGGACAGCTTCCGTCGTTTTCACACGCCCCTCTTCTCTTGCCGGTGCCCGACCGGATCCTCGGTGCCGAAGACGGTGGGTTTTTGGGTGTGTGTCCCACTGGGACCCAGTAACAGTCGACATGGATTGAAAGTACCAGGACTGAAACCGTTCGTCCGGTGGTTTTGGGACACCTATTTTTATGAGTAACCTCAACAAGAGGCGATTTTGGTAGACACCTCTTGGTGTCGGTCCTGGTATATCTCCATTATGGAGAAAGGCCTGCAACCTCACCATCATCCAGTACTCAGAGAATGGTCTGACTAGAGGACTTAACCTGATTTCGGGATATTTCGAGACCTTCCTTGACTTCCCTGGACCCAACGAGATCGTGGCTTCTACCAAGCATCAACTCATCAATCCACCCCAAGAAACCTTGGCCCCGACCTCTGAGAAGGTCGGGGTCGGACCGACCCAACTAGCCCCGAAACGCAGACCACAAACGCAGACCACACACGCAGACCACCGCCGAAATCGGTGTTGAAGGCTTTTTCACGTGACTTCATGCCCATTCATTCTATACATAGACCTCCAAATTCTGCCACCCTGAGAATCCGGGTCCGAAGCAACACATGTAGGGTTTGGCTCCGGGTCCAGACCCCTCCCATCCACAAAAAGCCATGAACCAGGGCTGGTAGCCCAGCAGTCTCCCCCCAAAACCACGGCGAAACACACACGACGACACACACCACACAACACACCGTGGCGCCCCGGGGGCGATGGCCGCGCAAGGCATGGTCCGGTGCTGCTGATGGTGCGCCCCACGAGCTTCGTGGGACGTCTACTGGCGCGGTGCCAGGTGGGGACAGAGAGCAGCTGACCCACTTGGGGTGGTTGATAGACCCCGGCCTGAAGAGGTATGTTTCATTTGATAACTCTTTGGGTGGTGCTTGTACGGAAAAAACGGAACATCTATACCAGGACCTGCCAACAGGTGGTTTTTGGACACCTCCTAAAGGCTATTTACAGACACCTCTTGGAAGGTCCTGGTACAGGGTCGGCATCAGAAAGGGCAAGATGCCAATGGAAAACAGCCCAGACCGGTATGCCAACTGCATGTTAACGCTAGAAGATGGAACATGACCCGAACTAAAAAACAGGTAGGGATTGTGTACCAATTTTCCGAGCCACAAACTGAGACTCCAGGTACTTACATGGATGCTTTGGGACTTAGGCGCGACCATAGAACCAGCCTCTCCAGATCCTCCATGTATGCGATACCGATCAAATGGGGCGGTTGATTTCAGGGGTTTAATATTCCATACCAGCACCTGACTTCACAGGTGCTTCCTGGTGACAAGTCACTTGTGCCCAGGTGCACCACCTGTGGTCGGGTCTCCAAACAGCCTTTTGGAAGGTCCTGGTATCCGGGCACCTTCCTTCACGGGTTTGGAATCCATCCAAGCTTCTCCACCACGCGGCCAGGCCACCTTTGACCAACATTGCCGTGCCCACGAGGTGCGCCAGCCAGCCGGTGGCCGGTGGCCAGAACTGACCAAAACACATAGCAGGACCCTCCTGGCCAGGCTGTTTGGAGACCCTAACAGGTGGTTTCTGGACACCGGACTTGTCACCAGGAAACACCTGTGAAGTCGGGTGCTGGTATATGGGCTCTGTGTCATGGCACCGGGACCCTTTGGTGTTTTTCCCACCGTAACATGAAGGGCTTTGTCCAAGTGCCATGACCCACAGCCAGGACCTGCCGGAGAAAAGCAGAGCCACACACAGAGCTCCGTGGTTCGTAGGAGTCACATTGGAGGTTGGAGGGGACCTCGATGTGGCTGGTTCCCATGGAGAGGTGGATGTGATGTTCGGGGCATCCCCTCTTCTCCTCTTCTCCTTCCTCCAAGAAAAGCACCCTGCCCTCCGTGGAACTGCTGATCTGCGAGCCTCTTTCGGTGAGCTGACCAGGTTGGGTCGACAGCAGCAGGCGCATCCCCAAATCTCCAGATATTTTCGACAGATGACTTGTGAAGAGCCGCCAAACGGCTTTCTGCAAGCTATGAACCCACAACTGGTCAGGTTCCTCTCCAACCCAGCTTCAAGAATCAATCAGCACAACAATCGCCCCGCACGGTTGTGCAGCAGATCCAGAGAAGTAACAGATATTCCTTTTCGGGTCACCCTTCGTCAGACCCTTTTCTTTGAATAAGTCGACTGGACCCCAAGGGATTGGATCTTCCAACGGTGCAAACATTTCCACCGCACTTGGCTGTTCTTTGATGAACAGGGCATCAAAAGTATTGGAAGATCCAAGTACCAGCAGTCACCCAGGATTGGAGGATAGGGGTGCCCATTATCCACTCACTTGGGGACTAAAAACCATCCCTTTGTGACTGCTGGTATACTTCCAAGTTGCTCTAAAGCCCGGCAGATCCAGGTCTCCCCACCTGTTCTGCGTCAAAAAATAGATCCAGGTCAAGCCTCCCGGTGCTGGACTCCTGGTAGGCTCATGAACCCCTCTGCCTCCCCCGTTGTGCCGGTCACCGAGCTTCGTCTCTAAGGCGCCCAGCTCGGAGGGTCAGGGCCCCTGGTGATGGCGACGTCGAGAAAAGAGGGCGACGTGACGCGAAGTGCTTGGGACAGATGTGGAGTCCCAGTGGTACATGTCATGTCTTGCACAGCTAAGCATTCACTTGCGGCGTCCTCGAGTCTAGAGGACATGTATATCTAAATACTGGGAATCTTGAATGGGTATCCATTCATTATTAATGGCCCCCCAAAAAGGTCAGGGGTTGTCCAAAGCCACCGGACTTGGAATCTCACAGAAGAAGCAGCTGCGCAGCTCACTTCCAATGGAATCAAGGTGCCTCGTGTTCGGGTGATGGTGCCCAGCTGGGCAGAGTTGGTCAGCACTGCAGCATCTCACTGAGCATTTTTCTGGTCAGCACTGCTCGGTTCTGAGGTGAAGTGGGATGTTCAGACATGGGACGAATTTGCGAGGGGACAAGGCTCCCAAAGCAGAACGATATTGGATTCCATGTGCTGATATTGGCAGGAGTCGAGGACCAAATCTCACTCCTCCGTATCATACCGTATACCGACCATAAGCAACTCCGACTGCATGGCTTTGATTCGGTGGATGTTGGTCTGTCCGAGTGTGGGATGTGCTCAGAGCCGAAACCTGTCCCCACTTCTTCGCTAGCAAATGTGAGGAACATCGAGTCCATCACAGCGACGTTTACACTCCCTAGAATCCCTATAGAACTAACATGGAAGTGGAGAATGGCCCCGAGTTCGGAAGACCATGTTCAATACAACCACTCTTCTGAACTCCACGTAACCATGGTGAGTTCCGACCGTTGGACACTCCGCTTGCTGGCGGAACGAGGCGGTGTGGAAGCCGCGGGGACAAGTGCCGTGAGAGACTGGAAGGACCGGGGGAAGGACAGGAAGACGAAGACGTGGCGAAAACGAGGGGAACGTTGGTTGGCGACCGGGGGAATTCTTTTTTTTTTCTTTTTTTTTCAGCAATCCTTATTTTTTGGGGGAAAAGGACGGGGCAACTGAGGTGGGCTGGGTTCTTCTGGGTGTGGGATGTCGCGATGCAAAGCTCGGTTTGGAGTGATTTGGTGAGTTGTTGATCCTCCGAGTGGGTGATACATGTAGACTCTTGATGAACAGCGTCCACCCAAACGTGGTAGACGCACCTCCTACTTGTAATGTAGGGGTTGCACCTTGCTACTTTTCAGGTTTTCCGGCGACAGGGGCAGATCCTTTTGGACCAGATTTGGCCGGGGAGGCCGTGCGTTTCGTCGCATGTGAGAGCATCATCTGGCGCATGGTTCGGTGCGCATGATGATGCTCCGCAGGCCGCTGTCTACCCCGCCTGGTCTTTGTTTCTTCAACCATTTTGTGTCGATCATCTCCTGAGTAGCACCTCCCTTCCTTCCATCTTTGGTGTCCTTCCATTTTTGGTCTCCTCCCCGCCTTCCTGACCTCCACCGAAGCCTCCGCTTCCCACCTTCCGCATCACCCAACCCGCGTCCTTCCGCCTCCTTCCCCCCCCGCAGCCGACTGAAATCTCCACCAAGACGACGTCCGATGTCCTCCACGGCGAGGAGATGACGAGGAGTCGCGTGACGTGTCAGCTCCTTGCAGAGCTCTACCTGACCGGCTGGGCCTCAGCACGGATCATGGCTCAGGCCGGGAGGCTCAGCGTCTCCGACCCCGGGTGAGGTCGGAGAGAGCGGGCGCGACGGCGGCTTCAGTCGTAGTCCGAGCGGTCCGAGCGGCTGGGGTGGGAAAGAAGGGAAGCATGTGGTGAAGACATCTCCAAAAGAAACGAACTGAGCTAACTAACTAAGTAACTAGCCAACTAGCCAAGTTAGCTATCTAACTAGCTAAACAACTAACGTCCTGAAAAGGAGGGTCAACGTTTGGGCGAAGGTTTGACAGACCCCCTGGGCTCCTGTCCCGTATCCTCAGGTGGGCACAGACCCCCTTGCACCTAACCATTTTCGAAACGGAGGTACTTGGAGCTCTAGGGAGATCATGCTTGAACCCGACCTCGTCGTTTTAGGGGTGACCCAAAGCTGCCTCCTTTTCCATGTGGTGGTCCCCATTTCATCGGGGATAGGATCGTGCATGCTACACACACGAACTGTCCGACGAACTCTCCGGTGCAGCTCTTGAAACAGGGACGCCTCCCAAAACCCCCCCTCCCGGTCTCCCGGTCTCCTGAAACACACACGAACACACCCACATGTGTCATCATTTTCCACGCTCGGTGACCAGATACTTCTGTTTGCTTGTTCACCGTGCCACACCTTCCCCCACGCGTTTCGGACTTGGAAGGAAAGAAACGATGGTCAACCCATAGTCATCCAGAGTTGAGTTGTGATTAAATATATAGTTAAGTTAATGTCAATAGATATTCTTGAACATAGGACCTTCTCCCAATGCCGTACTCTGGATATCTCTGGATCCATCACCATCGCCTTGATCCTGGCAGGTCTTAGTCGAGCTTCTGCGTTCCATGCCAAGGCGCTTGGGGAGAGTTGGGGGTGGACACGTGTTTCCGACGGTTTACTCTGGGTTGCTGTCCAGATATGCCCAGATCTTTTTTGGTTCCTCCTTTGGTGAAGATGATGATCATGGAGTTGGATAGCAGTTGTAGGAGCGGAGGGTGATGATATCGGGTGGAAGTGTGCCTACTACATGTAGCAGCTTTTGCTTGGTATGGGCGATCACGGTCGGAACACATCGATCCTCGGAAAGTATCGATGGTGTACAGCAGAAGTCAGCACCGCGGTCCATCTGCTCTGAGTCTTCCCTTTATGAACCGAAACTTCCTTGGGAGTCCAAGGCCGAAAAGGGTCTTTCACTGACCCGGCCCGATTTCAAGACAGACTTTCCTTCGGTGACAAATAGAGTCAAACTGGACTTCATAAACTACTCCGGTATTTTTTCTTGGCAGCTTTGAAGAAGGGGACGTCAACCTTTTCGTCCTAAATGGTCTTCGTTCAAACCCTTCTACCAGCACCCTCCAAAAGGTCTTCTTTGGTGGCTTTTGCAGACTTACAAGTGGCAGGTGGTGACCTGTGAAGTTGGGTCCAGGTACTTGTCATGCCTTCATGTCTTCCATTTGAAGACACCACCCACCTCACGCTGCCTGAAGTGGATTCTCCCTGGGCCCCTGTGTAGAGGACATTTCCTCGTCTTCCACAATTCTCCCCGTCCATATTAGTAAGTCAGAGTGTACCCCTAGCAGGCCGTAGCATTCCTGGCTCTCAATTGATTGGTTCAAAAGTCCCAAACGACGTTCTACCACGGATTTAGAACGACCATCCACCCCATCCACCATTAAATGGTCGAACGAAAGACCTGGGGGTTCTCGGTCCGATTCTCCCGCCTCACCTCTCGCATCAGGTCGATGGTCTGCCGTGACCAATCGGTGCGCAGACCCAGGACTCAGCAAGACGAGAAGATCGGGGCTGGACCCTGCGGTCCGGGGTACTTATGGGTACTTGGCGGAATCCGCCAGCCCAGCTGGGCCAGCTACCTAAAAAGGATCTGAACGACTCACAGTCTATCGAACAAACTCGGTTCTTTTTCATTTCTTTAGTGGTGAGTGTGAGTGCCCAGGGCAGGACGAGAATGGGCAAGGACTCTAAAGGCCCGAACTCGAATTCCCAGACTTCTCCCAGTCAACCAAACAGATTAGCTTTTTGGCCGTCTCCACCAATGACTTCCATCCCCCCAAAAAACGCCTCCGGGCTCCGAAGGAGAAGGCACCACTCCGTCAGATCCCTGCCCCCGCTCCGGCGATCGACTGCGCGGTCGAGTCGCCCAGGTGTGGAGTCCTTCCGAGCGCCGTCGCCAAGACCGGAGGGGGGGGGGTCGAATGGGTGCGGGCGAGCCCGGGAAGTGCGCGTCATGAAGGGACCCGGAGGGGACCCGGCGGGGAGTCCAGGTGAGACATCATGAGCGTCCGAACGCTTCCGTTCGTAGGGCCAGGAGCGCCCCCGTTCGTAGCTTCCTTGCTCTGTTCATAGCGATGCCCTCTTACAGCCTAAGGTCTAGGTATTTTTGGGGCGCCAGCCATGAGGTTGGGGCTCGGCAGTCGCATTTTAACGATGACCCGAAGAGGAATGTCCTGAAAATTTTGGGATGCTCCAAGAACCACGGTGAAGTGGATGGAGAGTGAATTTGATGGGGGTGAAGAACCATGGATTTGACCTACACTCACCGCGTAATTATCGTAGTTCACCACCGGAAAAAAGGCATTGAATCCTGGATGACTGATCACTGGCCAGAAATATATACTAAACAATTTGTGCGAACGAGGTCAGACCTCAATGTTGACTCTTGATTCATAGCCACCAGACAGGGATGATAAAACTTCTTCTGGCTTGGGGGGGTGACATATCAACCGTCAACCAGGAGTCAACCAGTCAACGCTACACTTTGGGGAGGTACCGTGCCGCTTTTTCAGAAGGTGGGATCAGAAGATGGGAGAAGCCTTAAACAAACAGCAGCAAAGATGGTTCGTTTGGGGTTACAAATTGCTGTACATGTTTTTAGATAATAATCATGATTGTTTGAAGCGAGATTGGCATGAATCAAATCGTGTTGCTTTTGATAAACATATCGAGCTTCATGGGCTGCAGGTTTCCGGATGAAGTTGGAGACTTCAGCCGGTGGGTATGAGGTATAGCTGTGGACACCAGAAACCCTTGCAACCTTTCCCAGGACCCACAGCCAGCGGTGGTATGTAGAGACTCCAGGAAAACCCCACGCCAGGGGTGTTGTGGTCTGTGGTACTTTGTAAGCACCTTCACTGGCCTTGGCTGCGAGCCGACAGACCTTGGATGAGCTCAGAATCTCATGTCTTGCGTGCTTTCTGGCAACAAAAAGGCTCAGCTCCAGCCACTTCAACATGATTTGGTGAGCCACCTTCCACCTTCCTCAACGTCTCACCACCCTGGAACGCGGAGGACCTGTCCAGGTCCAAACTGTCCAACCCCCCTTGGAAGCCACATAAATCCGACCTAGTCCGCTGCCGGGGCCACCAACGACTTCGCCACTTCGCCTTCGCGATCCCGTGGGGCTTCGGTGCTCTGAGGCCATCAGTGGAATGCGCCTGCGAGCTCCTCCAGGTCTTCTGCCAGGTTCGCCGGGAAAGGAGCGAAGGGGCAGACAGAGGAGCTACTTCCGAACGGCCACGGCGGAGGTCACCGGTTGTTGCTGCGACGCAACGGAATCGGAATCGGTCGCGTTCGGCGGGAAGGTATGCTTTTCAATGCGGTGAAGGAGAGATGAAGACTGCCACTTCCACTGTCCGTGAGTATGAGTTTTCATTTTCAAGAGTTGTGAAGAACCACTTTCTATTGTTTGAATTAGAGGATGGCACCAGAAATCATCCCATCCGCCGTGGATGTGATGTTCGGGGCACCCCGACTGCCGACTTCCTCCGATAGCGCGCTGCTCCTCCATGGAACTGCTGGTTTGATGCAACACACGCACACATCGCCCCTGATCGCGCAAAGACGCCGCAGGCAGGAGCTGGAGTCGAGCAGGAGGCAAGCTTCATCGGCGGGAAATGCTGGTTAAGCGGTGAAATCCTGCAAATCCAGCTAATCATGCAGGAAAGTCTCTTCGCAGATCCCCTTGCTGCCTCTTGCTAGAACCTCAATCACCCCTGGCTGTGAGAGGCAGAACATGGTTTTCCCCTCATCAAGACTAGGTATCAACTCCTAGGGTTTTCGCAGATTGGTCAATAGGGGATTCTCTCCGACTCTCCCACGGGTCCAGGGTTACCCCTGTCATCGTGCGAACATCAACCCGTTTTGGATGAAGGGTCGGTACGGAGAAGATCTCCTACCCGACATTCGATGTCGAGGATATTGGTGTACTCAGATGGGTTTGATGGATGTTTCTCTACCAAGACCTTCCTTTCGTCCGGTGGTTTTTGGACACCCCAAATCACCTCTAAGAGGCAATGGAGGTAAGGCCCGCACCTCTTGGATGGTCCTGGTATAGTGATGGGCCGTTTCAGACCAGACGGCTTTTAGGCCTACGTTTTCGTTCTTTTTCACTTTCAGACGCTGTTCTCGTCGTCGTCCTTTTGGGGGGATGGTCGACCAGGGGTCGTTGGGCAGGGTGGTCTGGTGAGAGACGGACCGAGATCCTCGACTGACACTGGTGAGTACGGAAAAAGATGGCATAAGGGTGGCTGGATCCTGAGGTATCTACCAGCACTCGAAACCTGCCAGGTCACCAATTGAGACCGGTCTTCGGGCCTCTCCCACCCAACCCTCCATCAAAGGAGACCTGGTGCTTGGAGACCTGGTGTGGTGAACATTCCCCCAGACTTGTCGCACAAGCCTTGGGCACAGCACCAGCCACAGCACCAGCAGTCCCAAGTTCGACCCCCCCAAGTTCGACCGACCGTGATGATCGTGATGTTTGGAAAAGACGAAGAGAAAAAACCACCAGTACAACATAATACAATATATAGGAGTATACAACTGTCTTCTTATAGTTCTAGAAACGCGTTACTTCCGTTTTCCTAGGGTTCAGATCGGGTCAGCTCCGACCGCTGCGTTGTTCACCTATAGGCGCAGCGCGAGCAGCGCGCGGTTCAGGCCTTCCATCCTCTCTGGCAGCGCCTCAATTGGCTTCGCGTCGGGCGGCTGAGACCGCTGAGACCGCTTTGCCCGAAGAAAAACCACCGAGTTGTGGTGGCCCAAAACCGAAAAGCTAAGCACCAAAAACCATCAGAAAAAGCTAAACCGCATGGGCATGCCCATAGTGAACAAGGTCCACTTGCAGAAGGTTGAGCACCTCGGAATGGATCCCGCGACCGCCGCTTCTCCACCTGACGGCACATCGGGTCTTCCCCGCGGTGTTGTTTCAGTCTTCTTTGGAAAACGAAGAGATCACAGATAGAACAACACCCTGGCCTTCCAAGACCATTGAACAAATGATTGACCATGGTTCTTTTTTTTTTCTGACGACATCCTCAGTCAAATGAAGGGTTCTTCAACAAAGACCATGAAAGGATCCATTCAAGCGGTGGTGCTTTGGAATTGGGACACCGATGCTGTCCTCCTGACCCCCCCCCTTGTTGAGCGATACCGAAGCATCCAGCGTGACAACAGATAACGCGTCATACAGGGTTGGAATATGTTGGAACTCTTGATCAATAACACTCCCCCATTTGAATGCACGGACGAGAATGGACTGTCTCTGTCGACACGCGCTTCTCAGGTTAACACTCCCCCATTTCAATTGTCAATCCTCTTCCCATGGGTGGTTTATCAATCGAGAGCCTACATCATGTCGGAGCTCTCCAGCAAGCTTCGCTATCCATTTTTTGGATGGACAATGAAGACCACGACATTCGCTTCTGACGCAGCCCACTTTACGCAGACAGCTTTGTCTTTAGCCCCCGTGCGTTTAAGTTTGCCAGATCTAGATGCGCTACCTTCTTTAGCGAATCCATGCGCTACAGAGTCTACTGAGCTCTACTGATTCCAGGATAAAGGGCTGATGCAGCATGTAAAGCACCATAAAGCACCCAGAGTGTTACTCCAGACATTCACATCCCGTCAACCAAGTACGTAGTTCTTGTTTGGGGTGTGCATGAGCGGGGTAAATTCACAAAAATTCACTCCACTACTCTCCCTCCAGCCACAGCCAAAACAACCATGAGCCAATACCAGCAGCAAACCAACACAACAGCGAAAAGAACTGCAAACATCACAAATACATACCATAAGTGTTTGCTATAAATGATAATGAATGATCCTGACTCCCTTTCACATCAGAAACGCTCAAAAACCCAGGAATCTCTTCACACAAAAGAACGCTGGTTCATGTGATCGCCATGTGAGCACCATGCTCGTCACCGTGTGACGCGTCATGTGGCGATGGGTGGTGGCACTGGCCCTGCTCAGCCTCGGTGGCGCGTGGTGGTTTGGTGTCGCGAACTGTCGAGTTCCAGGAAAACGCGCCGTCGAAGCACCAAAGAAGCGTGCAGGCGCGGAGTCAAGGAGTCAGTGGTTTTTGAATGGAACGGATTTCTGAACGGAATGCGGCCAGGATGGCAGCAGGAGAATCTGATATTTTTAGACTTTTTTTTCTGAGATGATGGGGGCCAAGATGGCAACAGTAGTATAAATCTGATTTGTTTTTCTGAGATGACACATTCCTGAACGACCCTAGCTGTAGCATAGTCCTGCAGTTCATGTGGTTTCCCTACCAGAACTGTTCACCATAATTCAGTTTGGGTTGTCCAGGGAAAGCGCGGGGTCCAGCTGTGCCAGCGACGTCCAGTGAAGTCCAGCAAGCGCGTTTGGATGCGTGGCCACCACAACATAGGCCAAATGGCACTATGCTGAAGTCACTTGGCTTATGATTTTGTGGAGTTTCTGTAAGATATTTTTCGTTGCTTTTGGTGTCCTCCCCGCGGTTGAGGTCGAGGTCGTTTTTGTGGTCTTCTTTTCAGCAAACAGCTCAGCTCAGCTCGGTCGTTATAGGAGCAAACAACCCCACGGTCCTGCCAAACCAGCCCAGCCCAGCCGGTCCTCCAGCCTTCGTTGGCCTCGCCTCGAGCCGCCTCAGCTTCGCCCCAAGCCGAGGTCCGCGCTCGCTCGCTCCGATGGACTCTGACAACGATCCGATTCCGATCGGCGCATCGCCCGTTGAAAGCCGCGCCCTTCTCGGCTCCGTTGATGTCGTTCTCGGCTCGTCGGAGAACGTGCGAGCGCCGCGGGCAGCGCAGTAGCTCGCTCCGGAGCGCTTTTAGCGGGCAGCTCGCGCGACCAAGGCAGCCGTGGGTGTCTGGAGGGCAGGGAAATCCTTGCGTGCCTGCGCTACATCACTTACCGCCTCGAGGCAGGCGTGTTCCGGCTGATGTTCTACGCGCGGCGGTTTTGGGGACGGCGGGTTCCATGGAGAACGGGCAGACTTTCGAAAGCGGACACTTGCATTTGTGTGCATATTTCTTGTGCAGGATCTCTTTTCTTTTTTAAAAGGTCTCTCTATATATATATATATATATCTGCATGTTCATCATTTTCTGTCTACTCGTCTATCATACTGTTGTGTTTGTCTACCTGTCTTATCTATTTGTCATCTATCCATCTACCCATGCACTGAATTCCTGCGAACTCAAAACTGAAGCCTGGTTTGTGCGGCGTCACATGGGGCTGGAGCCAGTCATACCCATCTAGCTGTAGCTGCCTACTCGGTGGAACCCTTCCGTACTGGATCGGCTTCCGAAGTGGTGTATCACTTATCAAGACTTATCTTGTCTATTGTGTGGGTGCAGATCTAATTCCATGAACTGCATTTGCTGAATTGGTATTTTGGGTTTCTTATGTCTTTCACATAAATAAATATATATATCTTTCCTTCATCATGAAGGAATTATAAATCATATAAACAAAATCAATGAGGGTTTGTCCTGGCTCAAGAACCTATGTCATCCTTTCGTCTCTCGTGTTATCCCATCTGATCCCACATGGATCTTGCTGTATCCAATGTAAATCGCATGTACATGCATTGGCCTTGACAAGGTGCAAGATGGTTTGAGTTGGCCTCTTTTCTTGGAACATCCCTCAACATTGAGGTCCTTGATGTTCTGAGGTTACTTTCGGCTGGCATGCCTTGCAGAAAAGTTTACATATGTGGCTATTGCTCTGAGCCTATCTATCTAGACCTTCAGTCTAATCTGAAGGACCGACGACTTGTCTCATCCGTGTGGGATGATCGGCACCATGTGCGGCGAGGTGATTATGAATATCATCCCAGTGATCTGGAGAAGCAATGGATTGATGTCCGTCGGAGGGGCAAGATTTGCGCCACCGCCAAAGAGCAGGAACAACAGGTGTTTTTGCCCAGATTAGACACGGAACTGACTCAATTTTTGATCGGAACTTTATTTTTTGCCTTTTTGGCCATTGATACGGGATGTATTACCCAAGACTGGGGACCGCCCAGTAATTATACCTTTGGTTGGCGAGAATTCCCTGCCTTTCAAAGGACGAAACTGCCTAATTTGAATCCATTCGATTGACTGAGCATGGCTACTGGTAGAACTTTCAGGCTAAAAGGGGTGAACAACGCATTGGAACAGCAATTTTCCAGAACATCTCCAGTAGATCGAATAGCTTCTGCTTTGGCACCGCACACCGTCCCAAGCGACGCAAGCGACCCCCCCCTCCTTCTTACGTCCTGCCGAGGCACAGCTTTGGCTGAGCTACACGGCCAGCGTCTTCCAAGCGAAGCAACGGCCGGCGAGGGAACCCACGGAGGAAGAAGCGGGCGACGCTTGACCTGGACGGAGTCTCCAGCACACGTCCGCACATCACCGACGTGCCGAACGCACACCGTCGTCCGCCCGATGTACAGCCCACAGGTTTGAATGATGTTTGCTTGACCGGGTGGAGTGGATATGTTTGTTTTGGCAATGAGAATCTGCCACTGTCGCGACAACATGGCATAGGCATAGACCTCAAGGATTCGACCATATTAGTGTCCAACTTTCAGGAGAGGTTTGTTCGCGCAACTTTCTGACCGTTCCATTTCATCATACAGGTCCTGATGTTCTTTTTGGGCAGGTCGTGGAGTAGCTGAAGATGGCGGTGGGAGTGGTGGTGGGTCCCCAGGTGCTATGATGGCACAGCCATGGTGTGAAAATGGAGTCCAAACCAATTCCTTGTGATGCGAATTGGACATCGGACACAACAAACTCTGCTGTAGATGATGTTTTTTCATTGTTTTTTCAGTCAGCGACTCGAACCTTTTTTGCACCACAAAAAGTGTTTCTGGGCCCAGAGTCCAGAGGAAGAATTTCTTGACCCTAAGTCATCCTCAAAGCAACTTCCAAACACTTCGTCTCCTTGCATTGGTCTCAAATACAAGGAATACAGTATTACATCCATTCCAAACAGACGCGATCACTTTCCACAGAAATCTCTGTTTTTCAAATCAAACTCTTCCATGTATTGTTTTCGCACACAACAGGCCTTTTATATACACTACTGTCTAATGACTTAGGCCAACGTGATGCAAGTGACATACCAGTCTGGCTACCCCCAGGGCTAAGTCATGTGCCCTGACATATCGAGCAAAAAAATGTCTGGGTTGGGAAACCTGGTGTCATAGGACCTGTGGACACCTCCTCGACAAAAAATGTAAAAAAAAACAGCTAAATAATGCTAGATACCACTGCCTGGCACCCTGGTGACACAGTGGTGACATAGGGTGCGACTATGTGTTGCTTCCTTGAATACCTCATACATATTTCTATGAATATCATGGTTGTGGCCTGATGACATAGGCCTTAAGAGGAAATGCCAATGTTGGATCAATCCTGATGACATAGGCTTTTGGAATTGGCGTGTATGTCCGACAAGTCCTAAGTTACTAGTCAGTAGTATAATACAAATCCGAACATCGGGAAGGTGTTTTTTTCTTTCTTTTCTGTTTATATAAGTACATTTTCACGAAGCATTGATAGATATTGGTAGCCGAAGAATTGAGATGGAGCAGATTCTCTTCATTCTGTTAGTGGTTCTCAAGACGTTCACAGAGCCCGGACCAGTTTTGCCCGACAGATTCGAGGGGCTCCGTTCCACATTTTTATGGCGATGACGAAGCTATGGAAGCCAGATGACTGGTATCCTGTTGATGAAGCAGGTACATCATGTAGACTCTTGATTAACACACCCACCCCGATTGAATTGAAACACCTCTTCATATGGGGGTTGAACTATGATCAAGAGTCTACATTTCATGCAAACCTGCTCAACCCGCAGTCGAGGTCTTGTCCTATTTCTCTTATCCTCGACCGGACGGCAGCCGAGTGAACAGCTATCTGGAACCTTTACATGGCGCTGCGGGGCATCCGCTGGCCTCGGAAGGATGTGCCATGGGCAACCAAAGCATTGACGAGCAGAACGTCACGTACTTGCTACCTGAAAATGCTTGTACGAAGGAGGGCAACAGAACCAAAGGCAGGAGCTGCAGCACATAGAGTTTTTGATATTTATTTGATGATTTGCCATTGGCCCCACATGGTGTGGTTAACCCGCAGCCCTGCGGTAGGTGTGTTCTTCGACCTGGGATGTGGTGCAAATGTGGTCGGCTTTGAGAATTATGACTATGCCGCCGCTGCCAATGGTTCTGGCATGCGATCATCGATCCCATTCTTCTTCAGAATGTATGCCGACCGTTGCATTGACTTTCAAGCCATCTATGCATGGCAGGTGCGGGCAGACATGTGGAATTTTGATCTGTAAATTGGAGATACACCAGCTGCCATCTGGGTGTGGCTGTGTTTCAAAAAGAGACGTGCTCCCCGGCCCTCCCGGCCCTCCCCGGCCCTCCCGTTCCAGCCGGCGATCGACCAGCCGGCGCAGGCGGAGCGCGTGGACCACAAGCACTTCTGGGACCCTCTGCCCGATCCGATCCGCGCGCGCTTCCGCTTCTTCAACCGGCCGGTGCAGGAGCATCTGTGCCCTGACTCGCCACAGGGGAACCTCACAGAGCCGCTCGGAGCTGTGGAGAGCGGTGAGTTCGGCCGGGTGGGTGGGGTGTTCGGCCTTCCTTTTCTTCGGATGGTGGGAACGAGTACTGCGGGTTGGTGGTGTGATGTTGTGTGTAATGGGTGGCGTGTAACAGGAACTGTGTGTGTGTTTGCTAAAGCAAGGGAGACCCCAAGAGGCGGGAAGACGGACTACAGACTGACATATATCTAAACCCGGTGCTTGGGATCACAACTTGAGGACTGCTGTCAAAGCAAGCGCCTCCCCACACCGGCCCCTTACCGCTATCGACTACGAGTGAGTTGATAGTGGTGTTCTGTACTACGCGAGTGCTTGACCTATTGGGATTATTGCAACATGAATTGAACCCTGGCACCATCTGAGACACGATCACCCCACGATCAATCCATGAGGACACAGGAGACTTTACTAGGGAATGGTATTCTCACAACTTGAAACGTGCACCTTCATGAGAAAGCATCTAGTTGGGATATGTTGGGACAAGGGTCTGTCTGGTTTCGTATTTCTGGTGTTTTTACATCGCATCTCTTCACAATTCCACCATCTTCACCTGTCCAGTCTCGGTCTCTTAGGCGCGGAGGCTTCTTGAAGCTGCTCACCGCCACCGTGTCGCTGGAGGACTACGTGGTGGTGAAAGTGGATATGGGCTCTCTGGCACTGGAGACGAGGGAACTGGCCATTGTGGCCTGGTTGGATCAGGATCAGGTGCTTTTTCTTATTTTCTCTATGATTAAATCATATCATTGTTTTTGTTTTTTCTTGTGTTTTTCCAGGTTCCTGGGAGCCGCACATCTTAGGTGGAGTCCATTGCACACCTCCCGGAGTTGTCGAACCTCATCGATGAGCTGTATTTCGATTATCACTTCTACACCGGGATCGGAGGGGACCACTTTGGCGGAGACTCGGCGTGCCTTAGCGGTTCCGATGCGCATGTATATGTATATCTACTGGGTGCCGGTGTTTACCCCTATTAGCGCTCAAAATCTCATGTCGAAACTGATGTGCCATTGGGGGAAGCTATCAAAGCAGTGCAAATAAGAAGAGATGAGCAACATACTTCTCCATCTTGTTGATCCCAACTCTGCGTGGCACACTGGCTTTGATGCGTCCACATTGCAACTTCTGTGAGATCAGTGTACCATTGGGGTAAGCTATGGAACAGCTATGGATTCGATTTTGTTTCTAGATGTTGGTTTGCTGCTGCTGGTCTGCTGCTGGCTTGCTGCTAGCTTGCTGCTGGCTTGCTGCCGGCTTGCTGTTGCTGCTGCGGTCGGCAGCAGCTGGTTCGCTGCTGTTGCCTTGCTGCTGCTGGTTCGCTGCTGTTGCCTTGCTGCTGCTGCTTGGCTGCTGCTGGTTGACCTTCTGAGCCCCATACAACCAGTAGTCGGGCCATATAGCTGGGGCTCATCCCAGGCTACTCTTTAGGACTCAGAAGTCGACGTGCCGTTGCAACCTGGACCAGAGTGTCTTAATGCCAGACTGCCATTTCTATCCCTGCAAATCTCACCTGCGCGACTTGCGAATCTGTCCAAGCCACAGCTCATGTTGAGCAGAACTTGCGATCACACACAGCCAAACCGCAGCCTCACAGAACCCCTTCAAACCATCCCCCCACCTCCGGATCCAACGGAACATCCCTTTCGCGTCGCCTTTTCCTTTCGCTCCCACGAAGCTCGTGTGCTCTTTCGCTGAGAGTCCTCTTCGCTGCCCTCGTTCGGTGTGTCGTCCACTCGTCTTTCCCCATTCGCTTGCCAAGGACGCGACGTGGACACGGCCATCAATCTCATGCTGCGCCTGCGCGAAGCAGGAATCCGTTCGCACTTCTGGGTCTGAGGCCGTGAGTGTTCTGCACCCGCGAGGCGCGCGTGTGGCGAGTCGATGTGTCAGACTGTAGACAACTGCCTGTGCATGGAAATCAGTGGATTCTGCGTGGTGGCAGAGCTGGGATGTCTCTCCCATCGCAGGCGTGCTTTCATGGATGTTTCTCGTTTGGAGGGCAGGGTTGTATAGGGAAAGAATTAAAATACACGCGAAAACCAAGGCGTTTCTGGGCACGTTTTAGAGGTTCCTTTTTTGTGTGGCCGTGGTGATGGAGGGTGAGAACATCCGGCCTGGGTGAAAACATTGCTCACGGTCTACTGAGTCTACTGGTGGTAGCAGTGGGATGGGCGACTACACGTAGTTAGTTAAACTGGGTAACTGGGGCAACGACCATTGGGGCAACTGGCCACGACCATCCATTCGTGCTGTGGTTGGACATGGCAAAAACGGACCCTGAGGACCCTTAGGACCCAAAGGATCTTCAGAGACACGCCTGACACGCCTGACACCTCCAGGTCCACCGTGTGAAATGACATGAGTACCGCATGGCTTGCGTACCGCGTGCAGCGTGCCGCTTTGCCAGGATTGCTCTGGTCCGACTGAGTAAGGTTGCTCTGGTCCGCTTGATGCATGACTTGAGGGCAGATGTCGAACAACTTGGGACAGTTTTGAGCCACAGGCAGGGAGTTACCTGGCACTTGAAATGTAGAGACTTATGTGGCTTCCTGTATGCAAGTTTGTAGAACAGGGAGAATCTCGTTTGCCCAGTCCGCCCAATCAATTTGGACGTCTTAGGATTCATGTTTGGATCTTCAACATGTTTCACTGATTCAGGGAACCCACCCCTTTAAGCCAAAGGAAGATCCAACACCTCCAACATTAACAAAAGGGTGCTAAATGGAGGACACGAGTGCTTAGAACATCCACTCACTGGATGGGTCTAAAAGCCACCCCTTTGGAACTCCCGAACCGACCCGGCCCCCAACGACTGGAATGGCTTTTTCAACGTGATCATCCAAAGCATTTCGCAGGACCGTCCCACTAGCCCTGAAGATTCTGTCAAGTCGTAGTTTGTTCAGCCTCAGTGCAGAAGCAATTGATGTTCAGCCAGTGTGCTTGATGATTGGCCCACTGAAGCGGACGAGAAGAATGATGGACGTCAGATTGACCACTGACAGAAGCAGGATTCAATCATATGCTAGCTGCTATGTATATTATATGGTCTCTTCTCTCTCTCTCTCTCTCTTAGTGAAGTCCGTCAGATCATGTCAGTCATCTAGTTGAGAGACCCTCAACCCGACTGAGAACATGTTGGGTGAACGCCACTGGTTTCACTGATTCGAAAAACATCGGATCCATAGCTTTAGCGATTCACACCGTCACTTCGCGCGGTTGGAACAGGCCGTTTCACTCGGCGGGTTTCAGAGCATGTTGGGCAGTTTGGGATGCAGACCAGTCTGCATCCTGTCTGGGTGTCCTGGCCTGGACTACCCTCACTACCCAAGGATCTCAGGCATCTAGACAAGATGGTCCAGGGGGTCATATTGAGAATTAGACATCTCTTCCCTGGCTGTGGGGTCACACCGGGGATCACTGAATCCCCAGCCCCCAGCCCGGTGGACTGTACGCCGTACTAGTAGGTGGAGCGATTCTGTTCATTTATTTCGGTGCTTTCGAAAACACCCCAGGGTGTGTAGATGTGCCATGAACCGGCGCATCTCTGAGCTGGTCCTCTGCCGCAGCCGAGCCCCACGTCTCTTGTACTTGACTTGTCCCTGGGCTCGGCGTAATCTACAAGCTACTTACAGTGGTTTCAGAGTAGATGGCAGAGAACCCAAGATGTCCTGAACAGATGGGGGTCCAGTCCTAAACCACCGACCTTGGGGTCTCTCCCATTGGTCCTCTCAATCCACTATAGAGCCTTTACCTTCGGTCAGTGCCTCCGGTCCCTCCAGCCTCGCAATACACTCCGCCCTCCAGGAAGCGAGGCACCTGAACAGATATGCGCCTCGGCACGGTCTCCGGTCGGCGTCAACGATGGCCACACCCCAGGGCTCCAGTCGTCGTACCGAACTGGTTTTTCGCTTCGGTGGGACGGGCCCGGGTGCCCGAATGCCAGGTGACCCGGTCCAGTCATACCGAGCCTGAGGTTCGGTAACCTCCTGGAGCCCTAAAAACAGAAAAGACCAGACCAGGACCTACAGGTCAGCAGGGGGTGAATAGACGGCCCCCTATGAACCTTCGCTGATAAGGGGCGTGATTTATAGTTGCGAAGAGACACCCCAAAAAGCAAGTGGGGGTCCTGTTGAGTGGTTGTCTTTAGGGGTGAAAGCATGTGAAAACCATGGGGTTCCATTTAGATGTTCCCAATCAACCAATCCCTGGCCTTCCTTCGGCGCCAAAAAAGGACCTGTCGTAGACCCGGGGATCAAGAATTCACCACTGGCAGACTGCCAGACTTCCGCCCTGACATGACCCTGGAAAAACCTCAACAGAGGGGATTCAGTGACCTGAAGCGTCCGACGGTTCTGAAGGGGTGAGCGGTGCTGAAAACCGCTCTCCAACCGCGGCGGCCGGGTTGGTGTGCGGCTCCTCTCGGTTCTTTTTTGACCCCTCAAAGAGCGGGACAGCCATGACCAGCCGCGCTGACGTGCCCGGTCTCACCTCGCCGAATCCGACGGACGGACTCAGAGGACTCGTGCTTGCGTGCGTGCGAAACGTGGTGCTGAAGTTCATATGATACGAAGACGGTGAGATATATGGTAAATTTTACAGCAGATTAAGTACGAAATTATACACCCCTGAGATTCCTAGCCCAACATTGTTTTAAAGGTCTGAATCCCCCAACAACCCATTGTCTCATGAAGGCTTGGACCCCACAAAACCCAGGGTGAACCCTTCGAACCTCAGATGGAACTTCATCCCCACCAAGGGTACCACCATCCTGGTTCTCACCCCCTCCCAGGCCTACTCGCCGCGCTTGCGCTTCAAGATGTTGGATGCCCTGGAGGCTCCACCGAGCGACTGAGGGCCATGGGAGGTTCGGTTTCAGCGAGGGACCGTGAGGTGCAGGAGGTGCAAGAGGCCTTTCTGATGCAGGACTGAGGCAACGGAGGGGATGATGGGAGGTTCGGTTTCAGCGAGCCGAAAGATTTTTGCTTAGACCCCGCCCCTTCTTTACAATCATGGAAGTGATTGACATGGTCCCTGGTAAGACCATTTTCTTCTACAAGCGGGGGTTGGTTTACTTCCATTGGAGGGAGTGTAGACAAAGATGTAACCCAAGTGACACATGTTTTTGAGCGAGAAGGACCTCTTCCGTGCGGAACTTTTTGGGTTGGGCCTCTGTTTCTTCGGCGTGCGTCACATGCGGGCGGTCTGCGTCCAGACACGCATGCATTTCTGACGCATGCGTTCGGTTATGCGTCCACCCAGCAACATTTGGAACATCAGCTGTATTCCCAATGAACATGCTTCTGTTTATGCAGTTCATCGCTATTCCGAAATAGACAGAACTATTTCTTCAATAGGTAATTTTTTTGAAATCAGATCCTTGGCACGGAAAGGCCCTTTGGAAGACTATTTTCCTCTACAACCCAGTGGTTGTCAGGCTCCATGTGGGTCTCTTCCAGGGCGTACATCGCTCTTTGAAACTTTGCCCAGTCATTTCTTCCCGCTCAAAACCAGCAGGTTGAAAAGGTTAACCATAAAGTTCCAGACAAACTGAGGGAACTATGTGTCTCTTGGCATCGAATCCGTGCATGACCCCAACATGGAGTACTTCGGGCAGCCGAAGACCCCTGGCACCCTCGCCCTACGGCCAGGCAGTTCCAATCTACCAGAAGTAAGCCAGGCAGGAGCATATGGGCCGTATCCAGTGAGAGAACACATGAGTAGGTTGAGCAGTGATTGACGGGTGGCAGTGGCAGCCCAACGTCTGGTACTGCATGACTTTGCCCTAGGATTCGATCCACACAGTTGATTCAATGGTTCGAATCCGGAATAACCATTGTTTCACTAGTTCTATTTTTTACCCAAACCAGGAAAAACCCTTCTTTCGAAGGTTTTTGACGGCTAGGGTTTAGGTCTTTAGTCTGGCAGTTGATCATTCCGCAAACCAAACTACTACTGTACAATGTCGAATCTATGATTTGTTCTTTTTGCTTGGATTAGAGGTCAATCAGCTCGACCAGGCCACTGTCAGAGGTGATTGACAAACGCTCTGGAAAGACTCCTGCGAATTGAAGCAAGAGTACATCAGAATACAGGAGTCCCCTTCCATAGATGGGCAAGGTTCCCTTGTTAAGTTTTTGGTATCTGGCGTTCTTCCCGCTCCATTCTTCCCTGAACGGGGCAGACATCATTGCTCTTTCATTCAGCCGAAAGAAGGAGCAAGGTCTCCAAGACTTGAACCTTGGCTATGCTTCAACACATGGGCAGTACACCTTTTTTCGCCGGTCTCCGGCACCAAAACGAAGACTTGGTCGACCACGGCTCTGCTCGTGGACGTCACCCTGCTCCCAGCTGGTGCAAACCAGAGGGAGCGATTCGGCTTGGGTCGCAGAAAATATCCAGTTCAATCCCAGAAATATTCATGGGACCCTGAATATTCATGGGACCCAGAACCCTAGCTTGGGTCCCTTCCTCCAACAAAATATCCCCATGAAGCAGGGAACCCTTCGGCGCCGTAGAGTTCTGCCAGCCCGACAGCTAGGTTGACAGCCTTTTCCGCTGCATCGCCGGTGATTTGTGTGCTGTCAGGTTTGTGGGTTTGTGTGGTGCCCTTTTCTCCCACCCTGGCGCGGGCTGCAGTGTCTTCACCGAGGAAAGACCTTCATAAACTTCTGAACATCGGGGTCTTTACATGGTGGATGTTGAGACGAAGCCATATAGAAGACTCAAAAGATCTCAACAGCTTCGCAAAACCACGTGGAGTGGGCAGATGGGAAACGCCAAGGCAAGGGGCGGTGAACAGACTCGCACACCGTGCTGAAAAAACACCGTGCTTCTACAGAAACCATCCATCTCCTCAGTTTACCCAGTCTCAACCAGAAACAAGTGCTTTGTTCCCCAAATAAAGCCTTGCTTCAAATCCTTCACATCGGAACGTGGGCGAAGTTCCGGTTCACCGGCCGAGCGGTTTCGCTCGGCGTAGGCGACTCGGCACTGGACCTGTTTCACGCTGGGCGCTCGAGGTGACTCGGCGCAGCTCAACGCCGCCATGGCGGCCACCGAGCGGGTCTGGGGTCTGGCAGGGCCGTCATTTAGATCAGTGAGCAAGTGGTGCATTCTTGAACTCGCGGGAGAACACTGAGCACCTGAGTTCGTTCAGGCCCAGAACATCTGAATATGGTAACCCCCCCCCCCGCAACCAAGGCCGTGCCGTTCCCTGGCCTTGGTTGATGGGTTTTGTTCCAAGAACAGCTGGCACCCTACAGCACTGCTGTCCTCTGCTGCAGATCTTTGGATCGTTTTTCCCCAACCAAGCCGACTCGACGGATTCCACGATAGGTCTCACCAGACCCCGCCGCTCTTTTGTGACCAAGAAACATCCCGGAAGTGTCGGGAGTGGTACAGCACGTCGCGTTGGCCACCACATCCTGTATAGTGTACAGCCGCCGTTTGAAGTGTGTTTCACTGCACAGTCATTGATGACACACTGGTGACTTCCTAGAAAGGGTGGATTTGCTGGCGCGGCTCACATTCCATATCTATCGAATTTGGCACCTCAATATTCGTTGTTAAGGCATGTTAAGACACTTATACATGCATGCTTGAACTTCTTCCTCACACGCACCCCCGAGCCCTTTGGCATTTCTTTCGCATTGAATCTTAAATCTGTCACATTGTCCCAAGAATCGTGCCATGATTTTGCTAGGCTAGGTGCTCTCCAGAGTTGGTAAAGACTTCTCTCTCAGTTTGATTCTTTGCAAGACCACTCAGCGCACTTCCCATCCGTCCATCCTTTCCAAATCCAAGTGTGCAAAAAAGTTCTTGGCACAAACAACTTTATCCCAGGAGACCCTAAAAGTCTGTCGTCGCGGCGGACGCTCAAAATATCCTGGCCTCTCTCAGAGTAGCAGCCTGCCACATTTCCATGGAATTTCAAGTACCTTCACTTCCTCTATAACCAGTCTTGGGGCATCTGCAAACCAGTGTTGACATGATTGAAAAGCCCAATCATGATTGAACCGCCGCAGTAGCCGACGTTGCAGCTCTTCAAATGGTTTGGAAACCCAGGGATGCTCCAGCGTCTCATCGATGCTTTCTGTGCATGTTTGATGGAATGGCGGCCGGCAGGAAAAGGGGAACCGTTGGATCGGGAACTGGGAGTTCCCGGAATATGTCCTCATCTTCATGACACTAGAACCTCTGAGCTATCCCTTCTTGACATTTGGGAAGTCTGATAGATCTACTGGAGACTTCCAACGTCCAAAAAGATGCAGGCTGGTCTTGATTTGGGTGCGCATTGGAAGCCGTTTGACGCCCCGCCCATGCAAAAAATGCGCGCTCCGCGGTTCGCTGGTCGAACTTCCTCTTCCAGAAAAGGGGTTCGAACTGGGGGGGTCACGAAGGTCAATTCACACTTCCTTGTCATCCATCCATTTCGACCTGGATCTCTGGGTGCAGAATTTGGGTATGTTCCACCTTTACTTGGAAGATAAACAACCAGATAAACATCTATGGTTTCCATTGCTGCGAATCTATCAGAAAACCATCCAACACATCTCCTTCTATAGGGACCCTTGGGTCGAGAGCGCCAAACAACAAACACAGGGGACCGGTGCGAGGGTCCCTCAGATACAACCAGATCCCTTTCACCACTGCAGAGGTGTTCGGTGATGGTTTTTACAAAGGTTTTCATCATTTGCCCAATGCATGCATCATCTTAAAGTGCCCAGGGCATCTATAGCTGGTATCCAGTTGGTTCGAAAGACAAACCACAGACCGAACGAATCCCTGGTTTCCTTATATAGTGGTTTGCCTGGGATGCACTGGGGTGGATAGAGGTCGACCAAAAAGGAATTGCTTTGGACATGTTCCACCTATGACTCGTCCACGATTCCACCGGTCCGACCTGAGACTCATCAACGAAAGTAGACCTGTGAGACTCATGACTCATGTCGATGACACATGCGTTCCCCTTCTCGAGATCGCGCAACAGCTGAAAAAGCTGAAGCAGTGTGATGGTGCTCATATCAGGATGACGTTCCGCACGAAGCGGTCAAAGCGGTGAAGATTCACATCGAAACTTCACACCAGAGGGTTTCAGACATCTCCAGACACGATGGATATTGGAAGGGTTTCAGATATGCCTATGGTTTTAGTTTTCAACCCTAGAAAATAGCTTTCACATTCCACTCAGGGCATGCATCGACTCAGGACATCCGACATAGCAACTGTTGACATGGCCTAGATGTTCCAAGAAATAGTAAAGATAAACACCCAGAGAAATACAGTTTTTTTTGGTATTACTTGTGTGTTATTTTCTTTTTGTGTTCCGTTTTGTTGAAGTGAAGAATGGGTCAGACGGTATCGGACGGTTTCAGACACTCCAGACGTCTTGGGACGGTTTCAGCCTACACCTCTGAGACCACGACGCTCTAGGCAAACAGATGCCAGTCCGACCAATCTCGCGTCTGGGATATTCAATCTTCGACTTCTTGGATCTAAGAAAGGATTGGGTCCTACCCTCCAGGATTGGGTTCTACCCTCCAGTAGTTCGGAGTTGGCTGCTCCGCAGTTGGAGGGAGGGGGCACTGCATTCGGCGCAACCAATAAAGACCCCGGTCTGAAGGTCTTCGGTCGGGCACGGCGTGCCGTTCATCGTCCACCGAGCACCATCCAATCCCAGTGACCGCCATTCCAAGCAATTCGTTTAGTCAGAGGCTTCCCGTGTGACAGCGACACCGTAGACGGAGTGCTTCGTGGGCGTGAACAACGTGAACCATTGAACCATAAACAACGACGACGACGACGGCGACAACAGCAGCGGCAGCCGCAGTGGCAGCCGCAAAAGCAACCTAGATAGACCTAGCCACTTAACCAACTAATCACAAGACAGCTGCACCCCCCACCTGAAACTTGAACGGACGAGCTGGTAGCCACCATGACTGGCTAGGGGCTGCCCTTGGAACGAGACTGGCTGCCCTGGCTGCCCGGCCATCCGCCCTGGCCCTCGTTGCCCCCGGGCCATCCACCACGCATCGACCCATGATGTGAGTTCCATCATCCATCCCCCCAGCAGAGGTGGGTCAGAACCCGAACTAGACTATCCTATAGGTACTGCTGTAGGGTCCTATTTACGGTCACTTCACCTCTGTAGGCCTGTTTCCTTCTTTCTTTCCAAAGAGCCACGGGCCCCGGCCACGGGCCAGTGGCGAATAGCACATGGGATGCCAACGCCCGTGCGACGAGAAGGCACGTGCGCGGGGGAGCATGACAGGAGTCACCCCGCCGCATGAGCGAGAATGCACGGTCGGTCTATCGTCGGATCAGAGCACCTTTAATTCATGCGGGCTTCCGGATACGGGCGTGGCCAGACTCAGACTGAGTTTAGGAGTTTCTGCGAAACACCAGCGGTGCTTTTGGCCACGCCCAGCAATTTCATTAATGCCCAGGCAAGAATTTCAAGGACAACAACTCAGGAGAAAGAGGACTTGGATTGTTGTTCCTTTCAAAAAGATTCGCTGAGTCTTAACTTGAAGTGATCTATGTCTATTGTTCTTTGAGATGGGACGTTGGTCGACAGATGGAGGATGCCGGGATGCAAAGAGAGATGCCGGAAGTGGCGGCCAAAGCCCCCCTTTGTGGAGAGTTGACCTTTCCACATTGATAACGCGACGCTGAGCGGAGGATTAGTACGATCTGCCAGGGTTGGGGCCGGGGTGTTTGGACGGTCTAGCTTTTTAAAGCCTAAAGCTTCTGAATGCAAAGTGCCAAGAGAGCAGGGCAAGCAAGAGATGAAAGAAAGCTTGACGTTTTGGTGGTTCTTTTTGGTCTCCAATCCGCCCCTTTCCGATGCAGTGCGTCCACCTCCGCGTTCCGCCGAACAAGGACCCGCCGAGACGCCGAGACTGGCGGTTTCAGCCGAGACGAAGCGCTGGGTCCGCCGTCCGCCGCAAAAGGTCCTTGGCGTCGGGCGTTTTCTGGGGAGAATCAATGGAAGACTGAAGCCTCCATCAATCGGGTGCCCTAATCATTGGAAGTGTAGTACTATCAATGAATCAGTCAATCATTAGAAGCAGTACTGGTGCCTTAATGGTTGGTCGATTGATTGGTATAGGACCTCCATCAATCAGGGGATTGAAACCTTCTTCTGCTGCATCACAGCAGAATGAGATCAGAAGGATCATGTGTTCGATGAAGGGCCTGGGGTGGACTTTGGAAAAACGAAGAACCGCACGGCACACCACCTGTACATCGTGGATCAACTATCGGCCGAGGGCAGAAGCGGTCGAGGGTAGAAGCCGGAAAGCTACTAGTAGCTTTCTTGTTCCTAGTAAGGCCAGGAGCTACTAGTAGCGTCCTTGCTCCTATAGTAGTAATGCCCTTTGCTAGTAGCTTCTTGTTCCTAGTAGCCTTCTTTTTGTCACAAAAAGGGGAAAGAGCTGGTGTAGATCTGGACCCGACTTTAGGTCATACCTTTGAAAATGGGACCAAGCAGGTGAGGTCAATAACCCATATGTTCCACTTGAAGTCCAGGGTCCGGTAGGTAGGTCTCGTCCACTCGTTCGGTCGGACGGAGGGGAACCGACACTCGGCAGATCCCCGGGGCTGGCCCGAGTATGGTCCCCCGAGCCAGTGGAGCCAGTGGATCTTGGGAATCAAGTCGACTTGAAAAAAGAAGGGTGTCTTTCGAATTTCCTTTACTTCAGTCGGTCAACATAGAGTCGAACTGGACTTCTAGGGTATACCTTTGGTTACCAGAGGCAGAGGGGACACCTCCCAGTGCTGGCCGATTCTGTCCGGGCTCAGAGCTGACGGGTCGAGAGTCCCTACCGCGGTGGTCGGCAGCTGGGCACGGTGAGGGTTTCTGTGGGCCGGGGCGGAGGACAGCTAGAGGCCTCCAGCGGGTGTGTAGCTCGAATAGGGCGACCTCCCAGTTTGATACTACTTTGATCCGGAAGCTTCGGGACATCGACCATGTCTACCCGAGATTCCGGGGTGGATCGACGAAGAACAATCTTTGGGGAGGTCTCCGGGATTTGGAGCTACAATGAGCTACAGACCCTACACCTCCAGTCGTACCTCCTCAGGTTCGTTTTGACTGGACCCGACCATGGCACCCACCCAAAAGCCCTTCGAAACGGTTCGGTACGACTGGAGGCCAAACGGGAGACCTGGGTTTTGGGCCGACCTCTCCGATGCTCCACGCCGGCCTCGAGACGGCGGTTGAGAGACTTGGTGGCGTTTTCACATTCACCACCACCTTGGTGACGTACCAGGTGATGTAGGCGATCTGTACTTATACCATCTACCAACATATAAATAGGACCCAGATGGCCTTGCATGACCTGGTCCGTTCTTGGTGGTGAAATGTATACATTTAAAAAAACACGCCATCGATCTGAACTAACCCACTGAACACTTGGTGGATCCTCGTTTGGAAACCGGCTTTTGGGAGCGGTTGCCATTCACCCAATGCCCCCAGAGGTCACCGTCAAAGGGACCGAGCCTGATGGTCGTGGGGGGCTTCTTCAACATGCTTTTGAGCTGTTCTTGGGTGGGTGTTTTTTGCCCTAGGGCTCCAACCACCTCCTGAGGATGTGTTCAGACTCCAAGTGCAGACACCGCCCACGTCTCGTGGGACCGAGTCCGGTCCCTCCGATGGGTTCGGGTTTCATGCCACGCCAACCGCTGCGACCGTGTGGATATGGTGGACGTGGGGCTGACGTGGTGCACGAAAGAGACGCTGTTCGGCGGACTTTTCGGTGGACGCCTTTGGAGCAACATAGTGGATTCCACTCCCGGTCCGAGCGTCACCGGGCCGATCCTCCAGTGGGTGCTGTAAACACCTGGCACGGATGGAATATGTACGATGGAACTTGACCGGACAAGGCCATGAAGAATTTCTCAGACAACGCAGCTAGCAGCTACCAGGACCCGACTCTACAGGTCTCCTCTGGAGGCTTTTGCTGACCTAAAAGTCGCAGGTGGTGACCTGTTGGAGGGTAGTGGTATACGACAATGTGTTGCACTTAAAATTCCAAGTTTCAATCAGAGAGAGAGAGAGAGAGAGATGAACCCGAAAGGATCCTCATGCTTCTTGAGTGCGGAGGGGATCGGTGACTATGAAAAATTGCTACCTGCACCAGGAAGAACATCAGGATGTTCTACTGGTTTGCAGGGTTGGAGTATCAACGAGTGGAAGTTGGTGTCAAACACTGTTGGGTTCAACCATGGATTCCAACCATGGATTCCAACACGAGTGTCAAGACGATGGATTCCAACCAATCAGCAATTAGCCTGAACCATTGTTTCACGATTTTTCGACTCAAGGCGACCAGCCTGGCACACCTCCCGAACGGCCCGGGCGAACCGCCCCGTCCCGAGGTCGGTCGGCGACACCATGGCGCCTTCCATCACGTGCGTCGACTTCGGCCGCGCGGAGACCGGGAAGCGGGAATCGGGGGTGGAGGACATGGGATCAATAGGATGAACGTGGACCGGGGGCAGAAAGACTGCTAAGAAACATGACCATGGAGATCCATGGAGTCACGTTCCACCGGGGTGGTGGTTAGTCCCATCGGCGGATGTGACAGGGGCACCCAGAAAACCTCCATGGAGTCCGCACCCCGAGCTCTTGTGACTGCTGGTACTCGAATTGTGGCTGTCAAAGATGTTAGGTCCCCTGGAGTGAATTGGATCATCCTGGATCCTCCGGTTCTGCGCGCGAGTCTTTTTTTCTGCCGAACTGGGGCTGGTTTTTTTGAGACGACACGGCGATGCATGTTGGACGATCTATACCAGCACCCGAAACCTGCCAGGTCACCGATTGAAACCTGTCTTCGGGCCTTTCCCACCCAACCCAACCCTCCATGTCGGAGCCGACCTGGTGCTTGTCGGGTGTTGGTAGTCACCTGCGGCGGTCGAGTCCCAGTGGCCCATGGCTGCCCATGGGCATCTAGGGATCACCAAGGGAGTCCAACAAGTCTGACTGGACCAGGATCATCCTGTCTAGGTGTCCGAGGTCGGTGACAGCAGTGTAGGGTAGTCTAGTAGTCTATGGTAGTATACCATAGGATGTCTATCCAGACAGGATGACCCAGGTACTCCCGCCGACTCACAAACCCTTCCACCGGAGGGTTGAGGATCTGACGAACTGGTGACCTGGGTGTCAGGAGTTTCCTGTACGTTCGGCATTGCCAAGGTCAACGTCTTTGGACTTCGGCATTCGGCTTGTTATACCATCATTCATGTTATCTGTTGCTCTCAATGGGTGTTTTTCCCCAAACAGTTTACTGTTAGGGGTTCTCAATTCTTTCTTAAGATGTGTCCGCCTCCGCCCTTCGTGTCACTGCTGGTGTCCGCCCTTTTCCGCTGGCCATGCAGCATTTCTATTCATTTGTTTTCCACAGGTCTGTCACTGCTGGTGTCCGCCCTTTTGCGTTGGCCATGTAGCATTTCTATTCATTTGTCTCCCAGGTCTGTCACTGCTGGTGTCCGCCCTTTTCCGCTGGCCATGCAACATTTCTATTCATTTGTCTCCTAGGTCTGTCACTGCTGGTGTCCGCCCTTTTCCTCTGGCCATGCAGAATTTCTATTCTTTTGTTTCCTAGGTCTGTCACTGCTGGTGTCCGCCCTTTTCCGCTGGCCATGCAAGATTTCTATTCATTTGTCTCCCAGGTCTGTCACTGGTGGTGTCCGCCCCTTGCCGCTGGCCATGTTGCATTTCTATTCATTTGTCTCCCACGTCTGTCACTGGTGTCCGCCCTTTTCCGCTGGCCATGTACCATTTCTATTCGTTTGTCTCCCGGTCGCTGCTGGTGTCCGCCCTTTTCCGTTGGCCATGTAGCATTTCTATTCATTTGTCTCCCAGGTCTGTCACTGGTGTCCGCCCTTTTCTGCTGGCGATGCAACATTTCTATTCATTCCCGAAACAGTTTACTGTTAGGGGTTCTCAATTCTTCTTTATGATGTGTCCGCCCTTTCCCCTTCTTGTCTTCCTTCTTGTTGGTCACCTTGTCTCCCTTCTTGTTGATGTCTCAAAACGTGGACTTGGGAATGCTTCGTTGTTGTCTAACCTGTTTGTGGTCTACGGTGGTTTAATTCTTGTTTTCCAGCCACATGAGAATGAGATGGAGGTGGTTTCCGAAACGGACAGACGACGAAGAAGCACGTTCTGCTAGCACCGATGTGGAAATACTGGGGAGAGGTCCAGGCCTTGGAGGAGCAGAGTGGGGGTCAAGTAAAGCCTCCTCAAGCAGGACCTTCCCCGTGACCGAACTGTGGAGTCCCATCAAGTGACCGAACTTACAAGCCTGTTCGGATCAAGGTCGGTCACTGGGAAGATCCAGGAAGCTGCAAGATCCTCAGATGCTCACACTTCCAGTTCACTGTGCATGCACAAAATTTATAATGAATGCTTTTAGTATGTCTTAATGAATGCACAATCCACCTAAGTGAGTTATACCTACCTAACCAAAGACTTTTGAGAAGCAAGCTCTGAAGGGTGTTTACGGCCTTCATGAAGTGTTGTTTTTTCTCCAAACAGTGTGGGCACACTGAGGGGTTCTTACGGTAGGTGAAAAGCAGGTGTGCTTAGATCGCTGTTCCGAGCGGGCGTGTCCGGCTAATTCGTTGCTATTTACAGGGCATTCATGCCTCTCGAAATCGTCAAAATGCATTTCGACTGCGCTCTCGTTGTGGCGCCGTGCGCATTTTGGCACATGGTGGTCACTTTCGTGGCAGGCGCAAGGGAAACCTCGGTTTTACTTCGAAATGTAGGTTTCTTGGCAGGCGCAGCACTTTGGACATGGTGGTGATCGTCGAGGAGCTCAGATTTCGTTGACAGGTGCAGTGAATCCTGACTTTTGGATATGTGGCTCGTTTGCAGATTTCGTGGCAGGCACAGCACTCTGTGACCCTCGATGTGCAGATTTCGTGGCAGGTGCAGCACCTGGCGAACCTCGAAGTGTAGATTTCGTGGCAGGTAGAGCACTTGGTGAACCTCAATGTGCAGATTTCGTGGCAGGCACAGCACTTTGTGAACCTCGAAGTGCAGATTTCGTGGCAGGCACAGCACTTGGTGAACCTCGAAGTGTAGATCTCGTGGCAGGTACAGGAGTTGGTGAGCCTCGATGTGCAGATTTCGTGGTAGGCACAGCACTCACTCACTCACACATGCTCACACTCACACTCACTCTTCACTCACACTCACATTCACACTCACACTCACACTCTCTCCCACTCGCACCCACACTCACACTCACTCACACTCACTCTCATCCACACTCACTCTCACTCACACTCGCACTCGCACTCACACTCACACTCCACTCTCCCACTCCCACTGACACTTACACTCCTCACACTCACACACACACACTCCCACCCGCACTCACACTCACACACTCACTCTCACTCACACTCACTCTCATCCACACTCACTCTCACTCGCTCACACTCACACTCCCTCACGCTCTCACGCACACTCACTCTCACCCACACTCAGTCTCACTCACACTCGCTCTCACTCTCACTCGCACTCACACTTACACTCGCACTCACACTTGTCACTCACTCACTCACTCACTCACTCACTCACTCTCTCTCTCTATCTCACTCTCTCTCTCTCACTCCCACTCTCACTCTCACTCTCACTCTAGCGCATGAGAGCTTTGCATGCCAACGAGCGTGAGTTTTGGGACGACCTTATCACAGCTCACCTGAAGCTGCAACTTCAATAAGCAAGCCTGCTGGAGTGAAAAAAATTGCACGGAACTTTTTCTGCATTGTAAACTTTTTGCCGCGTATACCGAAATGCAAACATTATGTGACCTTTGATTCAACTTTCAATCTGACTCATGAGGGCTCAACATGCTCGGAATTATTACATGTACCATGTCAAAGCTGAACAAGCGGGTCCCGCAAGCGCACGCGCAGCATCATGAGCGTACGTCGCACAGCGCTCGTCGACCAGCGGGGAGGCCTCAAGGATCGCTACAGATCCAGGTGTGCAGAGTTAGGCGTGTGCGAAGACTGCAGCGTCTGTTGGGACAAGTTGAAATACCAGGTTACGGACCGCGAAGACCCCCAACACGTTGTTGTATTGGATTGCGGGCATGAGTTTTGCCTGGGTTGCATCCATCCACGGTACGTGATGAACAAGACCTGCCCAACTTGCAAAGCTCCGGTGCATGAGAAGCTGCAGAAGCCGCGCACGAAGAAACCAGAATCGAAGAGAGGGTAATGTTGCCAACCCGGAGTATTGGCGCAAGCACTGGCGCCATTGGCCGCTCGCGACCATGTCTTGCCCGCCGCGCAGTCCCTCCGCGCGGCCAGCAGCGCGAGGGGCCGAAGCAGATCAAATGCCCTTGGCCAGCGGGCGTCAAATGCTTCCTATGCCACGCCTTCATTGACGGAGAGAGCATGGTCTGCAAGCACCAAACTAGAAGTTCTCCAAGAGCATCCTGATGGGACCTGTTGTGCTCCCGAAAAAGGCTAGAATAGCATCGAATAGCTACCAAGAGTCACAAAGGGGTCGTTCTTAGTCCTTAAGTGAGTGGATAATGTGCACCCCTAAACTCCATTAAGCATCCCTTTGTGACTGCTGGTATATAAGCTGTGCGACTTGTTCATCGCCCTCGTGGCGATGGACCAGGCGGAGTCTCCCTGAAAGAGGTCCCCGAAGCCACCACCCGAGAGACCTGGTAGAGACCGCGGTCCCTCCATGCGCAGGTACCGCAGCACCCGGGGCGGAGCCACGGGCTTAAGCTTTGAACAAGCAGTTTTTGAAGGCCGACCCAGGGAGAGAACAGGGGGATTGAGTCTGAGGTCGCCCAACCCCCAACACATGACCAGGTGAACAAAAGGGGTGAACCATGCCATAGCAAAACAGGCTTTGGAGTAGGCACAGGTGAATACTGGTGAGGTTTGTTTAGATGAGCCTCAAGCCCAAGGGTAAAACCACCCAAGAACCACCTGCGACCGAGGTGTCTCATCTCCCCAAAAACCACCGAGCGACCTGGGTGCAAGGAGGGGGTTTCCGAGCATCCGACTCGACTGGCCATCCAGTGTCCCGACGCACCCGACCACATGGAACCCCAGAGCTGCAGGACGAGCCGACGTTTCGGGTTGCGAACCGGGGACGAGCCCCGAACCGGGACCATGTGGCAAAGCATATGAGCCACGGGTCAAGAGTCACCAAACCCCAAAACCCTCCAACCTCCAACCAGCACCACGAAGTGGATGGTTTTTGGATGGATCACCTTGACTATATCTATTGTCCATCCAGAAACCACCTGAAATGCATAGCGCTGCCCCAGAGGATGACGCTGAAGCGAAGTCGTTGAAGCAAAAAGAAGGATCTTCAAGGAGTCGCGCGCGATTTTGGGAGTCTTTGTTCTGATGTTTCTCCACCCTGTTTCACCCAGAAGTCCAGTTTCGCCCACGGAAATCTGGGAAAACTCCTCATGTAGCAGGACGGGCTGCCCATGTAGCCGAGTTTCCAGAGCGCCCTCCGAGCCAGGCTTGGCGCCTGATGGAGGATTGATGGCTGCTCGACCCGAGCTGGGTGGGTGCAGGACCACCAAAGGCCTGAGGCTCCTGGTGATATCCGTGAAGAAGGGTCATCCCAAAGCTTGCATGGTGGGGGGGAGTGGTTCTAGGAAGGGGCTTCAGTCAGTATGTGGCCTTGATGCATTGGAGTGGTCGAAGCAAGATTGGGTACTGGTAGGGCAAGTGGATCTCCGCCATTTGATTGCAGCACGAAACCATGCATCCACCGGTATACCGATCTTCATCAGCACCTCGACCAGCTTCTAATCCTGTGCATGCGTCTCGTGGCAGGGGCCAGTCTAGACGCTTGAGACGATGGTTCGGATGAAACCAGCCGAGCACAGAAACGGCTAGGATCTGAAACCAGCCTCACCTGCTCACCCTGCAAGAGGCTAGATCCGGAAAAGATGTTTTGCTAGGGAAAACATTTTAAGACCCTTGGTGTTTAGCAGGGAGAACCCAAATGCAAGCACATTCTGAGTTTGAGTCGCTGGATCTTTTTTTCTGAATCGCTGGTGAGCAAGCCTTCAAGTTAATTTCTCTCACACACCCTGGAGCAGGGACATCACTCGTGCACTTAATTCTGATCAGTGCAGCGGATAGATAGATGCTCAGAGTTGCAACTGATCCGGTTTCTTCAAGCAAACATCCCTTCACATCCCTTCTTTCTTCCTTTCCAATGATGTACCAGCACCCGACTTCACAGGTCACCATCTACACCACTTTAAAGTCTTGAAAAGCAACCAGAGGAGACCTGTAGAGTCGGGTGCTGCTGTCCTCCAATCACCGTACCAGGTACCGGTACGACTATACATCCCAAACAGGTCCAACGGCCTCCAGCGGGACACCAACTTGTAGTCACCAGAGACCTGAGGGTGCTGGTAGAAGTCTCAGAGACCAAGTGCCCGCATGATAGGGATCTTCCGGATCATTTGCGCATCGTGAGCGTGAGACCCAGAAATAGCTCGGCCTTGATCAGCTTGGTAGCTATAGCTAAATGGTCTCTGCAACAACCATGCCGCCCCCCTTGGCCGAATTTCTGCTTCTTCCAGAAGGGGTCTCTGGCAAATCCAAAAGCTGCCCACACAAATTCTTCCAATTCCGTTTGCTTTATATCGCGAATTCAAGTTTGGAGGTGTTCGAAAGGCTGGTTGGCACAGGAAAACACCACCCCCTCATCTTGCAGCAACACAGAAGTTCAACCATATGAAAAGGCATGACAATGCTGGATCCAGGAACATAGAAAGGCACGTGGACCGGTCCACCTGTCAATATAACATGAGTTAGCCTATGGATTAAACATAATAGAGTATATGGCTCATTTTCGGGCTATATTCAGGCTATTTAGTCTATCGAACTAGTGGTCCAATAGGTTTTTGCCTGTCCAGGTTCCAGAGACGGTGCCAGATGTCTCCAAGATCTACAAAGGCAGTTCGTTTGTGCGAAGAGTTCCTCCGGTTTGGAGGGCGGGCCTCGGGGAATCAGCTGCTCCAAGGGAAGGACATCATCGGAACTCCGTTGTTTGTTTTTCAGGTGAAGGGAGAGATTCCCCCCGCCACAAGACACCCTGAGAGTCCAAGTTTGACTCATTTTACACCTATGGTAGTGGTGGACTCTGCACAAAACTCTGGAACACCTGCAGCCCTAGAGAAAGTACAAGCTTTTGGACCTACCTGGACACCTACAAGAGTCTTGAAGTATCCATCGAGTGGTACAGGTCTCTGCCCAAGTCCAGCCTCAGCCTCAGCACACCTGCTCCCCAAGTCTCAGCTGCTTCTCCTAGGGAGGTGAGGAAAGCTTTTGCTTTTCATGCACACTCCCGTGAAGGAAGCTGCAGCCTTTTTCACCTGAAAAGACGTTGAGGGGGATGGAACGGGTTGAATCCCCTGCCACGGGGAAGATTGTTTTCCTGGGTTTCCTGGGAGCCGCATCGATATCCAATGGAAACTCCATGGTGTTCGTCGCACCCAGCTCAAAAACTGCGCCCGCTTGACTGGGCGAAGGCTGGTCCAAGTTGAAGTTTCATGAGTTGGCCTTCGAGGCTCGTCTTGACGGAAACGTGCTGCGTGAAGCACATGGAGAGAGAGAGAGAGAGAGCGCGCCGGGGGGGCGAAGGGGCAGGTGCCATCCATTCAGGGCATCCACTTTTAGGTGGGATCGTTGAAGAGAGGCAGCTCTCAAAGTATCCCCAGGTTGTGGGGCGAGAAGAATTGGCTGGAGCTTCGAACAAAGATTGAGATGGGACTTTCAAAACCTTCCGGGCTTTTTGAGATGGCAGATATGATATAGGACCCTTTAGATGAGAAGGTATAGGAGATGCCAGGTGTCTTTAAATAAGGGGGGTCAGAATCTGAATGATCCAGGACCTGGATGATAAGGACTGATTTTTATCTTTTCACCTGTCCGAGCGATCGCTTGCAGGCTTGGACACCACCCAGCCGAAATCCTGGCCCAGCCAGACCCGCCGGATGCTCGGTCCACCGACGGAGCCAGGTGGCGAGCCTCTTCTGCAGCACGGACGAGGTCCCGTCCGCGGATCTCCGACAGCTCATGCAGCGGAGCTATGAGGACGGAGCGCGGAGATGAAGCGCGGAAGATGGAGCGAGGGTGCTCTTGCCGGACGGTGTGCCAGGGGTGGGGTGGGTGTGTAATAGGGAGAGTGAGACCAAGTTCGGGCCTTGATGTCCCAGCCCTTTGGGTTTATCACCGAATCCACACACCGCCCGACCTGCGGGGGCAGCCGGGGCACAGGACCCCAAAAAAGCACAGGTGGTAGGGGTCGAGTCTAAACCTTCAGTTTTCGCTGGGGGAAGTCTCGGGATCTGTCCAACTTGTCCGTGCAACGATGTGGGGAAGGGTCCAAACTTGGAGCCCGACCAGTCCATCATGCAGCTTGACCTGACGTCGGTAGGTCAATCAAGGTCCCAGTCTTGACCCACAGCCATGTGATGTCGAACGCAGAAGAGGCAGATGAGGCAAGACAGGTCGCCCTTCCAGATCCTGGTCCAGTATCTCTGACAGATTGCCTGCGCCCCTTTCGGAACCCAAAAACACCGGGGGAACACTTCCAAAGGAAAACTGTTTTCTTTTTTCAGTCTCATCCAGTGAGTCTGAGTGGATGTGACAGGGGGCACCCCTCTCCTTCCTCCGTTCATTCGGCACCCCCACCCGGTTCACGGCCGAACCATTCCCGAGCATGTGTTGTGTTCGAACGCTGAGCGGTTCCGCACGTGGTTTTGGCGGCCCAAAGGATGAACACTGGGTGACGTTCAAGTCACGAAAGGTAGCTTGAGCTACAGTTCTCCTTGCTTTAGCAAAAATGTATTACAATCAGGAGTTGGGATTGTGCATTGAGTTTGGTCCTGTAAGAGTTGATTCTGTTCGTCGGGGGGGGCCCCCCCCTGGATCAAATCCCCCCTGCGCTGGTTCACGCCGTCATGGACTTCTAGCAGGGTTACTTGTGATTGCCTGCTACCTTTCGTTCACCCCCTCCTCTCTCAAGTCTGACATGGTCGGGCCACACTGATCACTAGGTCTTCACTATCTCATCAGATCTGTACACAGGAAAAAGACTTGAACGGTGCTTCCACTATTTCATGTCGAGAGTCCTTCGCCCAATTATTTCCAAACAGAGTGACACGTGTGCCACTACAGGTCATTATGCTGTCAAAACATGTCAACATATTGTTTTTGCATTCGCCAGGGACGTGTATGGGAGGATGTCTTTGAATTTCGCCAGTTTTTGTTTTGTCATGTTTTATCCCCAAATATTCTCTGCAACTAAGATAACTACTATATAAGTTCTTCAGTTTTCATGGAAAAGACCAATTTCACTCCAGCGGTTTTCTTCGGAAAACCCACGCACTGCCAGACCTTTGACCACACGGAGGTGGTCCCCAGTGTCAAGGCCGTGTGGCCGATGCACAAAAAGCGTGCGGAAACGCTCGCGCGAGACACGACCCAAACACTCCATGGGACTTAGCATATTTACCGATCAGGCCAGGGGTGGTTGATTTCAGGGGTCAATGTAGGGTTTCATATGCCAGTCCCATGCACGTGGACCAGTCGCCTGGTTTTTCAATGGGTTGCTTTAAATTTGTTCAAGTGAACATCTACAGGACACGATGGTTTTCACCACCAAAACCATGAGCTTCCTGTAACATCGCGTGGCTGCTGCCTTTCCACGGGGATTAGATGCAAGAGAAGCTTTGAAGTATCAGGTCGACATCATAGGTTGATAAGGTACCATTGCTGGGTTGCAGTTCTATGTATTGGGCACTGGGTCGGTGGGTACCGGGGACTTGCAAGACACGCGGGGACCGCGTCAGTGCAGCCATAGAAATCCTCAGCGTCAGTACCGCAGGGATAAACAATACATGTTTTTGTGCGCATGGGAAGGACATCCTTGATGCATGTATATGTGTATCCTTTTTTTCTTTTCCGATAACATACTTAAGCACAACGTTGCCATGGTGTTGTAATATCAGTCGGGTGACTTTTCACAAGCCCGGGTGACTTCACACATGCGCTAGTAGTTGTGATGGGACAGGGGTAGATGATCTGGGAGAGCAAATCTGAGACAACCATCAACCCACTCATGATTTGGCGTGGTGACCTCTTAACTCTTTGAATCCCTAGGGCTCCAACTACTGAGAAGATGGTTTGGGGTGGGTTTGGGGGGGTCGAAGACCACCTTCTGAGGATATGGTATGATATTCTTTTGAGTGCCCCGGTTATTGGCACCTGGTCGTCCCCCATGATGTGGTCGGACGGAGGTTTCTGTTGCTGTCATATGTTGTGGGATGCAGCTCGAGTCGGTCATGGGTGGGGAACCACACAAAATTCTGAGCATCATATGGCCAGGAGCCCTCAAAACCATGAAAAACAAAGGTTTTCACATACAAAAACAATGTTTTTTGCTAGGGAACACCAGGTTTTTGATGGTTTGTGGGGCCCCTGGGGGTGTGTATATTAAAATAGGGAGACCTCCCAAAGACCCCTGGAAAAAAACGGACATAGACCAAACACCTTTGGTTGGAGGTCTTAGTATTCAATTACACACCCATATTATATCCCTATTGGCGCACCATGCATTTCATGCTCTGCACTGTTTCTGTCGGACTATCGTGTTTCACTACAACCCTGCTTGTGGCAGGTCATTCTTTGTATCTCGGTGTGTCGCTCAGATAGGTGCCGAGAATCGACCGAAAACGGCGCGGATCGGGGAGGGTCTCCCCCATCCGCCCGTAGGCTCCTGTAGCAGGAGCTGCAGAAAGCCTTTCAACCCTGAGAATCTGGGCCCGTTCCGCTACACCGACCCCCAAGGATTCTTAGGGTATCACCGGTCCGTAGGAGAACGCCGGACCGTCGTCTTCCTCTCTTCGCACCCCACCGAAACCTCGGCGCTCCGCGCGCTCCGCGCGCTCCGCTGATCGGCGAGCATCCGTTGGGACGGAGGTGAACGACTTGTATGTCATGGAGCTCTTTCATGGCCCGACCTTCGCCTTTAAGGACGTCGCGCTGCAGGTGCGGGAGGTGGTGGTGGTCGCAAGTTTGGATCGGCCGTGGGGGCGCCAGATCGGAGTTCTTTTGTTCAACCAAGGTTTGTGTGGTTGGGGAAGGAAGGACCCTAAGGGGGAAGACCATGTGTTTCCCCAGATTTCACTTCTTTGGGGCATTTTTCGATGGTGCCGCGGTGCAGTGGAGGAGCGATTTGAATGCTCTTTGCGGGTCTTTGGCTCTGAGGATGTCCTATCTCAAACGGAAAACGTCACCAGAAATTCATACCCAAAAGGCCCTAGACTTCCTGCCCGCCATGGCTTTTTAATAGCCTGAATCCTGAACAACCGATTGTTTTACTAAGGGTTTGACACTACAACACTAGGTCAACCTTTCTTTTTTGGACAGTCTCGGACTTCCAGTTGACTTCCATGAACACGAAGATATCACATGGAACGGGCATCATGGGATGGTGGCACAATGACTTCCCTCTACCAAATAGCAGTCTATTTGTTTAAACGATTTTCCACGAAGTGGAGGGTGAGAGTTGTAAAGCCAGCGGGTCGGTCTTATTTCACACGCGATTGGGAGGTCAGCAAGGTTGGCTGTAAAGAGACCGGAACACTCCAAACGATCGTGGTCAATGAATGGTGCAGGCACGAACGTGGAAACCTACGGGGACACCCCAAGAGCCTTGGATGGTCCAGCTTCATGTCATGGCATATGGCTTGGGTCTGTCCTGTTAAATGTAGCAGTCCCGTTTCACAAGCAAATCACTATTTAAGAGAAAGGCCTTTACTAACCATCATCATCTACTGGGCCCTGGCAATAGGATAGACCCACCATATTGCAAATTAGACATGGCACTAGTTATTTTTTTTGGTGGGTGTTTTGTTGAACTGAACCGGATTCGTTCTGCGAAGGTTTGAGGATCCATCCACTTCCATCCACTTGAGGGTCGCTTTGATGTGTAGTTTGTGGAGAGAGCGTATACCAAAACCATGCAACAAGGGCGGCCACCCATCCCATGATGCCTTCCCTGCCCTCACCAACCCCATGATGCCGCCCGTCATAATCGCTGCAAAGGACGAGGAAGACTCGCCGGCGCTGGTTTGTTTGGCTCCAGGATAAAGCGGTTGGTTGTGATCTTGGTATGTTTAGATAGCAAAGGCCCAGTCCATGAACTCTTTCTTCCTGCAGTTCCTGGCACAAACACCTGCGCGGGGGGGGGGACGCCCCTAAGGTGTCTGGACAGAAACGCAAGGTTTTCGCGAGAATGGTTCCCCCCAAGCCTGGGCAGCTTCCAAACCAAGCAGCCAAGCACCAAGCCACCAGGAACTTCAGACCTTGAAACTGTTCCGGAGTCCGCTGGGACCTGCAGAAACTCCTTCTTCCCCTTCACCCCACCCCATCCGAGTCACCACCTCGCACGCCACGTCGGACACTCCGGCGGAACTCCCATCGGACCGAGCCGTCTCGCGCGGCGCGATGGATTACATCAGTCAGGCGACGGCAACGGAGTCGATTCCCGGCGCGCCGTTCAACTGAAGGGTTTGAGATGGGAGTGAACATGGTTTTACAGAGGACTTGACAAAACCTGGGTCATGACACATCATTTCCAGGTCTAAGATGTGTTAAAAGGGTCTTTGAAGGGTAGGGCGGTTAGGGGTCCGTTTGATGAATTCAGGGTCTGGAAAGCGAACAGACGCTTCCGCGCCCGAAGCGCCCCACGTCCTCGGCTTGGGGACGACTTCGATGACCGCTGATGGGGTCCAAACGAGTGAAGCTTTGGGTTCGAAGCGCCGACGCAGAGACACCTGCAGAGACCTACTCAGCCGGGAAGTGAGTCGATCCTTTTAAACACGTTCTTGGGGTCATTGTTTCGTGGCACGAAGCAAAAGGCATGGAAATTCATATATGGAAAGAAGGATTTACAATGTCTGTATGTTGGATGATGAATGTTTGCCTTCTCAGGGATTCTGATCTCCCGCTCGGGAGTCACCAGACTGAATACATCAAACGCTTCACCCTCAGCTCTATAGAGTCCTTTTCCAGGCGCAATCGGCTGCGCTCGGTGTGACCTTTTGTTCAGCCCAAACCCTCCGATCTCACCGAAGAACACCGTGGGTTTCATCGACGAACACCGTGGGTTCCGCCGGGGATGGTCGTGGTCGGGCACGCCAGCGCGGGCGCCGATGACCGGCGCCGATGATGAGACATCACCGACGCGCAGAACTCGCTTTGGTAAAGGTCCGCATTTCGCCCGCAGTAGGTTTTCTCCGGATTTCAAGCGAACTCCGTGGAAGTCTCATGGTCCGCTTGGGGTCATGGCACCCAGAGCCATCAGAGCCCCAATCCCTGGTAGGTTGACCTCCCTTAGTAACCAGTAGCCTTAGTAGTCTATTCAGTTCACATTTATTGGAAAAAAACACACCCACACATCCCCCGGAGCTATGTTTCACCTTTCCACAGCCATCTACCACCGGTATCCTGGTGACAGATGCCCCAGAAACCTGTGGGTGACGAGGGTCTCCATGCACCACCTGGGGGGGTATGAGGGTCCTGCCGTTAGTCGCTCGCCGCACCAGGCCCACCAGCGCTTGCCGCTCGGTGGAGCTCCGGAGGGGGTTCGGCGGTTCGGAGAAGGTTTTTTCTCCCAGAACACTGGAAGGAGGATGTCCTGGTTGGACTGTGGAGTTGCCGGAGTTGTTTGTTTTTTTGTTTTGATTCTTTTTCTTCCCAACCAGCGTGCCCACACTTGCGGTAGTGGTTCAGGACGGGTGTCTGATCGGAGGTGCGTGTCCAATTCGCTGCTATTTACACCCGGAGATCCGTTGGTGTTTTTGTTGCTTCTTGTATCTGGCCGAAGTTTGGGGGGATATCTATTTTATATTAATCGAATTCTGCCCTATTCGGCCAGAATAGGGGGATATCCCTATTCGAATTTTATTTTCTATTATTTTCTTCTTGTTTGGTCGAATTCTGCCCTATGAATAGGGTTGCTTGGAGGGCTAGGGGTGCTTGACAGCGGAAACCATGGAAATTGAAGGACACGCATTTCAAAACAAGAAGTAAAGAGTAACTTGTTGTGCATGACTTGCATGCCTCATTTAGGAATGAGTGCGCTGTATGATCCATGCCGCTGTGGTGGCGCAATGAGGAAGACCTGCAAGAAGGCTAGTATACTTTGCACATTCGCAAAGGATATAAGACCGGCCTCTGGGCCACACACCTCAAAAATGTGGCCCACGGCACCCAACAAAGCTTAAGGATGCCAAACAAGAGGCCAAGGTATTATCCGAACAAAAAGAAAAGCACCGGGCCAAGTTACAAGCCAGCGAAAAATGCCGCTGCAGAAAGAGCAAAGAAAACTTCATTGTTCGGTTGAGCCGAAAGCGCAAAGAAATGGAGAAGCAGTGGGAGCAAGAATATTTCCACGAAACCGGCTTTGGGCTCCCGAAAGACGAACCAACGGACGATTTGGAAGAGCTCCTGGCTGAGGGACGGGGCGGGGCATCCAGCTCTGCAGCACCCCCTCCCAGCATTCCACTCCCAACTCATTCAACTCCACCCAACACCAACCCACCTCACCCAACTCCAACCAACACCAACCCACCAGCCACACCAACCCACCACTCCCCAACAGTTCTCCCACCAGCCCCCACAGCCACAGCAAGCAACCATCACCGGACTTCCACCAGGGGTGCCGGGTATCTGAGGATTGCTCTATGATGAGTTGTGTACTATGATTATTCCACTGGACACACCGATCTTGGATGCTGTTGGAGGGTCGAGTCTAGGTAAAACCAGCACCTTCCAAAGGGTCTGTCGACCAATGTACACGACTTGTGGATCTGCAGACAGGACAATCCTTGGAGGGCCCGTTGGGTATAGGATGAGACGACTGAGTCATCAGTTCGTTGAAAGCAACGATGGGGACGAGCCGCTCGACAACGACGAGCCGCTCGAGGCATGCGCCTTCGTCTCACCTCATGAATTATTTGAGCGCCCGAAAGGCGGGCGGTTCCCCCCGCGCGGTTCCTGCCGCGTCCGTTGGAGTAGCGGGTCCGTAAGGTGTTGGGCCCCCCTATACCCTGCGGTCTGGGTTCTTCCTTTTGCAGGTTGGGAGTATCGTGGAGGTGTTTCAAGTGGAGATGCAGGGTTCTTCGAGTTTGGGGGGAGGGGAGCTGCTGGGAGCTGGTTTCTCCGTGGTTTTTCTGGGACCCTCCGGTCCTTCAGTCCCATCCCTCCCCCGCTCCGATCCGCTGAGTTGAAGCGATGGAAGTGGATTGAAGTCCCCTATAACAAAGCGATGGAAAGTGCGTCTTCTTTTCAGCGAGTATGCCACTTCACTTCCATGTGTTTGTCAAAGTTACGATAAGACCTGGATCTTCCAACTGTGTCAGATTCCTGCCACTCTTCATCTACAAAAGCAGTACAAACCAGCCAAGTTCGAACAGTTCGGCAGACATGTTGCACAGGTGGAAGATCCAGGTCCAACATGTTACAGTCATAGTCCCCTGCATCGAGGCGTCTGCCAGATTTCTCAAGAGAGGGAGTGCCCTCAAAAAAGCGAGTCCCGACTGGTGGGAGGCTACTACGATGCTTCTTTTTTCTTGGAAGGCAAACACTCCAGGACCATCCTGTCTGGGTGTCCTGGCCTGGACTACCCCTGCACTTCTTAGGGGTCTCCAGCCAGGACACTCAGACAGGATGGTCCAGGCAGTTTCACCCCGAGTGCACTCTGGTTGCACTTGGTCGGACAGTCCTTTTTGCATGTTGGTCTTTCGGAGCCTCTGTAAGAGTCCAAATGACGCATCTTTCTATTTTGCCCCCAACGGTAGTGGTGGACTATGACTTCCAAGTGGAGTAAAATGACTCCTTGGAAGTTCGGGGACAACCTGGCAAGGTCCTTTCTGAAGGTCTCCATTTTGCCCAACCCCGGCACAAGGGGGCTCCTCTCATGTCTCCCTTTTCTTCGTGCGTGCCCACCGTCGGATCGTTGGATGTGGCGCATGCGCATGCGCACGCCAATGCGTGCGCCAGGGCGGCCACAACTTCCTCCAACGTGTCAGGGGGCTCAGATCTTGGCATGTCCCTATCCAGGAGGTCCGTGGATCCCACAAGGTCTTTTTGAGGCTCAGCGGAACATGTGGGGACGCCCTGCTCAAACAAAAAAGAGGGCGACCAACCATGATGGTGTAGGTATAACTCCTTATATGTTTTCCACGGATCGCCAGCTCGGGAGTCGCTGATGTGGAAGGAGGTGAGCTTGGAGATGTGGGGGTTCAGGTTCAGGGTGACACAAGAAGCCCGGAGACGACCTGGAACTGGGACTGACAGCATTGCCGATGAACTTGCGGGTTGGGCCATGGGTATCACATCCACATAATACTTACAGTATAAGTGGATGGTGACTGCCTTAACAGGCCAGTGACAGGTCGTGTCTGGCCTTAAGATGCCTTAAGAGGCTTAAAATGCTTGGAGTATCTGGAGGCGTCTTGCAGTGATCGGTACCTGTCAAGTTGAAGATTTTCAATAACTTGGAACACTATCTTTTTGGCATTAAGCACCTCAAAGGCTCGCGCAGCCCTCAAGTTGTTCCGTCCATGGAGCCGCAAATAAGCCCGAACAGCCTTCGATTGATACCAAGGTGTGACCTCTTCAGTTCTTTTGTTCCAACCTACCAACATCCGACTTCACAGGTCACCACCTGCCATTCTTAAGCTTTCAAAGACCTGTAGAGTTGCAGAGACCTGTAGAGTCGCGTGCTGACAACTGGTCCGGTCTAAAGGTCATTTGACTCGGCAAAAAGGATGAAAAGCGCTTCAGCACTCGCGAGAAGATGTCCAGTCGAGACGATGCAACAAACGACATGAACTGAAGGAACGGACTTCCCAAGAGAAAACATCCAGGAATTCCCTGAAACATCCTGACTTGTTCCAACCGCTGGCTCTTTTGCCATTGAGTTTCTCACTGGACTCCATCGTCCCGGTTGACGGGACCTCGTTGACCGTCGCTCGCTCGAGGGCGACCCGAAGCCCCGGGTGACGCGCTGCTCGGCGTTTATGGTGCGTTTATGTTTTTGGATGTTTTTGGTAATTACAGTAGGGATTGGGGTGATTTCCTTACTCAAAAAAGGAAGAGGTGGAACGTTTGGTCACCAGGATGTTATAGTAACCATTCTTTTCCAGGTAAACAAAGGGAGTCTTCCATGAAGAAGGTACTGCCAGGTCGAGGGTTGGTTGTTGGGCCCCTAACAGGTCTTGGGTGTTGGTATGGGTGTGTATTGGAATAGTTAGGGCAACTATAGGATATGGATATGGCCACCTAGGAGGCTGGGAAGAACAACCAAGGGGGAATAGATGGGAATAGAACCAGTTGCTTGGGGATCTCCTTTTTTCTACATAGTTTCTCAGTACTTCTGATTGTGTGAAGATATGGGTGCTTTCAGACCACCCACGACCTAGCATATAGCATGGGGAGTCGCGATGTCTTGATCATCGCATATGATCACTCCCTTTCTCTGAAGTCAGCAGAAGGTCTCGTACATCAATCAATTAATAGGACCCTTTTTTCACGCTGAAGGGCATAGAGGCCAGGTCATCGAGCCATCGGGATGAATATCGGGACGAGATGAGCGATGGTTTGCTTTGAGCTGAGTTAGCATTGAGCTGATTTGCGCATCTGGGGTCTGCTGCAGTTGTGGGTGTTCCCGCACATCCAAGTCTTGGGTGATAGGAGCCCAGAGCCCCTCAGTTAGCTGGCTTACCATCGTGTGGCTTTTATGGATCCCAGTGGACCCCCCCATCTTTTCAAGAGATGCCAGTGCCATTTCTCACCACTCTTTACTGCATTCATATTTCTAAGATCTGGTGGGCTAGAACTGAGACTAGATCAGATCAGCTTGAACCTACATCTCTTAGTAAAGTCTGTGAGGCTGTATTCTTTTTTCGACTTGGTCTATGACCTTCTTCGCTTTGGATTCCTTAGACTCCGCCCCCATCCGCGCGGGTGGCCGCTTTCGTCTTCGGACGGTGGCCTCGGACGGTGTCTCCGGTCCTACCTTCGTGAAACGGTTCGGGACGAAGGAAGGAGGCGGGTGCCGTGTTCGGGTCCAGTCGAACCTGAGGTTCGGTACGAAGGAAGGAGCCCCGGAACGCTAGGGATTGGTAGTTCTTGTCGTTCTGCCGTGAAACGGACTTGAGGAACCACGCAGCCCCCTGGCTGAACGTGGGAGCTGGGCTGGGGGGAAGGGACGCCCTTGATGACGCCCTTGGGGGGAATGATACATGTTCTCATCCGAAAGGCAGTGGTCTGAGCGCATGCGATGAGGATCAGAAGATTAGGAAGGTCTCTGACTCCTCTGCCAGGGCATTTTCCCCCCGCAACCAGGCTGTGTTGGGCACCCGAAAAAACAGGTGGTTTCTGGACACCTGCGGCCTGGAAAGACTTCTTGGAGGGTGCTGGTATTTGGGTGTTTTGTTTTTGAATAAGGAGGCCCAGATCGCCCCAGCCAGTTGCTGGTTGGGTAGACGATGTCCCTTCACCTTCCCGGCGACCAACGCGCAAGGTGACATGTCACGAAAGCTAGCCTTAGCTAGCTGAAGTTGCTCTTGCTTTAGCAAGTTAAATGATGGGGTGGACGCGCCTCAGAAACCTAAAATAATTGATTGAATCAATCTTATGGACCCAGGTTTAACTCCCCCTGCACGCGGTGAGCTGGGTGGTCTGCTGCTGCTACCGCAGATTCATGCGACGATCACTATGCCGCCGTGCAAGCTTTGCCTATGTTTGAATGGTTGATTGTGTTGCGATTTAGACTACGAACAGGGTCAACCATTTTTGGTTGTGTTTAAATGGTTTTGGAAGGCTAACTGGAGGTGGGTGTGTCTCAAAATAGGGAAATAGGGAGACCTCCCAGGCAATGACCGCCTGGAAGAAGGACAATAGGCCCCAACCATCCCCAAACCCATTGGGCTCTTCCTATGAACATCCACTCGCAGGTCACCCTTCACCCACCAGTGCACCCATCACCATCCCCGAGGACGGAAGGCGGCGAAAACGGCGGCGAACACGGACTCCAACGAGGCGCGGCGGGGGGATCGGGTGTGGGACTGGCAAGAATGACGACCCCCGAGGAATCTGTCCTCTGCCAGTTCCATCCAGTGAGTCTCATTTCGTGTCACGGGAGCGGGCACTTGGTGGTGTATGGCCCTTTTTTTCCGTGCGAACGGAACTTGATTCTGGTGGGATTTCCTGTGTGAAGCTGCGAAGCTGAAGTTACAGGCGAAGAGGATCGAGTGTGACGCTCGGAGTGTGACGTCGGTGGGCGGAGGTGATCGAAACAATGGCCCTGCCGTGACACCCATGTGTTTGTGTTGCAGTGACTTACAGCCTCTTGTTTAGAAATGCTTGGTGCAATCGGACCAGCGATCCTTCAGGATCGTTGCACCACGCAGGCGTCGTCCCCTGGGGGCTCCTCCCTAGTCCGAAATGCGCTGGGTGCATCAGGACCAAATCGATCAGGGTCTACCACCCCATTCGGCCAACACATGGAAGATGAATGAAGATTTTTTATTTTTTGCTATGCCTGCAGCCTGCATTGACCCTGGAAACCAGCCACACATGGAGTGTTTGTACATCTCTTCGGTGTTGGCTGCTCTATGTCAGAGAGTAGAGGGTATGATAGTATCGACCGCCCGGAAAGCTTTGTGTTCTTCTTTGTCCGCCGCTCCCCCAAAAAGGCACATGTCATCATGTACCACAGAAATCTCCCTCACACCCACTTGAGATTTGCACGTTTTTCCGGGAAAAAGAAGGGAAAGAAACAACCAGAACCTCATAGGGGGTGACCCATCCACCTCTTTTTCACCTCTTTTCATCCCCATCTTCACCCCAAAAACCTGCCACCCGCACCAAGTCCGCGTCCGCGTCCGCGCGCCGACAGCAGCCAGCCCAGCCCAGCCCGCGAGGCATCTCGGCGGGCGAGAACTCGCCGAGGCGCGTCACGGGTCGACGGTGTCACGTCTCCATCGGTGGAGAAGGCGGAGTGTGGACGGGAGGGAGGGACATGGGGCCGTGTGTGGAGGGGGAGGGACGTGGATGGTAAGTGGTTAGATAGGAAGAAGGGTGGATGTTTAGATCAGGTTGTTAGGTGGATGTGGCCTAGAGAGATGTCTTGGGGGAAAATCCCCCATCTACTCTGAAATCAACGAAATTTTGCTGTTTCCCAGGGAATCAGAGCGAGACGCTTTACTTCACAGGCTGAATCTTGCGATAAGGTCAAAGAATTGAGGTCCAGATGAGTTGCGGATGGAAGACAGGCTAAAACCTGACCGAGTGAATCTTGCTTCGAGGGAAGAGAGATGAATAGAGTCGAATCTTATCTCTACCAATTCCCAAGCAAGAAACTTACTTTCACTGGGGGAAATGCTTTTCTACCAACCATGTTGTACGTTTCTAGCAACATGAAACTTACTTTCAGTCTACCAAGCGATCTAGCTCTGGTGGAGCTTCATGGCATTTGTGCAAACTGCTGACACGCTGAGTCACACTACATCTCCCCAATTTGGACGATTCTGTTTCTTGTCTTTGCTTCCAAAAAGGTCTGCCAGAGCTTAACCGAGCTTCTTCCAGGCACTCCCCTGCCTTCCAAGATGCTTTGCTTGTTTCAACAGCAGAGGGTGCAGAGCCCTTCTAGGCGAATCTTGAACAAACAAAGCATACAACCAAACTCTCCATCCAATGTACACAATAGGGAAGAAGCATGGCGACCTCCTCATGCGTTGACTGACTGTTAAACGCCGACGAATCGTGCCAGGAATATGCAGTCTGGATCAAGCAACTTGACGGATTCTAGGATCCGTTTCCACCGGCATCCGAGGTTAAACCTAGCTCAGCTGGAGATACCCAATCTTTGGCTCAACTTCCCAAATGCTTTGGCCTTTGTGTTCTTTTTTGTGGTGACTTACTGCCAGGATCTGCCAGGAATTTGTTTGGATCTGGTATTTAGAGGGACATTATGCTTCCCTGCAGGACTTTGGTGAACATTTTCCCTAGACTTGAATGACCATTAAAAGAATTGTTGACATCTCTATTTTGTAGTCTAAAATCTGTACCCAGGGGATCCAGTTACCACTATAGGTGGTAACCAGGTGTTCCAAAGACTAAAACCATAGACTTAGAATCCCTGGTTCCTTATATAGTGGTAACTGGGATCCATTGGGGTAGTGAAAGAATTGTTCTTTGGAATTCAGACTCAGACCTTCCAAACAATGGTTGGAATCCCTGGGTATTGAGTTAGAGAGACATCCAAGAGACCCTCCATATGGCAGATCTACGGAGCTTGAACACCCCCAAGTTGTCACCCGAACGAGAAATTGGACTCCAAACGCCCGCCCCGGAGCCGCTGATTTCGCTGATTTAAGAAGGAGCCGGTGTACCGTCGGCTTTGGAATTGTCCCGGGGAATTACCAGGCACCAACGAAGAACATGAAGGAGCGACACGAACATCCGTTCTTTTGCGGGCCGCGGACGTCCCTCTGTCCGCAGATGTCCGAACACTCGGGCGCCCATCAGCCCGCAGAAACGCGCCTTGTTTTTTGCGAGGAAATGGATCTCGCATGGGCTCCAGATCCAACTCGAGGCCAGGGTTTTGCGACGCAGGTGCCATGGCTCGGTGCGGAAGGTCCATCGGTTTGGGGTGCGGAAGGTCCATCGGTTTGGGGTCTCAGGGGTTTTGGAGGGTGCACGGCGACACGGAAGAGTCTGAGTTGTGGAAGGAAGATCTTCAGTCATAGTGCCGGCAAGTCTTTAATTGTTGATTTTGGAGCCCCTCATGTCCTCATGTCATAGATCTTCCGGCAACATGGCCGAAACCTGGCTGGTGTTATTTGGATGAAACAGGCAAGAGTTTTGGTTGCATGGTCCCATGCCTAGGCTCATGAGTTTCCCATGCCGTTCGGGCCTAGCCAGGCTTTTGATCCCAACTTATGGGGCTTTTAGCCTCGAACCCTAGCGCTTCAGCTCCCGCCACCTGGTGGAGGACGGGCGGCCGCACCGCCGCCGCAGGTCGGGCTCGCGCAACGGCTCGCGGCACGGCTCGCAGGATGCGGACGCCTCGGAGCTCGGGATGCCCAGGGGTGGGTGGATGTGGTGGAGGCGGTTCATGATTCATGACCGGTGATGGTGGTGGACCATGGTGGGCTCAAAGGGAGCATTTTGTTATTTTGTTAGTCCTTCAAAAGACCAAAGATGGAGAACCGGTCCGGAAAGACATGGTCAGAACGGTTGCTACATCTTGCTGCCGCAGGCGGCAGGATAGAAAAGACCCAAGGTGTTTTGAGTTGTGACGTTTCTGAAGCAATTGAGGACTTATATACCTAGCGATTCCTAGGAGGGAGCCAAGGAGCTGTTGGGAGGGAGCTTTTTGCGAGATTTGGGGTCTTTGTTTTCTTATCCCTACATGGCCATATCAAAAGACTACTCAATGAGGTGTTCAAAACCAGGTGTTTGGACCGAGACTGGATTGAGGACCAATATCTAGTGCTTCCTGTCTGTGTGTCTTGTTTGCAGACCTATAAGAAGTGTGCAGGCCTTAAACCTCAGAGGTTTCAGTTTGGGTAATCGGATTCTTTACATCCTTTACATCAATGAGTGGGATGTGGGATATGCATGCATCAAGTGAAGATAGACAATCCATAAGCGCAGAATGCATCAGACGTCACCTTTGATTTAGTTGAGATGACGTAAACTTGAATGTGACCCCAAAATAATACAGTAGACAAAATTACCATTTAGAACCGATAGGCTTCCAACCACTGGCCATCATTATTTGAAAGGCGTTTACCGAACCACCATTGTTTTACCAAGGATTTTATTCTTTTCGACCACCATTCTTTGAATGGTCGAACGGACTTTCAGGGAAGAGTCAATCCCCAGAAGTCCACCTTTCTCACATCAACAAATCCGACTTGGTTCAACAAATCTCAGGTGGACTCTCAAGTATCTCAGTATCTCAATCAATCCTTGAGTCAATCTCAGTATCTCTCTCAACAAATCCGACTGATCTCATCCAAGCTGGGCCGACTGTTCCACCCAACGGTCTCGCACAGTCTCCCACGGCCCGACCTGTTTGACGCCGCTGCCGGCGCCAAGGACGTACCAGGCCGTGCACCACATCCGAAGCAGTTTGAAACAAGGCGCCCTTTTTGGCCGTCCATGGCTGGGCTCGGGGGGGGTTCTTTTCTTGAGCAGGCGGTAGAGGAGGCAGGCGCCAGGCGCCAGCTTTTCGGAGGTAAAGAGTTGGTGTTTTTTTTCGGGCGTCGACTTGGCGTCGACTTGGCTCAGGGTGTTGATCGCTGAAAAAAGAGATGAAGTGGAATGGACTCCAAAAGCTGCCAGGGAGTTAAACCAATACACTTTGGAAACACGGTGATATAATTCGAACACCGTCCTTGGACGTTGGGGATGCATAGCGTTCTTGGTTTAAACTCAGAGACGACTCATGTTTTGCTTTTTCCCTAAAGGTCCAGGTTCGACCTCTCTGCCTCATTGACACTGAGGGAAGTTCCTGCAATCGGGTCGGTGACCATGCGTCGAGCCATTTCTTTTTGGAACGACTGGTCGACTGGACCTGACTGACCTGAACCTCTTTTCTAGACCTTTTGCAAGATGTCTTTGACCCTGACTTCACCTGGAAAGACCTTGACTGACCTTTTTGGGATCTGTCTTAAAGACCTTTTTAAGACCTGGACTGACTGAACAAATCTAGATCGCGCCATCCCGACTCAAAACCGGATCCGACTCACTCCGACTCCGTCGACTCGCGCGGGACCGGTCCCACCACCACAGTCCGCCGGGGACGTCCAGCGAAGTCCAACGCAGGCGGCACGGAGTCCCAAGATATGCACCGGACGGACTCGCCCGGGATGCCCAGAGTCCAGCGGAAGTGGAAGTGGAAGTGGTCGTGAGGTGAGGTGAATTGACCTGAACAAATAGGACATGCCACTGCTGGGGAGTTTTTGGGGGGCTACCTAAGGAAATCCATGGGACTAGTCATGGAATAGTCTTAGATTGGAAATCGTCAACCTCTGTTGGTTGGGTCAAGGAGTTTGAGGTCTTCACTTCTCCAGCTGAGTCCGAAAGTGCATGTCCGACATGGTCCGACCCACATGACCGCACTTGGAGGCCCCAAGTTGGTGACCAAAACCCCCCGGGTCTCAGAGGTTCGGGGCACGAAGTGGAGACATGACGATATCCTGCCATGCAGTTGATCGAATCGAACGTGAAGAGCTGTTGGGTTCCAGAGGTGACAACTTGGGTTGAAGGTGTTTTGCTTCCAAAGTAAAACAGATGAGCAACCTCTCAACCAGCACCCCGGTGAGCATGCCGTGCGGGGTGATTTCGTTTTGTTTGTTCCTTGATCTTCCTTCTGAGCCTGTAAGTAGCTTGTTCCCTGGTGGTGAGGTGACAATATCAGTCGAAAGAAGTGGTCGTTTTCTGCCGACATCGGCAAGCTCGCCAAAGGTATCGGGCCAAGGCGGCAGCGGGGGCAGGCGGGTGTTGGGTGTTTCGGACGGGGGGAACACCTCCGCAGGGTTTCCACACGGACGCGGACGTGGTGATGAAATAGACCCCAAAGGCTTGCAAGACCATTCTAAGAAAGGGTTTATCATGGTTTATCTGGATTTTGCAGTGCAGAATCCTTCATCAAGCAATGGTAGTTGGAAGCCTCGGTAAACCAAAGGTGCTGATGATGCGGCAAGTAGTGAGCTGCAAACCTCAAACGAACCGCAATTCTTCCTAACCTTTTCCCTGACTCCTTAATGTAGATAGAGTCTTGATTAATATATCCCCCCATATTGTAGAGGTGTCACAATCCAAATTGGAACGTTTTATTCATCAAGATTCCACATTAGCCACCTGACGATCTCAGATCCACTAGCAGCACTAGCAAGAGCACCGCCACTGGGTGAACACCATCCAGACTGGGTGACGTCCCCCGTCTTTCCGTTACCCACCAGACTGGTTTCTCGAGTACATGCCACAATCGGGGTCTCGTTCGATCTCCAGTCTTCTGAGCTTCATTCTGTGGTGAAACACATGCTTCGATGAAGCAAGCTCAAGCAAGCTCAGAAGCTCAGAAGCTCAGATCTGTCTCTGTGTATTCCAGTCTTCAGTCTTTCGCCTTCGATCTTCTGAGTCTTCTGAGTCTCATGTGATGCGAGTCCCGACGCGAGATCGACGCTTCATCCTGCCCACACACCAATGGGGACCTCGATCTGCCGCTGAGTCGGATGGACCGGTCGCCCGGCTCGAGGAGTCCGGACACCCCCCTCTTCTTGAATCCGAACCACAGACAGGTTCGAACATGGTGGATCGATTTCGCATGGATTGCTTACAGTGAATTCAGATGCCACCCACCTGAAGATCAAGCAAGCCAACTGAAGGTAGCTCAGCAGCTCCATGGAGGACAGGGTGCCCTTCATCGTTCGGGAGGACGTCGGGACCCCCATCCACATCCACTCACGTGTCAGTGCCGACGAGCCCAAACCATGAAACGACAGGGTGCCCTGCTTTTCCCGTCGTCCCGGCCCAGCCGGCCGCCTGAAGCACGAGCCGACCCGAGCGTCGTGAGGCACGCAGTCGCACGATGTCCAGGGCTTTGAGGTGCAACACACCGAGTCGTAGGGTGCCTCAATCACCGCGACGATGGGAGTCGAAGATCTCGTGGAGGGCAGGTGATGGGAAGGTGATGGGATGAGGGCGGGTGCGGATGAGGAGTTAAGTGTTCTTTTTGCGGTCTTTTGGAGGTCGTGTTCAAAGAGGAAGCCCCTTGGCCCGAGGTTTTTCTTTCAGAAAACGACGTTATGCGGGTGTGGTTTTTACGGGTTTTTGTGATTTGTGGTTTTCTGTGTTTTTTTGAAAATGTTAGTTGTTTTGAAGAACGTGTCTAGCAAAAATGTCGACTTGTAATCTATCAAATTTCTCATCAATCTGATTCAAACATACTAGTTCTCATTGATTCCCACAGAAGTCCATCAACCATCATCTATCAGCAAGTCCACGACATCCCATCATACAACATCAGGTCATCACCTCTATGAGGGAGATCTGGTCTCCAAGACCTCCAATCTCAATCAGTCCTCAATCTCCAGCAACTGGGGCCTGGGCCTGGGCTTCTCTAGGGGGGGGGCGCCAAAAATAAAACAAGATGGAGCCCACGAACCCGAATGCAAACACATTCAAAAAGCTACATATGTCCAAATGACACTCTTGTAGGACACTCTTGTGGGACACTCTTGTGGGTCACTCTTGTAGAAAACTCTTGTGGGACACTCTTACGGGACACTCTTGTGGGACACTCTTGTGGGACACTGTTGCGGGACACTCTCTCTAGTAGGACACTCTTGCGGGACACTCTTGTGGGAGACTCTTGCAGGACACTCTTGTCGGACACTCTTGTGGGACACTCTTGTAGGGCACTCTTGTAGGACACTCTTGTAGGGCACTCTTGTAGGAAACTCTTGTGGGACACTCTTGTGGGACACTCCTGTAGGACACTCTTGTGGGATACTCTTGTGGGACACTCTTGTGGGACACTCCTGTAGGACACTCTTGTGGGATACTCTTGTGGGACACTCTTGTGGGACACACTCTTGTGGGACACTGTTGCGGGACACTCTTGTGGGACACTCTTAAGGGACACTCTTGTGAGACACTCTTGCGGGACACTGTTGCGGGACACTCTTGTGGGACACTCCTGTGGGACACTCATTTGGGAGACTCTTGCGGGACACTCTTGTGGGACACTCTTGTAGGACACTCTTGTGGGACACTCTTGTAGGGCACTCTTGTGGGACACTCTTGTGGGACACTCTTATAGGACACTCTTGTGGGACACTCTTAACTCTTGTGAGACACTCTTGTGGGACATGGTTGCGGGACACTCTTGTGGGACACACTTGTGAGACACTCTTACGGGACACTCTTGTAGGACATTCTTGTGGGACACTCTTGTAGGACACTCTTGTGGGACACTCTTACGGGACACTCTTGTTGCACACTCTTGTAGGACACTCTTGTGGGTCACTCTTTTGGGACACTCTTGTCGGACACTCTTGTGGGACAC